AAGGTCCCGTTTCGTGTGAGTCGGAAGGTCTTCCGCAGTTGCTGCAAGTCGGTCGTCGTCCGCAGAACCGGTTGGCGTGGTAGCCCTGGCAGCCGGGGTCATGTCGGATGAGCGTCCTTCGTTTTTTGATGGGCAGAGATCTGCCGCTTTGGTTGAAGAGCCTGAAGGGCGTGACCTCTGATGTGAATGATATGAGCCAAGATATTTCGTTCGTGACTGGGTTGGGCCCAAGGCGGGACGGTCGAGCAAGGACAGGCTTCTGTCCTGTCTGTGCGAAGACCTCATCTTCAACGAGTGTGGCTGGGTCCAGGACGTCCCCGCCAATGCTGTGTAGTTTTGTTGGGCATCGCGGCACAACGTATGTGTGCCACTTGATAGGCGTCTCGACTTGGTGGGCGCCGAGGCATTCCGCCAGCTTTGCCTTACTTGTAAGTAGTCTTTCCTGTATTTGCTTGTTTCGCGGCTTCAGAGAGTAACCTGTGCTGATATGGTAGACGTGGGGAAGGTCCGCTAGCCCCAGGCCAACGGCCTTACAGACGATCTGTCGTACGGCGAACGGTGCGATCTTCCGAGCGGCCGCTAAGCTTTCTTCCGGGACGCGGGCAAAGATGCGGAGGTCCTCCTTCGGCTGCGCCTGCGGCTGATCCTCGGCGGGGAGTGTGGCCTTCGGGCGGGCAGAGCTCTGGCAGCTCTGGCCGCTCCGGGTCGCCGCAGTGGTGTTGCCCGCCATCGGTGCGACGACAGCCGCCCAACTCCGGGCCGCTATTGGGCTTGTCTCGTGATTGATCAGTCTCTTGAGGGTTTGAATGACATAGGCAGTGGCTTCTTTCGCGATCTGCTTTCTAGAACCGTCAAAGCTGGCGACAACGCTGTCGACGGACCGTGCAATGGTCAGAAAGACGTCTTTCCGTGCCTCGTACTGTCTAGCTTCTTCTGCAAGGGCTGTCAAGACGGACCCTGTGGCAGATCCGCTCGGAGCAGATGCGGTAGAGGCTGCGGGCCCCTCGGCCGAGGTAGGGGCGTCGGTGGTGGCATCAAGCTGGCTTCCCGTTAGGCTGGGCCGGGTCGGCTGTGCCTCGGCGTCGCGGCGTCGCTTAGCTCTTGAGGTGGGGTTCGGCTCCGGAGGTGTCCCGGAGCCTGGTTCGGGGTCGGCTTGGTCGGCCGACATCAGTCCGGTGCCCGACGGCGGCTGTGAGGCCATCGCGGATGCGGGCTCCGGCAAGGGGAGGTGAAGAGTTTTCGGCTGTTAGTAATTTGGTGGTAGGCTCACTCATTCACTAACAGCAGATGCCAAGAAAAATTAGGCGAGAGGGAAGTTGTGTTAGGGCCATGCAGAAGTCTTGGAATCCGGTGCGCGATTCGATATTGTTCGACTCTCCATGCCTGAAGAAGCAGCGCCAAGGCCCAGAGCCTGCTTGACCTCCGTGACTTCCAGCAAATTCTTGAGCTCAACCGATCCGTATAGAGCCTTTCCACCGTACATTTGGTCCATCTTGGGCTTCTTCCCTGTGACCTCTTTGAAATGTCCGTTGAAGATTCTCTAGAGAGCTGATAGACTAGGCACCTGTCGGGAAAAAGTCTCTTCGTTGAAGATCGAAGCAGTATCAATGTCCCTAGCCCCCGATTTGTGGTCATCAAGTGGACCATGATGGGTTGCACCGTCATGTCTCGAGGTGTTGGCAAAGAAACGGCCTGAATGGAAAACTCAGAGGCACCACCCCCTACCCTTCCCAAATCCCCTTTGATTGTGTTGAATTCCTTGTCTTGCAGCTTCGACAGATCCCCAACAGGATGCTCGCCGGAATTCACAGACGTCCGATCAACAGCAGGACGATGCGGAATCGAAGTCCAATCTCAACGCCGATCACAATAAGGGATCTTCGTATTTATGCTCTAATATGGTTCTAGAGCGAAGACGTGTAGCGTTCGACGAGACGAAGCGCAGTCCCGCCACACCATCTCCCAAGAATGCGGCGCCTAAGAGGAAATGGCATTCAGATGAGGGGCTACAGCTAACGAAGCCGACTCCCACGGACCCCGGATGCCGGAGCTCAGAGCCGGTCGCCATCGCTCGTTATGTTGACATTCAGGTGAACAGAATGTGTGCCTGATCCCCTTCCCCCCCCCCCCCTCTCCCCCCGACACACCTCTGCCGCCAGAAAAGACTCTCTCTGCTATATACAACTCTGGTAACCGTCGCTCCCAGGCCTCAAGCTGATGACGCACAATGACCGGCTCTCATCGTTTCCTGAAAGCTTGTTCGTCCCGTACAAGACCATACGGATAGAATGAGAAGTTATGCTGCCTTAGAGCTTACTTCAAAGCCAAGCCTGTGGACCGCAAAGACTCGATTACTTCATGGTACGGAAGGGGTTCAAGCCCATGTTCGCCTCGGCAGTCCTGGCGGGGTTACCGCTTGAAAGCTGGTGGCTGAGAAGGTTTTGCTGACGTCCGGCTACTGCACATCCGCGCAGTCTGGACGATATTTCGCCATGATAAGCGCTATGCTACGCTGCCGGCGTCAACGGCGACAAAAAGGCCTCTCAGTTGTACATGGCTGTCGCAAGTGGCGTTTATTCCCCCGCTCCCAAGACGTTTGACTTGAAGCTCTCTCTTATTCCGAATACCAGTGATGACCCAAGTCCAAGTGGCTAACGATGAGAGAGAGGTGAAAGATATGATTTGGCTGAAAGCCGCGTTCCGATACAAAATGATGCTTGGTACGCAATTACGAAGCCACTGGCCGGTACACACAACCACATAAGCCTGTGCAAAACAGACAGGCCTTGAAAAATGGGCCCGAAACAGCCATGGGCGGCATGGCCCTCTAGTCATACCGCCTGCCCCGTCGTGATCCCTGGTCTGTAATAGTTGACAAGGATCTTCACCTTACGGCCTTGAGTACCTAGCAGATCGCGCTCTAGCCCATCCTGAACTTTTTTCATGTACACGCCCTTCACCCTTGTCCCTACGCACACAGGCGGATGTGCGTCGAGGCTTCCGGTGCAGCTCTTCCATAACCCATGATATGGGTATTGGGACCGAATCGATGCCGAGTCGCATCTAGTACCGTCAAGTGGTGGCCTAAGTTCGTAACTTCGTGAATGTTGCTTTTGTTACCGCTCCTTCATGTTTCTTTACCTGTATCATTCCGCCTGGTAATTACGTTTCGACGTTATCTTGTCACAGTGTGGCCCGGTCTCGACTCATCCACGAACGTAACGTCGACTCTCTCCAAGCCATGTGCCACGCCGAAAACTATTAATCCTCGTGGTGGTGTTGCTATCTGTCTTACTTGCTGCCTTGCCACTTTTTCTTCCTCCTTTTTGCTAGACTAGTAGTCTTCTTTGTAAGACCATGTCAAATTTTTCGCTTCTGGATCGCGATACAGTCAACGCAAACATGCAGCTAGTGCATGGCACGCTTGTCCATAACGGGCGATCTCTAGACGGCCAGGAGTACCAGCGAGGTGATCCAGTGGCCATCGTCGATGCCATTGTTATTCGAGACCCTGAACTTCACATCTACGAGTCCTCAATGGGACGAAAGGTGAGCACCCTACCTCTGGAAGTCATGAAGATCCAGGACTTCAGCTGACCACACTTCAACAGCCTGCTCCACTTAAGCCATTCCACATTCCCACCACATCTTTCGCAACGAAGCCCAACACTCGCATCGTTGCTGAAGGACCGAAAGCCCGACCATACGGAAGCATCGGCGAGCAGCACATGGATGGTATGATCGCCGACGCCAATCCGCGGGTCAACTTTGTTTCCATGCCGCAGAACGAGAGCAGCAACTACGTGCCTGAACAACGTGACCAGCAAAGGCAGGGTGCCAATGCCCAAGAACCTCGGTGGGCCACGCGAGGCACCAATGCAGATAATGGAAATGCTTGGGATACCTTGCAGATGCCGCCACAGCACGTTCCAGAAATGCGGCAACCCCAGTTGCCAATGCCCCATCGCCTTGCGGAGGAGCAAGGCAGCTCTCACAGCCACAGCGGATCTGTGGGCCATCGTCCTCAGCAAATGGAAGCTATTCACACGCAAAATGGCCATCGCGCTGGCCACTTGCTGGCTTGGATTCCTTCTTCAAACGACCTTCCGTCCTTTGGAGATGTTCAAATGCATCCACGGGGGCCGGATCAGTCGAACAGACTCCCGATGCCCGGGCTCTTCTTCCCTACGCCTGAAGAGTTCTACGATATTCAGAGCAACCACCCAACATCCCAACCATTATCCCCCCTCCCTGCAAGCTCTTATAGCCAGGTACAGGAAGACAGCTTGCCCTCGACTTCGCAAAGTCAACAGTCAAGACATATCCCGCATCCTGACGATTCTCACCCTTCGATTACACGCGGAACGCAAGTCATGGCTTGCCGAGCACCAACTCAACCCGTTCATACGTTTACGCCGAGTGGAATCATCGATTCTTTCCGACAGAGCACACAAGCTCACATCAGCTCCTTGGAGAGTCATTGCGAGCAATTGCAGCAGATCCAGGCCAGCGATGATCAACTTCGTCAAGCGAACGAGTCGCTCCAAGCTGCTCGACGAAACAACGAGGAGTCTTTGCGGCTTCTCGGCCTGCTCCAGCCTATCACCGATATCCCTTTCAAGGGTACAGAGAAGAGGCTTCAGTCAATCGCTGATCAGATTGTTGATGCAATCAAGAGTCTGCTTCCCGACTGCAGCGATGGTTCTGATAAGACGATCGAACAGCTAGGCCAAAAAGTTCAAAGCCTCAAGGAGTTCATTGAGTACGTTGAGGAAGTTCACCCTGAGGTGGTCAAGCGCCCGCAGGACCCCGCGACAGCATCTACGGATAATAGCCAGACTGTCCCAGTCACGACTGTGACACGGGTCCCCTCAACTCCCGCGTCCGTTTCTTCTCACACTGCGGATGAGTCTGACTCCTGTCGCTGGGTAGACAGCGAGGCTACACCCCCGCCGGATCGATCCGCAGCAATGGCACTGAACCAAGACCGCTCGCGCATGTTCCGGGACATGACTGCTGCTCATGGCCGTCGTCACGAGTCTCGCATCGACACTGCTCCAGAGTCCTATGCTCTCACCAGCTACAGCCAGCCGTCATCTCGGATTCATTCACCGCTGGCTACCCACTGTGTGCCTGCGGAGCCTCCTCACGCGGCTGGCCACGGTTGCTTTCAACAGCCTCTCCCAGCACAGGTTCCGCAAACGGTGCCCATCGCCGACTTCGGGGCCCCAATGCAGCGCCGAACCATGCAGGCCTACCCGCCTCCCACCTCGGTCGAGATGACGCGGCCGATGCAGCCCGTGTCGAGCCTTCCACCTCAGCACTACACAACGCAGCAAGAAAGCAACTTCTACCTGCGACCACCGCCACAAAACTGCCTGTCCCCAACAACCGGAGCCAGGATGGCCCAGACTGCCTACGCTCCGCGGTCGTCAGTGGATTATGCGCCGGCCCAGGACTCGACGCAGAGCAACTACTATCAGGAAGTGCGGTCTGGTCTCCCGGACCGGCGAACGGTCCGGCAGGAGCGTCCTGCTCCCTACTCCCTCAACTATAGGGATCAAAGGCGACGAAGAGAGAGCCAGTGACGGGCACCTCCGACTCCACACAGAATATTTATCACACGTATATAGATTCGTTCCAGATTGGCTGTCGTTGATTTCTCTAGTCGACTGTGTTGAGAGCTCCATTTTTTCTGCATTTGCTATCCTGGTATTATGGTCTGCTCGGATGGGGGTTAGTACGAAGACGTCAGGAAGGGTCCAAGCAACAAAGGAGCAGCTCGGGTATATATACAGCGCAGGGAGTAAATGTCGAATAAGGGCAGATTTCAGTAATTCATCTCTTTGACCCTAACAGCAGTTGGCCTCCGTGAGCTTGTTCTCTATGTTGTACGCCTATTTCTACCTGGTTCTAGCTAGCGAGCAGGTACGTCACGTGACTCTCACCTCGGCGGACTGAGGAGAAATACCGGACCATGGCCGAAAACCAATGTCACGGTCGTCGACAGGTGTCAATGAGTGGTCTCGAGTTTCATTCGACGTCAGTGTATCGCAGTACTAACTTCACGTCCAGAATGCAGTTCAAAAGTAACCGCTGTCAATTCGGCTTTGATGCATTAGGTTGTCGTGATACCTTTGCGCAATAACCATGATGGTTGGTCAGAATGGGTCCGCGTGGAAAGAAGGCAGAAAGCACGAAAAATGAGCCAAATGACAAATGCCAACTAGACACAATCAGTTTATTTGCTTTCACAGCTTGCCGCTACCGCTCGTTGTGTCGACATTGAATTGAACAGAATGTGTGTTTGACCCTCCACCACCGCCGCGACCAGAAGAAGCTCCCTCTGCTTACTTGCATGGGGCATTGCGGATGCAGAGTCACTAACGTTTCATGCTCGCACTACCAGCGATATCCATGAGAAATCTTCTCAAACAATCTATTTCTTGGTGACCGTCGTTTCCAAGCAACGCCTTTCTTGACATGAGCTTGAGGGTGAGATAAGTGATTAGCACCAGTCGGATTAATTCGGCGAATGGAGCGCTTCTGAGAGCGACACTTGAGAGTGTTCTTTTGCGAGGAAGTATCGTGACAAAGCACACGCTCGTAGGGGCGGTCACCTGTGTCTATTGAGCATTTATGTCAGCTAGGGAATAAGCTACGTGGGTTAGTGGGTTATCACTCACGGAGCGGCAGATGGCGCTTCAGGTCCTTCGCGTGAAAGTAGGTCTTGGTCCAGTGAGGGCAAGAGAATCTGCCATGAGCACCAGACGCCGAGGCAAGCGCGATGGGCTGAGGACGGGAAAGAGCCATTGTGATCTGGGGCTGCATAGATTGAGTGCCATACGCCTGGGTCTGGGGGGGAGATTGGGTCATCTCGTGGTGATGGCCGTGAAGCTGCTGCTGCTGCGTGTCGTCCTGGGAGCGTGGAGTGTTGGGAGGAGTAGTAGGACCGGAAGGGCTGCTTTCGTACATTTCATACGAGGCCGCGGATGTCTGCGGTTGCGACGGCGTCGACATTTGGTGAGACGGCAAGAAGGTGGCATGCTGGACATAATGAGGCGTCTCGGCGAAGGGCGACGGATAGGAGGATGAGATAGTGCCAAGACTGTTGAGTTGGTGCTGAAAAGCGTCCATGCTTTCCGCGGCAGGGCTGTTGACCTGTTGTCGAGACACAAGGTGCACAAGGGAGTCAAGACGGATTCTAACACTTGTTTAAAGTTTGTCGAGGGTCTCGTAACAGTCCCTGGGCAATGACGGGCAAGTCGGTGATAGAGGCCAAAATGTTGCTGAGGACGAAAAGAAATGCAATGATGTGAACTCGAGAAGGTATCGAGGACAAGCTTTCCGTCAAACAAATGGAGGACAACCGGTGAGGGAACCAGGCTCGGATGAACCGCATTGAACGTTGTCGTGAGGGGGGTCGAAATGGGACCATGAGCGTCGATGCTCCCATTTTCATCTTTTCCCCCCGTTTCTCTTGAAGCTGAAGAAAAAGCAAGCGCTGAAAACCGAAAACTGAAATCTGAGATCTAAATTCTGTCAGGTATCTGACGCATCATAGAGAGAGAAAGAAAGGAGTGTGCGTGGGAGGAAGGGGGAATGTTGTCTTTGCCAGGGTGGTGTCAAGGATGTACCTCGTGAGACCTGTTGGGCCATGGCCTTCGGCGCTCGCCAACGAGGTAGAGGAGGCAAGAGGAGAAGAAATACAAGCCATCGTGCCTTCCAAGAGCAGTAATTCGACGGCGATCTAGTCAGAACAGCGCAGCAATACAGCAAGCCTGTGTCATTCGAGTCTGTCCACTCCATATCCCTGATGGAACCCCATGTAGAAGCGGAATGAGGCGGTCAGAGTCGCTGCGGGCAGCACAGCTTGGCAAGGGGAAGATGCGAGAGCGGTAGGCGTCCGGAAGAGATGAGTGAAGTGCTCCATTGCCGACGAAAAGCGCAGATGCTCTCACTGGAGTCCTGTTGGATGAAGTCTATCGCGGGCCGCTCGCACTGCTCGGCGGATGGCAGGAAATGGCGTACCGAAGCAGGGGTCGGCGAGTACCCAACCATAACCACCAGCCACCCCGGTTCGTTGCCATACGACGCTAGCGTGTGTGGCATACCCACGACGACCATGAGGAGATGGGCCTGGGGGTGTGCTGCAGCATCCCTAAGGAGTCGGGGCGTGAACGCGGATGGTGGTGGTGGCATGTGCACACTTCCTTGTCAGCCCGTTCGTAGGGGGTTCGAGGACACGGACACGGCGGGGTCGGCCTACACCCCACTAATCCACTAGGAGCACAAATTACCTTTGAGATAGCGCTAGTCACTGGCGTGCGGATCATAGGCCATTTCGACGACACCCCAAAGTTGGCGAGCGCAGTCCTCCAGCAAGTTGGCGGTCTGCCCGGTTGCGACGTTCGGCAAGACTCGAATTGTCCTGCAGGGGCCGCTGCTCCAAACCGAATAGAAGCTGGCATTGCCTTGGAATGTTGGAATGAGCTCACGCTGTCCGCGGTTGAAGACAGCGAGTTGCCCAACGTTACTACTTCCACCATCGACTGCCAATTGACGGGACATGCCGCTGGGGACTTGGGTGACAGCGCCACCACCTAGATGCGCGATAGCCCTTTTTGCGGAACTTCCTGCTCCATTGGAACGCTCTTGACCCCCCTGATTACGTTCCTCATCGTCTGTCATCGGCAAGACTGCAGTCGTTTCGGTGGCCATTTTGGCTCTGTGTGTCTCGATCACGATTCTCATTCTCTGCTCAGGATCAATGTCCCAAGGGCCAAATACGTGAGTGCAACCCAGATACTTCCATGCGCGGCCCAGTCTAGACCTAGACAACAAAATAGATGATGCTCAATTGTTCTCAGGTTAGATTGGTTACTCGCGCCGCTTGCACCGTCATCCTGGAAGGCGTCGTGCTGGCGCTGGCCATTCGACTCGCGACTTGGTGCCCGTCATACCTGCGGTTGATACGTGTATCCGCCCTCACCAGTGGTGCGCTTGCTCAGCGGCTCCTTTTGGCATGCCTGATACCATACAGAAGGACGGATGCCACGGGTAGCCACCACGCAATGTGCGTAATGGCAATCATGATGTTCGGGATCTCAGGAATCAGTGATTCATCCATAGTACGTGTTCTTCAATCCTGCCGAGCCCGCTCTAACCGACTATTAGACCTTGCTTTTCAGCGCCCAAACGATTTCCATGGTAATTTTGGATACGTGCTTGTGTAAGGGCGATAGAATTCTTGACTCTCTTCCAAATGTCGTGTGTTAACTCGTCGTTTGCAAGGCCTGTGACGACGGTCTTCATACACATGCTGAAAAGCCTGACGGTCCATATACTAGTCGGTGAATGTCAGAAAAACAAGGAGCCTGAACATAAGTCGAGGCGGGTGGTGACAAATTGGGATTGGGCGCATAAGAACCATGAATAGCCATTAGCGGGCTAGTTGGTCGAGGTTCCGATCATAATCCACGCAGTTTGGCTTTTACGTTCTGCCAGGGTACAAGTTTATTGCTCACTATGTCCTATCTTCATCGTTCAATACGGATCTTATCTGGTCGTAACATCGCCGCTCTCACCAAGGGACACGATCCGCTCTTATACCGCCGTGAACCAAGTCTTGCTGCCGCTACATCAAAGTTCCGCATCGAACCTCGAGTTCGCACGGAATCGCCCGACAGTCTTGTCATACTGCAACCACACGCCCGACTTGGCAATACGACAGCCAAGCCAGAGGCACCGGTCCATGCGCTCCTGCAACATCCAGCTAGTCAGTCGACCCGTCTTGTTGGTGTCTGCTCCGATTTTGGAGAACCATTCATCGGGATAATATGTTTCAGTCCACAGCAACCCCCTCAGCGCAAAGTCCTCGGGCAGTGGCCGGGCATCCCGAGACACGGAATGCGGCAAGTCATCCGACTCAATCTTCTGGACGGATGAACATGATTGCATCGTCCTGTTCAAAAATGAGCAGATCTCCCTCCAAGGCATCGTATTCCCGACAAGAGCCATCGCATTGGGGAACTGCGACATGTGATGCAAGAATACCAGGGCGACATGCAAATAAGAGTAAGTCTTCTCATCACCGGTGCTGCCAAACATCGCCCTGTGGGCGCGAGACACGAAACCAAGCGCGAGGTTGAATTTCTGATTTGGGTCGGGCGTCATCTCGTCGGCTTTTTGGGTGTGGCTCATTGCCAGGTCTCCTTCTTCTGCACGTCCTTGTTTGATGATCCTCATCATCGGGTTTCTCTCGCTACCGTATTCAAGTAGAGCGCAATGCAGGACGATGGATATGTGGTACCCATCCTCCGTCCACTGGCAAGCAGATGCAGCAAGGTGTTCAGTCAAGACTTCCGACTGTGCAATGAACTGATTGTGGTCCTTCTCAGAGAACAGAAGACCGTGGGTGCGTACGAAGACAGTGGTGATATCCATAGCTCCGGTCACCTCCTTATCGTAGAGATGTACGGTCATGGCGTTTAGAGACTCCTGCTTCCCACAGTCGAGCTCGTCCGAGTCGGGAGTGGGGAGGTCAATCATCACCATGTCGAAATCCTCTGCATCGGCTCTCGAGGCCACATCTATCATGTAGGCGGACTCCGAGTGGTCAAGCTTTTCAATTCCGTCGTCTGCGCGACTCAGGTCAAGAGATATGGCCACCTCATTCGGCAACTCGATGTCAAGAGTCTCATCGAAGTCGTACGAAGTTGTGTTGACCACGGACGTTCCGGTGACCTCGTCCATATTCTGTTTGAAGAACGTCGCAAGGGAATCCCGAGCGTCTAGGAACGGGACTCGTACACAGAGAGACTTTGTGTAGAAGAAGAGCTGCTCGAGAGTGTTCGCTTTCGCACAGGTTGCTAATCCGTGATAAAGACGGCCGATCGAGGGAGACCTATGACTAGCCTTGGAGTACCATTGACGTGTAGTCGATGTCCAGGCTCTACGGTTCTCGAAGTGATCTTCTTCCATAGCGATCCTGGAGTCATCAGCAGGTGGCGGCGCCGCAGAAGCCATGTTACTCACCGGTATACACCCAGATCACCAAGATGTTCATTCCAAACATCTTCAAAGTCTGGCGCCATTTGACATAGCAGGACCATGATGAAACACGCGAAATCGATGAAAGTACACATATAGTCGCGTGATTCAGGCAAACAGCTGTTTAGTCTTTTCAACAAGGAACGTATCCCCTTCTCCCACAAACGCGCTGGCATTGCATACTTGCTCGCAAGCTCACGCAATTTTGGACTGGCAGAGTAATCCTGCGTGGTTGTCAAGAAGTCATAGTACTCACACAGAAGCGTATAATGACGTGCGACAATGTCCTCCCATTGCTCGTGACCGAGCATTGGGTCCGGTGTAGAATGTTTGGTGGTGATGTCCTTGTAGCATTCGTTCTCTTCTGCCACAAGTCTAGCATGAATGGCTTGGACTTCGTCGATAGATGCAGTCTTGGTCTCGCTATATGTGGCGGTTGTGATGTCGAGCATACTGCCCGGGGGAGGCACGTGGTCAATTGCAGGCGGCTTTAGATTTCGGCTGTGCTTCAGGTGGTCGAATTGATGCAGGTACCCGCCCGACCTATGGTACTCATGCAGGGCTTCCTCTACAGACCTCGTCACACATTGATTGTTCATTGTGCGGAAGCTGACACTATGGTCAGTGCGGTCAGTTGATCGGCCACCTTCGGCTAGTAAATAGGTCATTGTCTGCTTCAGACAGTGCTGGGCTGAGTTGTGCAAATGGCGGGTGGTGCAAAACGACGAGGATTTCGACAGATGGGACCTGAACTCTGTTGGCAGTGCGGTTCGTTGTGGTCTGGCACTTCGCCTCTCGGGAGACCAGAGCTTTTGCGTCGGAGGCAGTAGCGAGGTCTTTATACACTATGTACCCTAGTGGACACCTTGGGGGAGGGAAAGACCACAGGACGTCGCCGATCGGACTGAATCTGTGGTGCTCGGGCCGATCAACACCGGGTTACCATGACCCTAATGTATGGTGTTAAGTAGGCAGCCGCGCGAGTTAAAACGAATCACACACTTTACGGCGTCTCGAAGACGAATCTGATTAGTTTTCGTCGCCCAAGAGGGGGGAGCTATCGATCGCTAAGGCTCAGCTCCTAACCTAGCATGCGATTCAATGGAGTATGCTGGGTCGTCTTATGGCCGGCACCTTTGAGCGAAGAATGAACATAACCCCGTGAATCCTCGCACTGGACTTTTTCCTACGACATTGGCCAGGCGATCAGCGACCTGGAGACGTACCTGATTGCATGACTGCCTTCCGGGCGTGGTGGGGGGGCACTTGTGGTTCCATAGCCAAGAGTTGACTCGGTTCAAATCAGGCAGCTGCCTATAGCTGCGACGGACCCTGATCCTTGTACGGTACAACGAACCGAGTTCTAAAAAGGCGACATTGATGTCACAGCGTGCTGGTCGCTCGCACACTTAGGGAGAAGCCACCCATGGACAAAAGTACTCTTCTGTATCCGTATACCTCCAGCATCCGTCTGCCTCGCCAACAACCCAGCAGGGAGGCGTGCGGCTAGGCGTTCTCACTCTCAAGGCTTTGATCTTAGCCCTCGAAGATGTCATGCCGGTGCCATGCCCGAGTGTGTGAGTCAAGCCCGAAGCCTCGACCCTTTGTGATCAGAAAGCAGTGGCAAGGCGGGCGCGTGCTAAGTTAGCCCAACGCCCGCGGTTCCTGCCGCTTGACTCGATCACCGTACGCACGCTGTGTGTGAACAAATGGGAACACATCTGTACTGTATGTCGTGCGTTTGTTCGTCCGTTATTCTGGCAGGTAACGCGTTCATCCGTTACAAGCTCTTATGACGCAGCTGATCAGAGTATAGCCTAACATTTATTCCCCCCTCTCTTGGGAAAGGTGCTTATTGTGAGCCTCGTCATGGCCTGCCCATCAGAAACTAGAGTTGCTGATTTCGTGGTTGTGATCGCCCTACGTAACATTATGGAGCAAAGTCTACCTAGGCTGGCCAAGGCCGGTATCCCAGCTTCGAGGCAAAGCGGGAATGAAGCATCGCTTCCTGTTGGAGGGCCGTTCAAAGTCATTGTCTTGACCATGGCGTTGGCTCCAATAAAGATCGATTGGCACAAAATAGAAATGCTTGCGAACTCGGGATGGACTGATTGATGACTGAGCTCCCTGCCAGGATTGACGATGACCAATTTTGATCACTCCGGCTTTCGCTAGGCGGAATCAGCTTGCACCGCGGCGGCGGAGGGCTCTCTGTCAGGACTTGCCGTAATCAAGTCATCAAGATTCTGAAAAACTCAGGGCCCACAGCTTGGGTATGGCCTGTCAGCCGGGTGGGGTGGGATGGAGTGGGACTGAGTGGGTGGGTGTGGCTTTGGTATATCCGTAATGGGTGCTCAGGGGTTATGCTGCGTAACACCGCGGCCATGCACACCCCCTGATAACTGCGTACCGTTCTCTGCGCACTTGCACGCCCCAGTGTCTGATGGCCGCTGACACCGGGGCGTGCAAGGCGCGTTTCCATGTGCACCCATGCTATGTACTCTTGGTGTATGACCGAAACCCTTTCGCCCTATGGCCCAACACCATTTCCAGCATGGTGGACCCACCTCGACGATTTCATTACCCACAAGCTTGTCGGGCACTGACCAATGATCGTAGCTCCCTGTGCACATATACATACATAGTTTATTACGCCCCGGCTAAGCTGTTTAGGGCTCGCATGATTATCTACATATTCTCCACATTCGTTCATATCCTTGCCTCCCAGAAGCCCATACAAGTCTTGTTCGTCTCCGTATGTGTCTTTTTAGTTTTGCATGTCGATGCTGCGGTTGCTCGTGGGGTTAGTAGCAGGCCATCTCGGAGTTGTTTCTCAAAGTGTTCGACGTCCTATCGTCGGCGGCCGAAGCTAGTCCTGCTGTCGATGGCACGAGGATGCGTGGGGGTGTCTCCGGTTAATTTGATGATGTTAGTTGCGTGTGGTTTCGCTGCTGGCTGATCTGTGCATCTAGCCTCTCCGTGCTCATGGCGAACTTGATCGTCTCTTTGACAACGTCTACGCTTGGCGACCAATCCTTAGGGTCGGACGCGCGCTTTCCTCCCAGGAAGTATGACAGATTTCCTCTCCGCGTTTCCGTCTGTTGGAGCATCCGAGTCCGCTGTGCCGTCCACTGTGTGCATCGAAAGAGAAAATGCTCTACCGTTTCTGCAGATTGCCCGCAAGCGCATAGCGCCGCGGCGGTTGCGCCGATCTGGTAGAGGTACCAGTTCAGCCTTGCCATTCCGGTGCGTAGTTGCGCTAGAATGCTGGCTTCTTTCCAGGCCAGTCCGTCATACAGCTTGCGTGTGTGGTTTCCCGGCAGGGCTATGTCGATCTTCTTCGAATATGCTCCTACGTTGTCGGGCAAGGCTCCGTGCTTCTGTCGCACGCTCTGTAAAGCGATCCTAAGTGCCGTCGAGTAGGCTCTGGCCGGCCGTTTTTGTGGTGTCTTGTTTACTTGGGTACTTTCCTTTGCTGCTGCTTTGGCCGCTTGCGCCAGGTCTGACTCTATCGATGATGGAAGCCAGAAGAGAGTGACTCTGTTGCCTCGTCTCTGCAGAGCTTGCACGCTGGCATATAGTTGTCGGATCTCTTGTTGGCCTGACTGCTGCCGCGGGTTGTGCATCACCAACACTGCCGCTTTGTTGCGGGTGAAGACGTGGATGGCCCGGTACTCGAGTCTCTCTGGGAGAGACTTGACCGCTTCTGCCAGTGCCGCTAGCTCTGCTACATACGGGTTCTGCTCCGTTCTCTGACCGAACGTACGCGAGGCCGTCACGACGCCACCGCCCCTCTGAAAGATGCGGGCAGCGTCGTCGCCGTTCCAAAGCCCACAACCTCGTTCCTTGCTGAGCTCCCTGTCGCTATCCTCACTGCCCATCCAGACCGGATTGCCTCAGAGGCCTTGACCGTGTCGTCGTCGACTACTGTATCAATACGACGTTCCCAAGGAGCGATCGAATACCCTTCGATAGTCTCCAGCTTGTCAAGGGGTAGGTCGCGATAGGCCTCCGCCATCAACTGGAAGGGTGACGGAAACCGTCTAAAGGCCACCGCCCGCAGACGTCGAAGCGGATGGGTCTTGGGAGGCTTCGCAGCCGTACCCAGAATGTCGTTGATTTTCTGTCGTACCTCTCTTGCGCCGATTGTATGCTTGCCTCCGCTTCAGCGACCGCCGTGGCCACCGTGTTGAAGGTTCCCACGATCGCTTGGGCGCCAATCCTCTGCACTCGGTTGATCACCCTCATCTGCGCTGCTCGACACCTGTACTCCAGACGTTCGAGCGTAGTCCATCGTCGGTGCTACGGCCGCCACGAAAAGCTGTCTGGCCGTCGCCGGAGACAGGCCTTTGAGCCGTTTGAGCCCAGCACGGCCTCCAGCCCTTTTGTCGTCGCGTCTGCGATGTGCTTTTCGAAACGGAGTTTCGTGTCCATCATCACTCCCAATACTTTGACGTGGTCCTTTGCTCGGACAGTGTCACCTTTGATGACGAAGCTGGTTGAGTCCGCCGGCAGCCTCCAGTTGCGCGTGAAGTGGATGATGGCCGTCTTGTCCGTCTCGAACGTCGCCCCGCTTCGTCGTTCCCACGCGAGTGCTCGATCGATAATATCTTGGATGCCCTGACGGTTTGCTTCGCGCGATCGGCCTGTGACCCACGCCGTGTAGTCATCGACGAAGGCCAGCGCGCCCCCGTTCTCGTCGATTTGGTGCTGTACGAGATCGGCGTTGAAGAAGAGGAAGAGCACGGGCGAAAGCGGCGAACCCTGAGGCAGTCCGGCTTGTGGTAGCGGACGAGCCTCGGACTCGTGACCGTTAACCAGGATGCTTGCCGTTCTATGGGAGCAGAAGGCGTCCACCCATCTCACCAGCTTGTCCGGGATCCCCCGCGCCTGAGTCTTTGAAGTAGTCTCTCTTTGTACACACCATTGTATGCTCCCTTGACATCGAAGCTGACCAGACTGACCACCTTTCTCTTCCTCCACGCTCTGTAGATGTACTCCTGCAGCAGTACCAGCGCCTGCTCTGCCGACCTCTGCTTGCGAGCGCCAAAGTGGCTCGTGGGAAGGAGGCCGAACGTCTCGACAGCGTGCGAGATACGTTCTGCCAGGACCGACTCCAGCACTTTTCCGAGCGTCGAGAGAAGCGAGATCGGTCGCCAGGCCTTCGCTATACCGTAGTCGCTTTTGTTTGGCTTCTTCAGCGGGATGATCTTTGCGTGTCGCCACTGCCTCGGCAACACCCCTTCATCCAGTGAGGTCTGGAAGAGTGTAAGCACCCTCTCCTTCACCACTGGCCACGTGTGCTTCCACACTGCCACCGGCAGACCGTCCTCTCCGGGTGCTTTCCACGACTTTGCCGCAAAGAGCTGTCTCTCTACTTCTCCCAGTGTGAGGTTAGGGAAGGGTACCGGCGATCGTTGTGGTCGATCCCCCTCCTCCTCAATCGTGCTGGGGAGAGGAGGGAAAAATGTGGAGAGCAGCTCTTCGGCCTGTTCTGCGGCGTCTCCCGTTTGGGAGCCGTCCGCCCTTTTAAGTTGAGGTATCTTGTCGAAAGATGCCCCTTTACTGGCGTCGAGATACTTCGCGGCCTTCCAGATATTGGCGTCGTCGGCCAGAAAGTCCTCCCAGTGGCATTTCTTCTGTTGTCGGATGGCGTCGTGATATTGCTTGGCTGCCGAGCGGGCGCGTTGTTCCAGTTCGGGTTGAATGTTGCCTGCCCTTCTCTCCGCCCGCGCCCGGTTCCTCCAGTGAGTGTGGATCTGCCGGAGCTGGGTGAGGTCGCCGACCACCATCTCTTTGCATACGGTGATGGCTTGGCCGTAGGTGTCAGTGCCTCTACTGCCTCACACACCACAGACATCAGTCGATCCGTCTGCTGCTGCACCGTACCTCCCGTCGGCATTCGCCCTAGGTTTGCTTCTACCCTCTCATTGATTTGCTTCCATGGGGCGTTCTTGAGGAGGAGCCGTGGTCGGCTTTCCGTCTCGGGCGCGGCAATATCGAAGGTCGTCTCGATCGCCCGGTGGTCCGACCCGTGGTCCGTCTTGTGCAGGGCGCATCGTACCACCGTTCTTGCTAGCTCTCCGGACGCGAGGGATAGGTCGATCGTCGTTGCCGCATCGTTCTTCTCCCACGTCTTCGTCCCCCTAGGAAGGAGGCTGCGGAGCGAGTACTCGCTCATTAGATCGATGATCGGGTCCGCCTCGCCCTGCCGGCCCTCCGACACATCGTCACCTCCCCACAGGTAGTCGTGGCAGTTGAAGTCTCCTACCAGAACCACGTCCACCCTCTCCCCTGTTCCTCCTCGGACATTCGTGATAGCTTGTCTCAGCAGGTCGCACGCCTGCCGCAGCATCTCCGGCTTCTGCACCGGCACGTACACCGACGCCACTATCAGTCTTCGATCCGGAAGCCGGACGATGGCCGCAGTGATGTCCGAGGACGCTATCGGCAGCTGCTCTGTCTCTACGTCTCTGTTCACCCAAAGCAAACTCCTGATTCCCCATCTTCCTTCGTCCCTCCACTCCGTTGGTACCATCCTCGTCCACCTGCTATTGCCCATCGGAACCGTAATGACCTTACCTTCTATCCTCCGCGCCCATGGCTCCTGCACCGCTATGGCCGTGAAGTCGCGCAACGCCTCATCATTCATCAGACTTTCGTGCACTGCAGCCTGTTTCCTCACGTTGAGCTGAAGGATCTGGACCTTCCTACTCATGGGAACGCGGATACAGCTTCGGACAGTTCTTGCTGAACGACTCGTGCGGTCCGCCACAGGGCACACATGTCACGATCGTCTCACGGCATTCAGAGTGGTGGTGGCCTACCTTGGCGCATCGTCCACACACCCGGGGGTTTACGCACTGGTACGCCTTGTGCTTCGTGATCTGCTGGCAGTTGTAGCACTGCTGGGGGCGCGGCCGCCGTTCAAACGCCATCGTCGTGCCGGACTCTCCTCCAACGTGGAAGAAGCCCTCGGAGATCAGTCTACGCGCATCACCGGCCTTGGTCACGAACACGACCATGGACCCATACGCCTTGGGTATCTCTTTCTTGCTAAGCCAAGAAATCTTGGCAACCGTGGTCTCGTTTTCTCGGCTAAGTGCCTCCGCCGCTTCAGCCCTGACATTGCCCTTCTCATCCAGTACCTCAATTCGCTTCACGTTGTCGATCTTCACGGGATAGAGTTCGTCTCGTAGCACGCGTGCTCCACGGCCGAAGCTCTTCTCCGCGATCTGCTTGACATACCTATGCTCCGCATCGTCGCGACAAATGATCCGGATCCTATCCGCGTTCCTTGGGTCTACCGTGACGGCCAGACACCGCCAGCTACCCTGTCCGTCCAACGCGCGCATCTCCTTTTCCACCGCAGCCCGGATCCGGCCTGGGTTGAGCTTGTCGCTGCCTTCTTCAACTCTTGATGTATCGATCGTACAGAAGGGGTCGCTGCGGCTCGGCAGCGTCGCGTTGCCCGCCGTGGCTACCCGCGAGTCGCGACCTTGCCCACCTAAGCCGCTTCGCGCGACGTCCGCGTAGGACACACTTGGGCTGTTCCGCGTCGCAGCAACTGTTGCGAGTGCTTCGAGGTTTTCGTTCGTCTTGGCGCTTTCGTCCTCCACGCGCACTTTCATCGCTTGCAGCTCTCCTTTGACGGCCTGTAGCTCGCTCTTGACTGTTTGCAGCTCCGAAGTGACCACGCGAAGCTCTGCCTCAACGTTTTTATTCCGTGCTTCCGACTTCTTCCACGCATCGAACATGATCTTGACCGCTGTGTGTAGCTCTTTGACCTGCTTGCCCATCGTCAGGAGCAGCCCTTTGTCGTCATCCTCTATGGGTTTCGCGCGTTCCTTGGCCAGGGTTGTGGCTCGCTTGGTCGTCGTCCGCCGGCCACCACCAGCAACCTCCGTCGCTCCGTCGGTCGCATTGTCGATTATCTCTTGATGAGTCTGGTTCAGTTGGGCTTTCGCGGATGGCTTTCGCACCCTTCGTGATGGCAGGTCCTCGTCGCTCGCTGCCACCGCCTCCCTCGCAACGGTGATGGACGTCGAATCTGGCTCGAGATCCATCGCGTCGGGACGTGCGCAGAGACGCCACGCGGTAGATCGTGCTAGTGCCACGTAGCGCGTTTCGGAGCTTCTCGACAGCGCTCAACCCAACAACGTCGAATGATTCTTCACACAATCAAATATCGAAAATTCCCCAATCCTCTGATCAATACTACAGTAGAAGTCGAATTTGGTTTCCGTCTTTCTGGGATACAGATACCGTTGCCATATGAGTGGACAGTACGAAGCCCAGGCCACAGTTCATCCGTCTTTGACTTTTTTGAGTTCGCGCATGGATCGTCAAGGAGTCAGTTGCGGCTCGGATGTTCGGCTGTACCTTGACTCGCCGACACGTCAACTAGCCAACAATACAATGATTACCCCCATTCTGGAATGAAATTAAATGTGAGAAGCTTTTTATTTTCCGATGAACTCTCTTAAAAGTTCCACAGCGGGCTCAATAGCAAGAACGAGCTTTGTTGACCAATAAGGAGCTGACTGTAATGCGCGTGGTAAGGAAGCATCTCGCGATGAACCAGTTCAGTGAAGACGTTAGGACCCATGGAGCAGCGATTATGATGGTGAGCAGCCAGGCATCCCCAATAGCGATGGAGACGCTACATGTGAGTCGTCTTGAGATTGCAAATATTGTGATGAATCAAAGAATTCTTATAAATAGCACCCACAGACTCGCTTCTTCGTGGATTCTGTTTGACATCGACGACAACAGCTCCAGCAGTCTCATCACTCAAGTATTTGAATCTTATCCAAGTCAAACCTTTCAAAATGCAATTCAGCTCCTTCATCGCCTGCCTTGTTATGGCCCCCTTGGCTCTGGCCATCCCAGCTGAGCTGCCTTCCGCGGAAGGGGCTTTGGCCCTTAGAGCTGCTGAGAACATTGAGATCCCGAAGGACCTCCCTGATGATTGGAAGACTGCCCTCGAGGCTTACTTCAAAGGTATCGTCGTTTTCCAATTGGAATGAAGTTTGATGATGGAAGAGATCCTTTGAAGAGTACAAAACTGACAACTCCGCTAGACACCGATTTGGACCTTGAGAACAGAGATCTTGACAAGAGGAGCAACGTGCCGTTCATGCACTGTGGCTGGCGCCGCTTCTTTAGTAAGAGAATCCCTCGTCTTACATTTACTGGCATTTACTGACAATTGCTAAGGCTGCCTTGGATCTGTTACCCCTGGTGGTGTCACCTGCATGTGGGCGATCGCTGCTCGCGGTCTCGGTAAGCATTTCTATCATGATGTCGCCCTCAATCCACTCGCCACGCCTTTGACAGCGCCTTAACAAGGTACTCAGGGTGGAACAATGACAATAGCGAAAAAATAAATCCTCTTGCCAATTGCTAATCTGAAATCTGAAAACAGATGTGAAGGAAGACTCCAAATGCTCGGCCGCTGTTGTAGCCACCATTTTATCAGCTGTTAGTCATGTCGATCGTTCTCGGTTCGGTCAGAAGGCTTACAAACTCTCTAGTCAAACAACTGCAAGTTGTGTGTCAATGGCCACCTCTGAGAAGAGGTTTCGAGGCCTTTGGGTGGTATTTCCGTGATTGAAAGTGGACTATGAAGTAGGTGATCGAAAAGGGCTGAGGTTGTGGTTCTGGTCGTTTGGAGGTCAACATACACTTCTCCGCTGATTTCATCAGCCCCTATTTGTGATTTCACATGAAGATATTGTTGCAATTAAATCTCAACATCTATGAACAAGCTGAACTGGGCCATAATTTCTGTCAATTATCAGCTCAACCAATTCATCCCGGTGACCTTACTACCGACACCATCTGGGGCCGATGTTGCCTCAGTAATTGTGTATAGTCTATACAATGGATGATGAGTACAAAGCGACTGGCCCATGGTAGATGAATCAACATATTTATTCGGCTCGGCGGCTATGAAGCGGGGCTGTTCTCCATCAGTGCTAGCTAAAAAGCTAATTGTTTTCTAGCTAAGCTGTTGTCTCAAGTTGTCCGGGGGGAGAGCACCACGGGGCCAAGCGGTTTAGAAACCTGGCACACTCCCATTTGGATGCACGGTTGAGATAAGTTCCGTGAGAGAATGAGAATACTACGTATCTTTGTCGAAATTGCTCAGCAACGGCCGAGATTTTAAGGATACTCGTAGGGTAGCGCATGCTATTAGGCCAAGGATATAAATTAACCGTCTTGAGGTTGGGAAGCCATTCGGCTGAACGCGCCAGTTCCAAGACATCTGCATGCATCGTTTCATGCATGCATGTGATCTCTATAGTCTCCAGTCTGCCTGGGATGATTTTGCCTAGGGACTGTCCCCCGTCGTAGCAGAAGCTGTCCAGTCCCAAGTAAATGAGAGTTTCGAAATGTCGCATTGAATCCAGCTGCTCTCGACGGCCTGAACGGAAGACGTTTTCCATAATGTTTAGTTCCAAAGACTCTAAGGTGTTTGCGTGAGGTCTGAGTGCATCTAGTATCGACACAGCGGTGATATCGGCAGTTTCTTGCGTCCGAGGACGCCATCCATACATGTTCCAGGTGGCTGGTCGATACTTAAAACCTTTCAGTGGTCCACAGGAACGGACCAATGAAGACAGCATCTCATATCCTATCTCTGTCCCGTTCAAATTGAGGTATTTAATTTTGCGTAGGAGAAAGGTTACGTTTGCCATGTCGATGGATGTTGGCAACGGTATAACCAGCTCAGCATCCAAATAGGTGATGTTTGGCGCGATTTGGCAAAGAGCCTGTAAATTACTAGAGCTCCATTGTTGGGATGCTGCGGGCGCTTCCATTACTTGGATTGCCACGGTTTGTAAATGCGGCAAGCTCCCTGGTCGTCCATTTCTCCTGAGATAGGCCCAATTCCCTACTGTGTGCGTTGAGCTAGGACAATGAGACCTCATCAATAGTTTTCTCAGTTGTGTCAGCCGCATGATAAGGTACTGCGCTAGAATAATGACGAACTGCAAGGCCGAGGTGCTATACCGGAGGCCTCGGAGCGTAGGCGCTACCAGTACGAGTTCCGAATCTAGGTTTCTTCTTGATTCGTGGATAGTCGTTTGGCGGTCTAAAGAAATGCAGCTCAGATAATCTGCATTATGTATCTCAAGAGTCAGGTCTCTTACATGCCCAGCCAGAAGACGATTCTGCCGGATCGTCAAGATAAATTGTATCAGTCTTCTCAAGCTGGGTTTCTCTCTGCTGATCCGAAATTGGAACCGATGATAGAGCACAGCTATTCCAAGAGCATGCAAAAGCTTTGATGCTTGACAGAGTGACGCTAGACTGTTGAGGGGCCCCTCTAAATGACGCGGATATGAAGGGCATACCTTATTCAGACTTTCGCAAATTCCCAAAAGTAATTCGGGGGGGGGGGGGTCTCTCCAGGGAACTTCTATGCAGTGCATTGCTCTTGGGACGCTGGCGCTCCATCTCGTTGAACGTTTCGGGTGTGATCGGTTAAAATTCCTGTCGAGATCACAAAACAGGTTGAAAGCATTTTGAGACGTCGAGGCTAGGGTTGTAATGAGTAAAACAAGAAATGATATTGGAAAACGTGGTTGCCGGTGAAAGGCAAGGTGCTTAAGTGCGAAGGATTGAGTATCGGAGATGCACGTATATACTAATAACAGAAGGTTTGGACTTCTTGGTTCTTGATTCTTAAGCGCGGAGAACTTTAATATTCACGATAGACATATGTCGGATGACTGAACCGTACACCTCTTTGGCGCGAATCATGTGGTTCTCACTGCCACTAACCAGATCATTTATGAACTCATGAAGCGCCTCCATCTCCGATTGTTTCATCACGCACTAGGTCGCGCAAGTTTTTGTTATTCCCCGATGAATAATGAAATCTCTCTGCAAATCCTTTCTCATCTCGGGGCCAAATTTCACTTGACATATTTCCATCTCCTTCTACATGTTTTGCCCAAAGTGCTACCTACACTATAGACATGTTTGTTGATATCACTCTCAAGCATAAGCATTCGAAGAATCAGTAACTTCAGGGGACATGTAGGTAAGCTTGCGATTCCATATTTTAGATGTCCCCCAATCAATCGCTACGTCACTTACAAGTAGTCTAAACGTGTTGTCTTGATTGCATCCCACTGGTCCATACGCTAGCTCTCAAACTCCCTGAATAACTGAAAGTGCGGAGTGTGTTTATTCAAGTTAGTGTGCTGTGTTTTTGCTCACATATGTCAGGCTGTTGGCAACTAGTATGTACACTTTTAATTCGACAGCAAGATCTGAGTATGATGACTACAATTTTGACGACAGCATCTACTCAAGCTTGAATTTGAGGCTGCAAAGGTTTGATGGTTGATGCTCTTCTACAATATTTGCAAGACCATCTCGGAAGGCTCAAGGATGTCCACAGGAGTTCATAGTCTTTATGGCGAAGTTCGAGATACTGAGAGACCAGAGGCGACGTTCTCATTTCTTACCAAAGCAGAAAACCGATGCCAGTGGTGTAATAGTCACATAAACGTAACGAGATGTTAAACTGTGCGGGGAATGATTCCCGACCGGAACTGTTTTTGCAGACAAGATTTCCAACTAAGTTTCCGTACCTAGGGCTTTACGGTGAGACTGTACTCCGTAAGTGCCATTCGTCTAAATACCTAACTCCATCTATTAAGCTTTCCCGTATTACGCGGTTGAAACTCTACACATCAATCTCACGGGGCCATTGTGTCCGTACTAGGAGTTATGCGAGACCGAGGTCAATTGTTCACCAATAGACCCCGGGAATTTTGACCCGTACGCAATGATGCTTGCGCTTTCCTCCGTGACTCCCTAGAATTTTCATCCACTGAATCATGAAGCTATCCACCCCGTTTGAAAGTCAAACCACGAACCAATGACTCGAATCGACATAATGCCCTCTACCTAGCATGTTCAAGTCCGCTCTTTCCGAACATGTGGATGCGAAAGCAATGATAGTTCTCACATCTATAAGTATGGCGACTAGTCTGCCAAGTCAAGCTACTAGTAGTAAGCGGTATCACAAACATTTCTAAAGAGTTTTTGCTATTGATCTCAACTTGCTCTACAACTCGCCTTCGATAAGAAACTCAGTACGAAACGTAGGACGCCATGCAGGTCAACATTTTCTCCGTCTTCATGGTTATGAGCGCTCTCGTCGCATCTTCTCTGGGTAAGTTGTAACTGCCTAGCAGGCAACTACCTAGGATTCATCCACCATCTTTCGAGTTTTTGAACCCTTGCTAATTCGATTCCTTCTATCAGCCTGCACACCAGCTGGCGGTAGGTTTCCTTCGTGCCATCACAGATGACGATAACCTTGACCCATCCTGGCCGACTAATTACTTGGAAAACAGGCGATTGTACTGTTGGAAGCAGTGATTGCTGTCTTAACGCCGAATGCAAACGTAAGTTTTGATCATTCCCGACCTTCTGAGAAGTCTTCATCCTGATCATTGATTACTTTAGCCCATGTGTCTGGACGTTCTGACGGTACCTGTGGCCATTGATAGACTCTCTTGGAGAGGGATCAACTTGCCAAGCCGTATGATCCTCGTATGTTGTATAACCGCCCGTATGGTAATCAACTAAGGGATACGAGAAGGATACTTAGACAAACAATGACATGATCTACAAGGCTTTATGGGCCTCCGTAAACACGCCTGATTGTTGAAATATCTCTTGAACTTTTTCATTAATCACTGTCCCGCAGTTTTTAGGAGTTACACGAGATTTGTCCTCTCGAGCGAGTGAAGTCTTCTTTTGGCTGTAATTTCTAGCTCAGTACTAAAATACTGATACTCATATGAAGTATTGAAGCACATCGTAGAGGTGATTATTTTCTCTCTCCAGATTTGGCAGGTCTCCGCGGATCAACACCAGACAAGCGGCAGCTGCTCCACCGGGCCTCGGCGGGGTTCATTTTGGTACCATCAAGGTGCTTTCCTTGGCCTGAGAAGAACATTACCTCATGTGGAACTCCACGGAGCTTGATTTGAAAGCACCTCTGGTTAGTTGAGCGACCCTGGTTTGGAAGAAAATGCAGTCTATATGTCCAATATTTAAAAGAGGCGTCAAGTGGTGTAGACAACCTAACTCAGGCCCAAACACCAAGGCTCGAATAATCAATTACACTCCGTGTGATCACCAAGTCCCCGAACCTCAAACATCAAAAACACCAGCCTTCAACAATGTCCAAAAATATCAAAACTATCCCCACGTCAGAATACGATGAAGTCGTAAAGGCAGTCCAACACTACGTCAACAGCGTCGCAAAAGCAGATCGCGCCCTCCTCGACCTCGCATTCCACAAGGACGCAACAATGACCGGCTGGGCCCCAGCTGACGGCACGCTCTCGCTGGGCTCGTACACCAACCTTCACGCATTCTTCAATACATACGGCACAAGCGCATCCCTCAAGACAAGATGCGACGTCATTGGCATTACGCCCACAACCGCCGTAGTCAAGGTTGACATGGAGAATACCCCCGACGGGCCGGCGTACACCGACTTTCACACGTTGATCAAGGTTGATGGGGGCTGGAAGATTATCGCAAAGGTATTCCACGCTTATGAGTCTTGATGTTGTAGATTCACTTTAGCGCTATCTATCTGCTACCGTGGTAGTCTAGTTGTCCCACGGAAAGTTGTTGGTGCAATTGCCCCAGTAGCGCTGCTCTCCGACGCCGAAGCAAACCAACTTGCCATGATCGTTACCGATGAAGTCGTTCTACACATACCATTAGCACCAAAATCCTATCGCCACAATGACACCCTCTTTTTCCGTGACTTGCCAATTCGATCTCAGCCTCCACACGCTCATGCTTCGCCCCATGGCTAGGCATAGGCCAGCACTTGCAGCTATACACCGTCGGTCTCTCCGGATCCTTGAGCCCACAATCCTCACAAGTGCGCCAAAATCCCCCATTCTGGCGTGGAATCAGTTTCCCGCGCGCGTTCTCGATACACTGACCCAGTCGAAAACGGTTCTGGATGCCGTAGCCGTGTGTCGTGTCGCAGCAGGCCCAGATGACTGCTTCTTCGCGTCCGTCGCCGTGGATGTCGGTGCAGCTTTGTTTGAAGTCCCAGTAAGGGACTTCAGCCGGGCGGTTGTCGGTGGCTGGCTTGTTCATGTCCTCGTTTGTGCATGTGCAGTTGGATGGGGTTCGGGTTGGCGAGGGTTTGAGGAGGGAGTGGCCTGTCACCACGTCGATAGGGATGGCTCCAATTGAAGAAGCCTTGGGAAGAGAATGCCATGTCGTACCATTGATGGGGATTACTGAGAGCTGTTCGGCTTGACAGATGGCAGCCAACCCCGCGAGAACACAAGCGTCCAGCTTCATGATGAAGAAGTTGAAATAGACTGGAAAGTTTCGGTTTGAACGGTCGGTTGCGGAGACGATGGAGCGGAAAAGTTTTGTGAGAGACGAGCCATGGTTGCAGTTCTTTGTTCTTATAAATGCAGGGAGATGGATTGAGTGAAATGTGAGGAATGGGATTATGCTATAATTAGGCAGTGAATCACAAAGACTGTGAGTTTCCAAGTTCAATCGACAGTTTGGTGATGTGGTTGCACTCGACCGGCCTGTAGGAGTGGAAGTTCATGAGCGATTCACCTCACATGCTCAACAAATACATTTGCTTGATAGTGAATCCTGAATTATTCTAACAGATCAAATGATCTTGACCTTCACACCGTTCTCGGTCGCGGGAATCGGCACGCCCAAGTCATGATCATACTCAACATCGCGCAAAGTGGTATCGTACAGCTGCATGCGCGGAAAGACCCTTAGCACCAAGGAAGTCAAGGCGATGTATAACTCAGAGTAGGCGAGTCTATACAGAAGGTTAATACAGGTCAACAAGGAATTTGCAAGGGGTAGTCAAAAATTTACGGCATTCCCACACACTGTCGAGTTCCCTTGGAAAAGGGGATGAACCCAGCTTCCAACCCCCTCCTCTTCTGACCGTTTTCATCGATCCACCGCTCCGGTAAAAATTTCTTGGCGTTGGGAAACATTCTCTCGTCCAGGTGGGAGATGATAGCGCTCATACTGACCGCCCACCCGCGGGGAATGACATGGCACACATCCACATCGACATCCGATCCTTCAGGCCTCCACTTCCCGCGATAGACGAGATCCTCCTCGGTAGCGACTCTGCCAGTACGCATCGATCCACCGGGCGCCAATCGCAGACCTTCGGAGATGACGGCATTCAGATACGGCAGTGTTTCCAACATGGGCCAGTTTGGCAGGTGCTTCGGATCCTTGACGGCCCCTTGAAGTTCTCGCGTCAATTTGTCTAGGATTGCTGGGTTCGAGAGGAGGTGGAAGCTGATCATTGTAAGCGTGTAGCTTGTTGTTTCCGTTCCCGCCGTTATCATGATGGCACCCTCAGATGTAAGTCGTGGAATCGTCTTTTCCTCGGGAGGGAGATCGGAGTCGAATAAGGCGGCGAAGACATTGGGGCGCGTGCTGGCATCTGTGCCTGTGACTTTGCGGTCTCTAGCCTTCTCTACGAGGGCTGGAATGACGGTCTGTGGTGCTTGGTTATTGACCACCGTTCTAGGAAGCTTTTTGCACACATTGAGCAAGAGACATGAGTGAACTTACGGCGTAGGTATTGATAAAGATCGCCGTATCTCTAGGTAGATAATTCTTGAGACTAGATAAGTCAGCTTTTATCGATGACTCTCGCTCCAGCAACTATGCAATTGCACTCACTAGGGCCCAGCATTCATGACAATCTTCGTCCACGGAAAGAACTTGAAGAGGAACGTATGAACTAGTGCCCCATAAACAGCAGCGCGATAATTCGGCGTCCACTCCTTCTGCTCAAGAAACCCAAACGACTCGCCAAAGCAGTACTCGGTAATCACGTCCGTCGTAAAGCAACTATAGGCGTCTTGCAAAGGCACGACCTCGCCCTCCGGACCAGCAAATGAGAGAAGCTTGTCGCAGAGTTTCTGCGCTGATGCGTGGACTTGCGGCTCGAGCTTGAGCATCTGCTGCCGGGAGAAAAACTTGCCGACGGCGGCTCGCCGTCTGCGGTGGAGATCGTGGTCGATCGTGCCAAATGTGGCGAAGGTTGCGCTGTGATGGGAGTCAGAGTCAAGCAAGCTGAAGACATGAGAAGTGCTGGTGGGACTCATACGGGTCTGGTAGGTTGATCATGTGGTGAATATGCTTGTCTCTCTTTCTGCCGTTGATGGCGTAGATTTCGTCGGTGAAGCGGACGTCGTTGCAGTGCACCTCGTCAGGGTTGATGCGGACTATGGGTCCTAGATTATTCTCCATCAGCTGATGTATCCGAGGGAGGTTGAGTCTCACGACAACATGAATCACATACCGTAGATTTGGTGCATCTTGACAATCTCATAGGTGTACCGCCCCTTCTTCACGAAATCGTACCAGCACTCGGGAGCATACGATGCAGCAGCCAGCTTGGGTCCAGGAAACTTGCTGAGGGGGTGCAGAGGCGACACATTATAGATGGCGCGACCTAGGCTATAGGTGATCCAGACTAGGATGAGTGTAGCTGCAGATTGCCATGACAAGACGGACGTCGGCGTGACGGCCTCGGGGATGAAACTCATCTTCACGAAAAGCCAGATGAAAGCCCAGAAATGTTGCAATTCTCTAAACTGTGCTACGCTTCACCTCTCCCATAATGTTTTGACAAGCCCTCGATGCCCCCCGTATCACGAGGAGACTACTTGATGCAAGCCGGGCGATGTTGTGGAACGTAAGCGAGCTAAGGGTGAGAGTGGGTTGAACAACGTTGCATTCCGGGGTGCGGTCCGCTTTGTATGGCGGAGCTAACATGGGTGCCCGTCAATGAGAAAAGTCGGATTGGTTATCGCGTGTTCGTCCGCTGGGTAGAAGTCCGTAAACGTAGATGCGACCGCTGCATGAGGATTGACGACAAGAATAGCATGCCTGAACGATGCAGGCGGACTGTCTACCGTGCACGCGGAAACGGCGGTATCAAGCATGGACACGATGCCGTTGATGTTCTTCACACCGGTCGTAGACTGCGATTCTTCATATAATGTTATGATCTTGTCATTATCCTACTTCAACTCAGCTGACCGGGTACTTTTCTTGACGTTGCAGTCGGTGGAAAAAGTTCCTGGCCGATAAATCCAATGTCGCCGCTCGATGCTCTCGAAGGGCCCAAATATCGTATATATCGTCGCTCTGTTGTTCCAAAAGCGATGCAAACGCGGCGGAGAGGCGGTTTATGTGGTGCTTGTGGGTTTCTTCAAGAGTTTGTGGTTTCTCAATCGGCCCAACCCCCTTGAGTTGATCAGCCAACCCATCGCCATGATAATCGTAGGAGATCATCCCCCACTCGGGATTCTTCTTCGTGGGAAACGTAATGATGCCGAACAGGGTTACCCAGATTTAGCAAATTTGTCCCGTCTCCGTCCCCATACAGGAAGCAATCCATCAGCAGCCGCCACACCCTAACCGGGTTCCGCAGCTCCGGGTTCGTGACGGAAGTGTAGAGCGGAATCGCATGCCAGTATTCCCGCTCATCTCTTCGACGGTCCCGACGCCAATCGTTGAAATATATCGTCATCTTCCCGATGCTCTGAAAGACCCGAGCAGCCGAGCAACGTCCCTGGCCTTGGCCAAGTGACAAAGAAACGGAACATCCCACTTCCGCCAAAAGGCCTCGGCATCGTATATCGGGTCCTCTCCGAATCGAGCTCTGCGCGTCCCCGGTAGCGAATACAACGGTGCCTCGTTGACAAACCAGGGGCCGTCGAAGCGGACGTGGACCATGTTGATCTGTTTTGCTTCGCGGAGGACGTCAAACACAGGGTTCTCCATGTCGTTGACGTCGAAGCATCCCGCTTTGTCGATGCGCTCGTCGAAGTGAAAACATGTTTCGGACATTGCGCACTTCGGCTCGATTGCTAACAATAGCCGGGCACCTTTTCGGCACGTAGTTGTGATGACGATGGTGAGATCCGGGATTTCGCCGTTTGAGTTTTGGTGGAAGAGGAATGAGGAAAATTCTTGGCAGAGGTGTTTGTTGCAGTTGAGGATGCCTGTTGTCGGCCCGGCCCTCTCTCGGTTTGGCCGGCATGGGAGCGGGGTGCAGAGCAGTTTCCATATCTTGTTGCGGATTTCTCCAGGTAATTTATCTAGTAGAGAAGTCTCGGCCATGTTTGCGATGTCAGGATCAGAGAGCGTTTGGGAGAAAAAGTAGGTGGTGCCCCGTCCTTTAAAGGTATCTGAGCAACCTCCATAGCAGTAAGCCAAAGTCTAACTTTTCGTCGACCTTGATAGACTGACGATGGGTTTCAACTATCAAGGCTGAAAAAGCGTTTGGCAGATGTCTAAGTTAACGACGGTATCCATTGTACGGTCACTTCCATGAATTCTGCAGAATTTCGAGAAGAATTCGAAAAGTTAGGGAACAGTCTGGACAAACAGAAGCCTTTAGGTGTTATTTGGATATAGTTCAATGCTGTGCCTCTTGAAGTTGCTCGTGGGACGTCTCTCCAGGCAGCAGAGCCAACACGTGATCTGGCAGCAGGCGACCGCCCGCCACGTGACCTTCCCAATCTGCCCCCAACCGAAGCTGAGTGCTCATCGAGGGTGAGACGACGATACTTCATTCGCATTTGGTAGAATCTCTGGATCAGGACGCAAAGCGAAAAGAGAAGAAAAAAACCGAAATCTTGGATAACAAAGTTAATACCAGGCGCAAAACATGGGCTCCACCACCCAGAACTCGCCCTTACTCCGTCTCCCCCCGGAGCTCCGCAACACAATCTGGGCCCTCGTCGCCGCGCCCCTCCCCGCCGACTTTGAATTCAACTGCGATGAGCAGCCCGTCCTAGGCCTCATCAACACTTGCAAGCAAACCGCCCGCGAACTCGCGCCGCACCTCTTCCCCCGCAACGAGGCGGGCGAGATCCCTTGCCTTACCATCCGCATCACGGCAACATGTCGCAAGGACCAGTGGATCACCATCGCCTCTTCGCATAGCGTCAAGAGTGCGGATTTTCCGGCGCCGCGGTATATTCACGTGAATGATATGGATAACCCCATTTTCGACGAGCTGCGAGACGCGAAGAAGATTGAGAACGTGTTTGTGGAGTTTCGGGGTCCGTGGTTTCCGGCTGATGCGCCGTGGTACTCGCCGCATCATGTTCCCAGAAAAACAAGCGGTTTTCGCTTCATGATGATTGACAAGAATGTATGTTGGTTTTCCTACTCAATCTCCAAGTGCACGACCATGTCTTGGAGTTCACGACACTCTCACTTCATTTTCGTTTCCGCCTAACTTCATGGCCCCGAGTCCATGCATGATAAAACATGTCACATCATATCGACTAACATGCACTAGAACCGAGGATGCCAAGGTGAACCCATCCTCGACACCGAAAAGTTCTGGCGCCAATGGAACGCGCCGTTCCTCTGCCACTGGGCGAAGGCCAACGACGTAGCGCGCCTCCTCGGCTCCCTCAAGGCCATAGGAACCCTCAACATCAAGTTCATAGACTGGGAAAAGAACTATATGATGGTGAGGCAGCGTATCCTGCCCATGTACTGGGACGCCTTCCCGTTCGGAGGGCAGTGGAAGCGCCTCGGCGTCCCAGAGCTGCTTCTCACGCCCTTCAACCGCGGCGAGAACATCCCGAACCTGGTCGACGAGCAGCGAGTCCTGACACGGTTCGGGGCTCTGGATCTCAGCAGACCCCCGCGGGAGGATGAGCTTCTTGGCTGCCACCCTCATCCGGATAGGCCGCTACGAGGGTCAGCGATGCGTTTGGACCGGCTTGCGCCTCTGTTCTTTTACCGTGGCGGGCTCCCTTCCGCTTCCGAGCCTGGACATCTGAACGTGGACTTTGGGGATTTGAAAGACCGATTCCTGTCGCTGCTAGAAGAGATGGGGGAGGAGCACTACGATACGTGGGCATTGCAGCAGCATCGAGAGGCGACGCGCCATACTTCGCTCAACAATTTCTTTCAACGGATCGCCCACCGGGTGAATCGTGATGATTCACCCGCCAGTCAATCGTAACGGGATGTAAGGGTGGAAGTTGATGCACGATCGGCCCAGGAGTTCTGGCAGGTCTTGATATTATATGGACCGCGAGATATACCCCTTCTATCAAATGATCAGACCAAAGGCGGTCAAAAACGCGGCCAACAATCAGATAGCCGGACCTGAAGTGCCTATCTACTGCTCATTCGCCACTTCAAACTTGGTCCAGGCACTTGGCAGTGAGACGCTGTGATAAGCAGGTTCCAACCTCCAAGGATCGTGCTGACCGCATGGTCAGATAGTGAAAGTGCCTGCACTCTGCAGCAGTCTGCAGTACTGCAGTCTGCAACCCACGCCGTCTTACGGCAAAAGTCGGCTGATTGAATCGGCACTGGTCCATTCATGAAATCTCAATCCACCTCGGGTTGTGATCTAGAGCTCGTGGCATCAAGGGAGATAGACAGGTGCACAAGCAAACGTGCAAGACAGCCACAAGCGCAGGGACCAAAAGGACGCGTGTGAAGCTGTCGTCGCTTGTCTCTGGCTTTCGTCTGGTCCCGTCCCAAAGTGTCAGCTGTTCAGCTAGCCTAGCTACCGATTGCCGGTCCATCCGTCCCTTTGAGATGAAAGCACCTAAAATAGGTGACAAGAAAGACGACAAGAAGAAAGTCAGAAACACTAGGACAGACAAGCACCTCCATGATTCTCAGCGTCTGAGCGAAACCACGTTGCGAGTCAAATATGAAGCAAGGCCTGATGGGGTCACTGGTTAGTGATCTGACGCCACACGGTGAGAGTTGCGATGGGGCGTCCGATTGGGCTCTTAGCCTCTTGTCCATGAAGCGCTTCGTACGTAGAAGTGCTGCCAGCTGGTAGGGTGGTGCTGGGTGGCTTTTCGCTTCTTCTCTGCCGGGCGCCGTGCCGTCCGGCCCGTGGTGCGGGTGTGCCGATGTTTGTTGGTGCTTGTCGATTTTGGGAAGGACGGAGAGTCGGGGGTGGTGTTGGGTTTAGGCGATCCAATGTAGGGCAGCTGAGTCTGCGGCGGTCGAGAAAAGGGAGTGCATCAGGGAAATGAGGTTCGTGAGATTGTGTGGCCTGATGAGAGCAAGATCATCATCTTCTAGTGGGAGCACCCGTAGTAGATTGCAAGTCGTAGGAAAACCGAGCAAACTTTGAACACCGGGTTTTGCCTGTGCTGCTGACCGAGATTGGTCGCTCGGTGAGGTATCTTTTGGTGACAGGCTGCAATCCCCAGGCACGGAATCAATGGTCTCCTGCAAGTCAGGCTTGACAAGCTCTTGGCGACGCTGGATATTGTCCGGGCGGAACATGTCCGGCCGGAGGAAAGTCAAAGGGGGAAAGACAGAAAAAGAATACCCTTAGACATTGCGGGTAATAGGGGACCAATGAGACAAAGAGTCAAGACAATGGTGACTCTCGGCCATAAAAGAAAGAATAGGAACAAAAAAGGTGATGCTGATGAGGAAACACCGCAAATTAGGGGGTCAAGGACCACGCAAACTGAGACCAGCAATGGGGAATAGTGAAAGACTGACGCTCTAAGAGATAACTGGTTGTGGGAACTAGCACGAGATAGAGCGAACAAAAGCAAGAATACGGCAGCCAGTGACGCCGGACAGCTAAGGAGAGGTGACGTCTCGACGATGGGTGGAATACGAGAAGCGCTAGCGATGTGTCTTTATCCGTATGCCTTCGGTCCATGTATGCTGTATTTTGTATGTCTATCGTGGGCGACGGTCTGATTATCCCCAAACGCCGTTTCTCAGAGCACCAGAGGGCAGCGTCAAGGAAACGGCGAAAGGCAAAGGGCTTGAGTTTGCATAAGTGGCGTCTTGCTAGCGAGTAGCGGCATCTTCAGGTCCGATCTGTTCCTGGATTCCTTCGTTGGCGTCGTGGGTACCTGTACTACCCATTTCGTTAGTGCGCTGTTTGGTGTTTCCTTGCCGCCTGAAACGAATGGGGCCCTGGGCTCCTAATGTGTCGCTAGCTCGAGGGCGCTGAAGTCAGTCAGTCAGCCCACTGAAAGAATAATTGACACCAGAGACCGACCAGAGTAGCTGAGAAGACATTTGCCAGGAACAAGGACATTGATTTCGCGCGTTGAGAGTGTCTTTGCCAGATGCCCGTGGACCTGTCTCTGCCAGACTCGCGTGTCTGTGGCGCTAGGCTTGAGGGAGATTAGGGGCAGCTGCAGGTCAGGTTACTTGGAGAGTGCTATTTCCAGCGTTGAGGCCTTGGCTTTTGGGGATTGGCTGCAATGCCAGTCGTGCAGCAGCAGCAGCCTGCCTCATGCTGTAAGACGCGCAGCCGGTGGCATGGCATAATGTATAGATTATTGGGAAGATGTCTGCCGCATGCGTACTGTGTATCCGTATGCTAAGTACATAGGTGTGTCTGGCTGGTGTGCTTGGCAAACCGTTGGTGATTCAGGCTCGATGGGACATTGTTATCTGCCTGTCTGTTTTGTTGTTGATTTGTTTTCGTTTTTCTTGCTTTGTTCGACGAGGCCATATTTCGCTACCAGTCCTTGGGGTCTTCTTCACGGGTCCCTGCAGCGAAGACGGAGGATCATTCGGGTGCTGGCATAGACAAGCAAACACCGGGGAACGTCGATTCTCGGACTGTGGACAAGGTATCTAGAGATAAACATGAGCCAGGTAGGCCAAAAGACATGGACAACTCGGACCAGAACACGAACCACTTTTGCGCGATGACAGTGGATTATGGAGATTCGGAGACTGTCAGGCTGATGATGGACGACAGGGACGAGGAGGTCTGGTCAACCACAAGGAAGTGAGGGGGATCCAGAGAGGAGAAGGAGGATGGCGATTGAGGGCCTACTCCAGCAAAAAAACATCCTGACGGGGGGCTGGTGGGGTCAGTCGGGTCGTCGGCGATTAAACCGAGCCATTCTCGCAGCGCGCAAGTGGTGATGTGGAACCAAGAATAGGGACGTACCTACCTCACAGAAGTACGTACTGGACGGAGTGGAGACGGTCCACAGTGCCTCATTTTAACCGTATCTTAGGTGGGTACGTACCTGCTGCCTCTTTCTCTTTCGGGAAAGTCGTCAAAAAAGCTGCATTTCTTCGCCCACACACACAACCTGAATCATCCCGGCACCAACACTCCCGTCCACTTGGGCTCTTCCAAATTCCTAGCACTGTTCCTGTGTTATTACACTCTGAAGATCGAACGACGAATACGAACGAATGCAGGTTCGCAACGCCCATCTCTCATGGCCGTTGGTATCTTACGCCTCGGAGCTGCACGAGCTGGCGAGTCGCAATCCGTCAATCCCTAGATCCTTGACTTTCATCCCATCATCGACTATCATCGCATCCCTTCGGACCCATCCATCTATTCATCACGCCCTGCGTCGTTGGTCAGTTGGTCTTCACGCCATTTATCCATAAGTCACCGTATCGACCAGCCGTTTCCTTCCCGTCCGTCTCGCCAGGCGCCGTCGGACGCCTCCAAGCCTCACATCGTGTATCGCTCGGGCCACTGCCGAGTCTTCCATGTCTGTCCGCCCTTCCAAGCCGTTGCTTCACGCCAGGCTTGCCAGGGACAGACAGACAAAGGCAGCAAGAAAAACGAGCAAAAATCATCCGAACCTTCTCAAGCTCCAACCCTTGGCCTGGTTGGGAATAGTGTGCCCCAAAACACCGGACGGCGTGGCGTTGGCAGCCTGCATACTTCCGCCGATCCCCAATAAAAGATACCACCATGTCACTGCAGCACTGCACCGCGGCATAGCACGCGGCGCCAGCCAACGCCAGCGAAGCCGACAGCCGTTGTCGTTGCATCGCAGCAAGCATGGCCTTCGTGTCGCCTTCTAGTGCTGAGGCTGGACTGTCTTCGTGCTCCCTTCTATTATCCATGGGCAGACCGGGCGGTGTCAATACCTACTTCTAGGTACCTCTTAGGCTCTTACTGTGTACGGATAGTGTAGGCTCAGTGCGATCGTCAGGGGCCTGCTCGCCTTTCGTCGCCTCTCACGAGTGACAAGTCGGCAGCTCGGATCACAGATCGAGACTTTGTGCTCTGTCATTCTCTCCAGACACCTATCAGAATACTCTACAGCAGCACGGCGAACTCCAATGGCAAAGGCATTGGCACAGGGCCAAGCCAATGATAATATTGCTCGAGTCCAGCCTCGAACAGGTCCACGACTGGCACATCCCCTCCATCCCCGGCCTCGCCTGCGCATACCTTGCCGCATACTGCATCCCAGACCTATCTAGCCTGCCCAGCTCCTGCGGCTTGGTGACAAGACGCCGGCTCACTGGTCAGATCCGTGCTGCCGTCCCCATCGACCGACCGTCCGGGGTGGTTTAGGACTTTAGGCCTGTCCGTTAGCTTTCGAGAACGGGCCGGGATGCGATGCATCATGGGTGGGCTTGCTGATGCCACGCCAATCATCCATGGGTCGGCCCTGCATGGGTCCCACGCTTCTCGTTGCCCGTCGGCGCAGCAGCCCAGCAGCTTTTGGAGCCGAACGCGCTCGAGAGCCAAATATCCAATCTAGAGATAATATCGAGAGCCGCCCTCCCGTCTTCCCCTCCAGGCCGATGGTGTTCTGCTTTTTCCCATCCCCTCACGCCAGTTTGTGCTTCCTTCGTTTAGAGCCAAACCACTGCAGCTTCGCCCGGTCATCTTGCCAGTGAAGGTCACAAGCCACTCATCATGGCTTTCAAGACTTGGGTGATGACGGCCCTCATTGGCCTTGCCAATGGCCTGGCCTCAACGGACACCATCACCTGGGGAGGCGACAATTCGAGAGCCGGGTACCAGACGTAAGTTCACAATTCATTCGCTCGATCCCCATATCTCCATATCTCTCTTCCCGGCGTCGATCGTCTCCAGCGATCCGCTCGGTGCGGGAGCAGCGAGATCAGTCATGGAGACCAAGAAAAGAGATCTAACGTGGCATCGCTTCGTGAAGAAACCACAATATGGACCCCTCCGTCGTTGGGAGCTCCCAGTTCGGCCAGCTCTTCCGCACACCTCTGCCCGGCAAATATGGCGGCGTCGCAGAACAGATCTTTTCTCAGCCACTCGTTTACACGCCCGACGGCGACAGCACGCAATACGTCTACGTCGCGACTACACAAAATAATGTCTACAAAATTAATGCAAAGACGGGCAGCATCATCGCTTCTCGCAGCCTCGCCATTCCCTTCTTGTCTGCCGACCTGGATGGGTGCTATGATATCGAACCTCACGTTGGAGTCACCTCCACTGGTGTCATTGATGCCTCGACCAACACTCTCTACCTCACTACCAAGACGTACGTCGACCAGACCCTGACTGGCGTTGCTCAAGGAAAACCTGCCGGCCGTTACTACCTCCACGCCCTGGATGTCAATGACCTCAGCGAGAAACCCAACTTCCCCGTCAACCTCGAAGGCACCGTAGCGAGGAACAACCCTATTCGCTCTTTCAACGGTGGTATCCATCATCAGCGACCTGCTCTGTTGCACGTCGGCAACTACATCTATGCTGGCTTTGCTTCCCACTGTGTTCAATACAACTTCACAGGCTGGATCATGGGCTTCGACAAGACCAGCGGTGCCAACGTCGAGCGTTTCGCTACCGAAGGTGACGGTGTCCCCGTGGATGTCAAGGGCGGTGGTGTCTGGATGTCGGGCGGCGGTCTCGCTTCTGACGATGCAGGCTCCTTGTTCTACGCTACTGGTAACGGATACGCCTCCCAGCTCAGCACCATTCCCGTCAACGGCCGCACGCCCCCGACATCTCTGGAAGAAGCCGCTGTTCACATGACAATCAACGCCGATGGAAGTTTGAGCTTGGTCGATTTCTTTATGCCATGGGAGAAGCAGGCTCTGGACGGTGCCGACAAGGACTTGGGAACGAGTCCCCTGCAGATTCTGCCCAGCACATTCTCCTGTGGCGACGTCAAGCGTATTGGTGTGGTGACTGGAAAGAGTGGCAAGACGTACTGGCTCAACTTGGACGACTTGGGTGGTTACCGCAACGGCGCCAATGGCCTTGATAACGTGATCCAGGTGTACCAGAACGAGAACTCTGTCTACGCCGGTGCGGGTGTGTACCCAGGCGAGGGTGGCTACATCTACATCAATGGTAAGCAAAAGCCCCCTTCTATCTGTCATAGCACTCGCGTATTCGAACAGAGCCACTAACAAGAACAGTCATTCAATACCCTACCCACGTCTTCAAGTTCTCCTGCGATGCCGGAGTTCCATCTTTCACCAAGGTTGCCGACAGCCCTCAGAACAACGCCTACATCCTTGGTGTCAGTCACGGCACTGTCACTACTCTCAACGGCCAAGCTGGCACAGGTCTTCTCTGGACTTTGGATGTACAGGGCTCTCAGCTCAAGATCTTCGAAGCCGTCCCGAAGAATGGCTACTTGAACATGATCAAGTCTTTCAGCGTTCCGGGCAGCACCAAGTTCACCAGAGCCGTTTTTGGTGATGGTATCATGTACCAAGGTACCACCCAAGGCTACCTGTACGCCTTTGGCTCGCCGGTCACGACACCGATCAACTGCACTGCTACCAACGAGTTTGGTGTCGTTGATGTTGGAACCACGAGCGACCCGCGCACCATCACTTGCACGGCCGTCATTGGTGTCACCGTTTCGGACATCGGCCTAGATGAGGCTGAAGACTTTAGTCTCTCTGGACTTCCCACACTGCCTCTCACTCTGACTGCCGGCCAAACATTCACAATTGGCGCGTCCTTCAAGCCTACTACCGTTGGTCTGGTGTCTTCCGATATCGTCGTCAACACAACCAACACGGCCGAGGGCTACAGCCAAGGAACCCATATCAGACTCACTGGTACTGGCGAGAGCTCGGGTCCTTTGCTGTCCATTACTCCCCCGACCATCACTTTCCAGGGCGTCATCGCCGGTCAAGCGGGTGGAACGGACGAGAGCGTCATCTTGTCTAACCAGGGGAACTCGGCCCTTTCCATCACTGATGTCCAGTTCTCCACCAGCAGCGCACAGGGTCCCTTCACCAGCTGGGACAGAGCCACTGCTACCCTTACCGTCGGAAAGTTCACCCTCACCAACGTTCCGGCCACAATTCCTGCCAACACTGCTGTTACCGTTCGTATCGCTTTCGACTCTTCTGTCAGCGGCACCTTCGGCGCGTATCTTCAGGTTGTTTCCAATGGCGGAACCAAGGCGTTCACCATTGCTGGCTCTGCAGGCCCGGCTCCCGTAGCCCTCGTCGAGTTCCAGACGCCCGATGGCACGGGATGGGTAGAGTATGACGCGGCCAAGAACTTCACCTTTGGCAACGTCACCGAGAACACTTCCCGATCTTTGAAGTTCCGTGTCACCAACGCTGCTGCTGAGGGTGGTGTCAAGCTCTCTCTCACCGTTTCCAAGCCGCCTTTTGGTGTTGCCGGCATCATTCAAGCCGCCAACCTTGTTGATCTTGCCGAGGGAACTGTTCTGGCCCCCGGCGAAAGCGCCACTGCCACCCTGGTGTGCACTGTTCCCAAGGCTCAGTGGAACACCGACCCGTACAGTGGCACGGCGCCTTGGACCATGAACACCAACGACCCCAACTTTGAGAAGCATTTCTTCACTTTTGAGTGCACTGCCGTCGCCGAGCAGGCGCCGCCCTTGCTCGGCAATGGCCAGGGCAAGTACCGCTACATCGGTTGCTATAAGGAGAATAACCCCGGCCGCCAGCTTGCCAATCAGTTGTACGGCGACGCTACGAGCACCAACGGCAAGTGTATCGCTGCTTGTGCTGAGAAGGGGTCCGTCTTCTGCGGTACACAGTATCACACTGAATGTTGGGGTGGCCCCAACATCCCCACGCTGAAGGTGGACGATCGCAACTGCAACTTCGACTGCGGTGGCGACCTCAACCAAATCTGCGGTGGTAACGGGTTCGGAGCCAACGAAGGCGGAGCTTACATATCCGTCTTTGCTGATTCTGTTCAATGGGACGGTAACACGACAACTCCCACGCCGAACCCGAACCCATCGGGCCCTGAGGTGAACCCAGGTGTCGGTCAGTACGTGAGCGAGGGTTGCTACACCGAGCCAGCCGACACGCGCGCCCTGCCTAATCTAGTCACAACGACTGGAAAGACTGTTGCTCTGTGTGTCGAGGCGTGTGCTGCTAGCAGGTACACCTATGTCGGCTTGGAGTACGGTGGAGAGGTCAGTGATAGATCTTTGACATGAATGACCTTAAGAACAACTTCAACTAACAATGAGACAGTGTTGGTGCGGAAACACTTTGGCCGCCGCCTCGGTCCCCGCCCCTGCTACCGAATGCAGCATGGCATGCGCTGATAACAGCACCGAGTACTGCGGTGGACCTTCCAGGCTCAACCTGTACAAGCTCGATGGCACCTTGCCTGAACCCACCAGTGCAGTCCCGACTGGCACCACGACTACTTCAGCCGCCCCGACTTCAACTGCTCCTCCAGCAAACGAGAGGGTCGGCGACTGGCTTTTCCAAGGTTGTTATACCGAGGGAACTGGCGTCCGCGCTCTTTCTTCTCGAACGTACGCCAACGACTCAATGACCCTCGAGTCCTGCGGCGGTTTCTGTGAAGGCCTCAAGTACTTCGGTACAGAATATGGACGGGAGTGCTGGTGTGGCGATGAATTCGGCACGGGCAGCGCTCTTGCAGCGAACCAGAAAGATTGCTCTTTCCCCTGCGCAGGCGACAGCACCCAATTCTGTGGTGCAGGTGACCGACTCCAAGTTTACATGTACTCGCCGGTGGCTGCGACGACCACATCGGCTGAGACTACAACCACTGCTGCTGCCTTTGCCTCCTTGGCACCTCCGTCCAACGGGACCGCAACCACGACCGCGACCGAAACCCCCCTGGCCGAGAAGCAAGCGTTTAACAGCACTGTCAGCACAACCGCTACCTTGACTCCGTCCAACTCTACCATCTCTAGTGTTAGAGTGACGGCCGAGGCTGTCACATCCACTCTTTCAGCAAGCAACTCGTCCATCCCGGCGACTGCTGAGGCTTCGACCACCTCATCCGCTCTTTCTACCACCAGCCTCTTGGCTACCTCGTCTGTCATATCGGCTACTTCATCGGCCTCGGTAACTGTGCTCTCCAACACCACAGCACCGGCTACTTCTTCAATCCCAGCCACCTCTTCAGTTCCTTCCACTTCCACATCCTCAACCAAGACATCAACCTCCTCCTCCGCGACCCCCACCCCGACCGGACCAGTCATCTCTACCGGCAACGAAAACTTCACCTACTACGGCTGCTTCTCCGAGCCGCAAGTCGGCCGTCTCCTCCCGGCCCAGATCATCAACCGCGACAACATGACTATCGGCATGTGTCTGAGCGCCTGCTACAACAAGAACTACGCTGGTGTCGAGTACGGTCGTGAATGCTGGTGCGGCGACAGCCTCAACATTGGTGGCGGAGGTGACACCACCCCGGCGGCCAACGTGACAGCCAAGGACTGCTCATTCACGTGCCCTGGTAACAGTACTGAGTACTGCGGTGCCGGTGTGAGATTGAGCTTGTACATCCTCAAGGACGAGCTCGAGAAGTTGCAAAAGTCCAACGCGACAGTTTCTTTCAAGTCGACATAAATCATGATTGAGCGGGGTTAATGTCTATTCTTATGTAATTACCTATAGAGGACCACGGTCTCCGTGCTGCACGGCAAACGAATGCAGCATTTTCCTAAAATATAATATTGATACCTATTACCTTCTAGTCCCATCAAAGAAGAACCCTCGTCCAGTGTATTACTTGCTCTTTCACAATCTCTTTGCTTGCATTATATTCCAAGTCCCTGCTCAGAGGCACCGGGCTATTGTGCCGTTAAGACAACCTTGATGCCCACCCAATCAAGATGTCGCCATAGGTTCACCCACTGCGGAAGCCCACACCACTTTACGACTTGCCTTGAGACCTGAGAGAGCAGTCACTGCCGAATTCCTTGCCGCGGGAGACGATCTTTTATGATCGACACTTACCCGAGCTGCAGGTGCGCCATTGACACAATGGACATCGACGAGAATATGTACCTTGGTCTCGTCATCAAAAATCCATAGCCGTAGGGCCAATGGGGAGCAAGTATTTGATGTACCTACCCAAGATCAGATCATGCTCGTTTGGGACATGTAAATCTCCCGAAAGTGATCGGCGAGAATCCCGCCCCTTGGGAAGGAGAATATTGTTGGCCGGGCTGAGAGCTCGCTATGCGCGGTTGGCGCACCCGATTCCCTCCAAGTTTTGCTGGGAATATGACCAGCAGAAAGGAACAAGCAAGGAAGGGAGGTCCAAGGGAGTCTCGAATCCTTCCAAGCATGATCAAATAATCCTCCAGTGACCCCTTCCAGATGTGAACAGTGAAGACCCGATGATGACTTTGCATCTGCAGGGCAAGTTCAACAGTCCGCAAGTGTCTCACCTAGCCGCTACCCAGGGGAACAGCCAATGCCAATCATTATTTGGATGGTATTTACGAAGCCTTGGCAAGAATCCAAGTTCGAGGCTTCAGAGCTCGAGACACAACCAGGATATACCATTTGTCAGGGGCCACGAAGCCTTGGGGAATCAGGCCACTGCGGCAGGCTGCAGGATCAAATAGCGGGCCCTCCTCCTCCTCCTCCTCGCTCGGGTGATATCGGCCTTAAAGCACTCGAGTCTATTTCCCAAGGCCTTGCGAGTCACTCGGCTGAGACGGTGAGGTCAGCGAGTCCAACCAGGTGGAAGGCGAGGGATCTAGACAAGGCTGGGCCTTGCTTTGGAAAGTTGTCGTGTGGCTGGATCTCGCCGGGCTCCGTTGTGGACACTCCAACATTCCCGATCTCTGAGCCGCCCAGCCCCCGGAATCTCACTGCCTCCACGACACCAACAAGGCTTCTGGCAGGGTTGAAGCTGTCACGGCTTACGCACGTTGCAGGTGGATGCATAGTCGCGACGGTTTCCGGGATGCTAGGCAACGAGCGCTAAGAAACGGGGTTTAGAGTTTCTGCACATCATCCCGAGAAGTGGATCTCGGGGCCTCTCGGTGGCGCCGGGCTTGAGAGCCGGGAGGAGGCGGCTTGATGTTGCGGAGGCTGGCACGGAGGAGATTGAGCACTTTCAGAGGCTGAGGTCTGAGTTTTACGACTCTGTCTGCCACACGAGGCTGTTGTGAAGACATAAAATTTACAAAGGGAGTTGAAAATCCATCATAGATTCCAAAGTGGCGCTCAGTCGTACAAGAGTAACAGTAGCATCTATTGGCGCAGCGGCAACTCCACTCCTATGCCTCTGCGAAATGCAAAGACCTCGGTGCTGTCTCAGGTTTTGGAAACATTGGACCGGCCCGGGTTGAGGTCTCAACCCGCTCTATCTCCTTCTCCAGGCTCCTATGTGCGAGCCTTGGCTCCGCCCGGAATACTTCTCAAGTTTTCACGAACTTCAAACACCGTAAGGACCCGGCGCGCGCGAGGTTGATCCCATCAGGTAGTGTGGGTGAGGCTGGTTGTGGGGTAACGATCTAGGTGGGTATCTGCCAACACACCAGGCTTGCGACTGTTCAACGTTGATTTGCTGAGTTTTTGCGAGAAAACTGATTCATTCTCTTCGGAAGCGGATTTGTCAAGATCAGATCATCTTGCGAGCAGCAAGGCGAAGAGTTGTGATTCCACACGGAGGATGAAGGACTTGGATTACAAGAACAAAAGGAAGGGGCCAGCGAATTGCAAATACAGAATGAATGAGTCGATTAGGAAACCCCGACTTGAGCTTGACCGCCCAAAGATTAGAAAATTAAAATCATCAACCTCGAATGTGGCGTGACTTCTACAGCGAATTCAAATTCCGGTTAGCTGGCACGATATTATAATGCGGGTCCCCCATTGTAAGGACTAAGCGCCGCGGCATTGCTTTTCTCGAGCCTCAGCCGTCGGCCGCACTCGCAGCGGAACCGGGAAAAGGTGGGCACAAACCTTCAAAGTCACGCCATGCAGCAGGGCTGGTGCCATGAATGTCTCAGGAACAACGGACAATAGGGCGGGTATCATCTCGGCAAGATGAGGGCGGAAGAACTTTTTACAACACTGCGGTTGAGGTATCTGTACGGTAAGGTATGGAGACGAGCTTTCATCTGCGTGTCGTGTAGGTAAAAGCCGGAAGTCGAGTTCAGATTTACGATGCCAGCTCCATGATCGGTGCTGGGATGAGGCCTGGCCGCAGGGACTGCTTCGTCCCGACTTCAGCTCGCGGGTTATGGAGTCGAGCAAAGACCAGCAGCGGGAGATCTGCATGACCCCTGTTTATTCGCAGACCGCGCCCGGGTCGTAAATCCAGTCTCGACGAAGGATGTGCTATTCTCATCGTGGCAGGACGAGCAACTGCAAGTTTGAGTGGAACACCCATGGGGCAAGATTCAAGAGAGGTACCTATATGGAATCCGGGGTTGGGGCGGCTGGGACATCCCCCTTTTGCCATTGGAAACCGTGGTTTTCTTCGCCATGGGAAAGAAGTGATACATGGATCCTTGCGAGGCGAGGGCGGGAATCGTCCGATAGACCACACTGTTCAGACTCGGCAAGGCAATAGCTGGGATTAAAGGTATGAAGTTGTTTCTCCATCCATGAAGCTGTCCTGAACACATTGGTTGTTCTATTTCGAAAGATCCCCTCAAAGCAATGAACAGCCTTCCCTTGCTGCCCTCGCCCCCTGATATCTCCACACATCAGTCAACCTCAGGAGACTCCAACTCCACTTCATTTGCTCCCGTTTGCGGGCTGATACCGCTGTCGTTATTGTTGCTGCTGTCACTAACACCGTTCTCTTTGCCCTCTCTGGCGTCAGTCTGCTCCTGTTCCTCAGGCTTGACCGGCTTAACAGGCACCTCGACGCGCAAGAGATCCACCTCAAGGGCAGTCATGCCCTCAGGAAGCTTTGACTTGAGCCCATCCTGCTCGACGTCAAAGTAGAGAGACCAAAAGTTCCCTGTTTTCACGACGCAGAATCCTTCCCAACTGGCGAATGTGAGTCGCTTGTCTTGCCTAGTGCAATCGAACGGGCCCGTGTAGTTGTGCTGAGCGTACGGCCGGGTCCCGAACTTGACCTCGTACGTGTCACGATCCACGTAGATCCAGTTCATGATGGGCGGCTCGTCGCAAATAGTTGAGACTAGACCGGCGTATTGGCTGTCTGGGTACGGCAGGAAGTAGCCCGCAAAATGGTGTCCAAATGCAGAATCGGGATCAGTCCCGGTGTCGACAAATAGCTGAGAAGGGAGCAAGCAGCTTTCATTAGCAAATCTAGTTTGGGACTCAAGGGAACGGGACTGGTGTGACTGGGATCTGAGATACCTTGTCTCCCGAAAGGACTACATGTTTCCCGTGGATATCTGGGGAGTGACATGTTGACTTGCGGCAGCGGATGATGAGGTTATTCTTCCGGCTGCGATGCTCTTTCCTCCGAGCTGACTGTTGTGTATGTCGGATAGCTTCCGCCATGCCGAAGACCGCCGAGAAGGCTACGATGAATTGAGCGACCATCTTCACTCCCTAATCAAGTGGGTGATGTCCCTGTTGTGTATTCAACGGATGGGAAAAGGGGGACACTGCAGCCCAACGGAGGATGGATTTATGCCAGTGTCTGGCAGAACTTTGCCCCCGATGTATTCCGTTCAAGCATTTCGAAATAATACCTTGAGCGAAAAGCTCACCGACCAGCAGGCATCACCCCCGGAAGCATATATGTGCTTTCTTTTGTTGGGAGCTGCGCGGGAAATACCCCGTCGGGCAGAAAGTCAATGAGCTGTCTCTCCATTGCAGAAATCTCCACCGCCAAGTTCCTATGCCATCCTTGTCGAGAGTCCCCCAGCGGCGACGACAGCAGCAGTGCTACAGCAGCGTACGACGGCGACGTCCGGACGAAAGGAAAATTGGATGATGATCTCCAATCTTCATATTACTCTTGTGCGACAATGTCTCACCTCATGGCCGTCGAGCAGAGGATAAAAGAGGAAGCAGATGCCCAGCTGTCATGGCCGTCTTCTTCCTCGGCAGCACCAAGATTCCTCAGTCTCATAGCAACTCGGCCTCCAGGCACTCTCGCAAAAGATCTCCTTCCGAGCAGTCTCTCGACAAGATTCCGCCGGACCAGCAGCCACCGCCTGAAAAGCCTGAGCTTCGCCAGAGACCATCGCTCAAGTTCATCCACGTACGAAGTCTGGGATCGCCGTCTTCTTCACGACCGTCCTCTCCTGATCGTCCGGCCTCGCCCCGTCCGCCATCTTCACTCTCAAAGCCCTCCCGCCCGTCGTCCCCTAGACCTTCGTCTCCTCGACCTTCAACCCCTCGTCCATCCACTCCGCCTCTATTACCCCCTCCACGTCCCCGATCAACCACCACCGCAACCATGTCTTCCCCGTAAGTATAACCAACTGCCCAACAGGTCTGAACCCACGACCAATTGAATTTTTGCTCCCCTTTAGAACCAAGAACTCGGTTCCCCCGACCAGCACCACCACCTCTAACCCGTCTACCACTACCACCAGCTCCAGCAACCCCCTCAACTCAGGCACGAGCAACAGCAGCTACCCTAACAACTCTCTCAGCACCAGCAATCCCAACTCGTCTCTCAACAACACTAACAACACCAAGTCCATCAACAACAACAACACCAACAACCAGAACAGCGGCTTCGGTAACTCTCTCCCCATGCCCGGTCTCTCCGGCCCCGCCAACGGACCCATCGGTAAGGTCATCCCCTCTACTATCTCACACTCTTCCCTATAGGCCACGAACAAAAGACTGATACGATACTTCGGCAGGAAACCTCCTCAAGGGTCCCGTTGACGACAACGGCAAGCTCAAGGACGCCGGCCTCATGGTCGGTATCAAGCTTGACCTTGAAGCCGAGGTTCACCTCACAGCTCGGGTCCGAGGTGACATCCTCGTTGGCCTATACTAGGCTCGCGCGCGCACAAGAGACCAAGGTCGGTGATCTACGGGTCGAGATCGAGGTCGTATGTGAAATCATCAGGATGAAATGCCTGAGTGGGAACGGTGATTATATTTCGGTGTGCATCGAGAGGTTGGTTTGGAATTTTCGGGTCGCTGGGCCAAAGGGACGTGTTGGCGGTAGCTTGACTATAACTGCAATAAATCTCGACTGAAAACTCATAATTTTGACTCCTCTTGATGATGCTGCGAGCCAGTGCTGTATTGATTCTCTGGCCTTTGTCGGACGCAGGCATTGATATACTGATGCCAGATTCCTCCCTCAGTGTTGTTGTTGCAAGTTGTTGAGAAAACCCTATCTCAGGACATTCGGATGGTATCAAGAGTCAACCTAACTTAGTCGAATGAGACCTCATGCTTACAGTATCGAACGAATTTTAGAACGTGGCTAGAGAACAGATAAGCACGCACACTCAGAAGCGTCAGCTGATGCTCAGTAGAGGTTCTTGTGGCGGTTGTCGAGTGCCACAAATCCCATCTTATCTTATTCAGCTTTACCTATTTTAGCCTGGGTTGGCGGGAAGGTCTCGTGATCCTCTCGGGCGTCTCATTTTAGTCAGCGAGGCGTCTCAAATGAGATGTCACTTGAGCGACTCAGAAGCGAAATGTGACGACCTGAAGCTTTGGAGACGTGGGGTTACACCGAAAGCGGCGTCCGCATGGCTGGCACATGGCACTAAGGTAGCTTTCAACTAGGAGCTGAGACTCCAACCCCTCCGCCGTTTTCTTTGCCAGAGAACCTCACTTTGACTCTCCAACATCTACAAGATACATCAGATCCATCAAATTTCTCAGGATATCACGACCGAAAAGATGGCTGTTGTTCTGATCTTCGCCGTCGCAGTCTTCTTGGGACTACTGGTGAAGGAATTCTACTCTTGGTATCGGCTATCCCATGTCCCTGGGCCGTTCTGGCATGGAATCACTGGGTTTTCGATGGCGCGAGCTGCGTTAAATGGGTCGGTTCATGAGTACTACATGGAAATGCATGAGAAGTACGGTATGAGTGCTTCCGATCCCAACCCTGATACGGCGGACAAGTTGACCCAAGATTCAAGGCCCCTTGGTTCGTATCGGGCCCAATACCGTCATGTTCAGCGATGGCGACACGCTTAGAAAGATTGCCGGCACTCGCAGTAAGTACATCAAGGGCGAGTGGTACGCAGTCGGAAGAACCACTCCGGGAGAGGATCACTTATTCTCGATGCGAGATGAGGAGAAGCGCAAGTATTTGAAGAGCAAAATGGGACCTGGTGTGAGTTTCGCTCTATTCAGCGTGGGTAAGGACGTCTCTGCTGACTAAAAAACGCAGTATTCAGGCTTGGAGAACGGAGGGTTTGAAGCTGGTATAGATAAAAATATCGCAGCGTTCGTTGACCTCATCGACCGCAAGTACATCTCCACCGCAAAGGACTTCAGACCGATGGACATGGCCAGTAAATCAACTTACTTTGCCCTTGATGTCATCAGCGAGCTTAGCTTCGGTACCCCATATGGCTTCCTCAAAGAAGATCGAGATCTGTACCAGTATGTTGCCACGAAAGACGCCTTCTTTCCGGTCATGATCACTATGGGAAACGTGCCGTGGTTGGCTACGCTTATGCACAGTTGGCCTCTCAATCTGGGGCTGCCAAAGTCCGGAGATTCAGCTGGATTTGGAGCGCTTATGGGGTGAGTGGTTGCTGAACACCCAGAGCATGCGAGTAAGTGAGACGGCTGACATGCATTGCTCAGGTTTGCCAAAACCTTTGTTGATGGACGGCTGGCTCCGGATACGAAGCCCGGCCGGGACATGATTCAATCATTTATCAATGCTGGTCTGACGAGGGAAGAGCTGACACAGGAAGTTTATGTTGAAACGTGAGCGCCTCGTTCGCCGTAGGATCCTGACCTGTTCAAAAGCTGACTGTTCATAGCATTGCTGGTTCTGACACCACGGCAACGGCCATCCGTATGATTCTCCTTTCACTCTTGTCCAATCCGCAAGCCTTCACAGCCCTCCGCGCCGAGATTGATACTCTCGTCTCCAACAAGATGATTAGTTCCCCAGTCAAAGATTCGGAAGCGAGATTCATGCCATATCTTCAAGCTGTGATACGCGAAGGTCTTCGTCTGTACCCACCATCTACCGGCATTGTCAGCAAGCAGGTCCCATCAGAAGGGGACATGATCCATGGATATCGACTGCGTCCAGGGACGCAGCTGGGAGAGAACGTGTGCAGCATCGGCCGATCGAAGGAGATTTTCGGACCAGATGCACACCTATTCAGGCCAGAGAGGTGGATAGATGCAGCAATGTCTGAAGACGAAGGGAGGTACAAGGCGATGATATCAAACACCGATATGGTCTTTGGGTATGGCAAGTTTTACTGCATGGGAAGGAATATCGCATTGATGGAGCTGAACAAGGTCTTCGTCGAGGTAACCTGAAACTACTGTTGTTTCTCTGATGAACCAAAGCCTTTACTAACGTCTTTACCCGCAGCTTCTACGTAGATATGATTTCGCTATTGCAAAGCCTGAAAAGCCTATGAGATTGTGGAGTGCAGGATTTTGGATAACACATGACTTCTGGTTGAGGATCACGCTGAGAGGACGGTGATAGCTAGAATACCAGAGTTGAGATTGCGATGTTCCAGTCCTATCTTATCTAAAACTTTAGGTATTAATTGGTATCGTGAAACCATATCAGTAGGGTGATGCAAAACTTCAGCTTGCTTGAACTCATGTAGATGTCGAAACACGTATTTAATTGTGGTTCTGGCCAGGAGTTGCTTCTGCGAAACTTACAACCGATCCGTGAAAATCGCGGAAGCCGTGACGGAAGTTAAAGGGTCACATCGTCTACGAACAAAATGTTCAGAAGGGCCTGTGCACTGCGGTCTTGGTATTTGACTCCACGGCCATCAGGACACGCACCTACGGCAGGTCACTCATGTGGCTACAGTCTTGTGTGCGAAACCGAGTTCCGATTCAAACCCTCTCGGTTGCTTGTCAAGGGATTCAGCCATTTCCAAAGTTCTGACGTGAGACATTAGACCGGCGGCTGGGCTTCTGGACGTGGCCCATCAAGCCAATCAATCCTACGCAGTTACTGATTTCGACTGGTTCCTTAGTCCATAGCAGCCCCGTAATCGAACTAGTGCAACCCCTGCTTTGTGGAGTAACTAAATGCAGCTTTCGTGTAGACGTTCCAGTGGGATATCAATGAGCATCCTCGATGCCTGACAGGGTTTAGGATGCTGACACCCGACTGCCGAACTCCCAATACGATTACGAATAGCCCCTTGAAGGATCTGCGGCAGGTCAACGCTTTTAATATATGATCCTGATTGTCCCTATTGGCTTTCCGGTGTTTCTTCCTCTCTTCGTGACTGATCTTACTGCTAGAACATTGCAAAATGGAGCTCCCTGCGCTGGCCGGCACGGTCTTCGCAGTTGTTGTCATCGGCTGTTATTTGCTCGAGTCCTTTTTCTACCTCTCAAAAAATCCGCAAGAGCCAGAGTACATCAGACCTCGCGTACCATTGATCGGTCATCTTCTCGGTCTGAACAAGTATGGCTCTGGCAACTACTTTACCAAAGTCGGGTAAGTTGCTGCCTCCTAGTTTCAATGCCAGGTAATGCTGTAGTTGACATGATATGACAGAGCCGATGCCAAGTCCAAGATCTTTTCTGCGCCCATCTTCTCCTTCAAGTTCTACATTATCGCAGAACGCAAGTTCATCTCGTCGATCCAGCGCAATGCCAGGACAATCTCTTTTGCGCCCTTTGCAGCCAAGGCAGCACACAACTTTAGCGGTGCTGACGAGAAGGCCACCAACTTGCAAGATCACCTAGGAGGTGGCCCCGAGGCCAAGGAATTTGATAGAGTCCAGCGCACAACGTTGGCAGCTGGTCCCGAGCTCGATGACATGAGCCTTGTTGCAACTCAGGTGAAACTCGAAATTGTTGACAGATTAGCCGCAAGTGCCCTCGAATCATCAGAAACAGGCGTTCCGATCGATCTGTTCGCCTGGGTGAAGCATACCGTCGGGCTGTCAGCTACGGAAGGGATGTTCGGTCCTCTGAACCCCTTCAAGAACCCTGATCATGAGGCTGACTTCTGGTACGTACTTTCTCATAGCCCATGAAGACTTCGTGTGAGAGAACTGAGTTCTAGACGAGAAGCTGATAATCTACAGGATCTTCGCTGATAAGGCGCACTTGCTTCTTCCGGGAGGTATCATTGCAGAGTTGTTTGCGAAAAAGGCAATGCAAGCGCGGGAACGGAACGGCTTACGGTACGAAGAGTATGTTCGCCTCGGGGGCACAGAGACAGCCTCAGGTCTTCTCAAGGGTCGATCACGAATTATGGCAGAAAACGGAGTATCGCCACGCGATATTGGTCGTATAAATATTGGCTTTGACATTGCTATGCTGGCGAACTACGTGCCAACAACATGGTGGTCCGTCTTCGAGGTCTTCTCTCGTCCGTGGCTTGTCGACGCAATCCGGGAAGAAGTACGCAAAGCTGTCAAGAAAGATGAAAACGGAGAAATCTGCTTGGATATCTCTATCATCAAGTCAGCATGTCCTCTACTCCTCTCATCGATTCAGGAAGCGCAGCGCTTGCATACCATCCACGCACACATTCGAGAAGTTCTTCGTGACACAACAATCACGGTCGACGACAAGACTCAGCTTCTCAAAAGCGGTAATTATGTCCAGATCAACGGCATTCCTATCCTCCGAAACGAGGAGACATGGGGTGCAGATGCTACCTCCTTTGATGCCTACCGATTCATCAAGATGAAGAAGAAGCCTGATACGCCAGGTGTAGCCGCCCCTGGAGACTTGGCTCCTCACTCCTTTCCCATCTGGGGCGTGGCACCTCACGTCTGTCCTGCACGATGGTTTGCAACTACTGGCACCATGACGCTCATTGCGTTGATGACTTTGAAACTCGATCTGGAGGTTGCGCCAGATTTCAAGGGCGAGGGCCCATCTGGAAGGGAGTGGCGGATGCCCAAGGTCGAAGGCCTCTTTGTAGCATTGCATTCTCCTGCTGAGCCGATCCCTATTACGGTACGGTCGAGGAAAGAGTTCGAAGGCAAGTGGAAAGTTGAGACTGGCGCACCAGGGACAAGATTACAACTATCGGTAGGCTAAAGCCTAAAGAAGCCATGAAAAACATTTAGTCTTGGGTAATTGGCACCAAACTTGTGATCTCAAATCAAGTCATGGTGCGCTTAGTACATGTAACTTTATTCGGCAGTTCTTATTGTGTGATATTCGAAAAGGTGCGATAAAGCCTCAAGTAACTCAGAAAGTATGGATCAAATGCGATGTGCATGCAAGTAGCACTTGCCCGGAGGGATGCACCTTACAAGTTGTCTCGCTTTTCTTCTTTTCAGAGAGCCCTTAAACCTTGATAGTGATATCTTCAACGGTATTGGAGAACAATGCTAGATTATTGGTTCCCTCGCAATTCTGGACGCAAGACTATAGTCTAGGACTTGAGGCCAGAAGCTAAGGCATTCAGGCTCTTTTGGGTTCCACTTTGAATTCAAACTACGTATTATATACTAGGGATGCTATATGCTTCATGTTGTAGTTGTGGTGTCATTCTCAAAGTCGATTAGGTGCTCAAAGGCCAATAACTTAGGCGCGGTAGTTGTTCCAGAAGCTCAACATGCGGGTCTGCTGGCCAGCGGTGAACTCCTCGTAGCAAGAGCTGTTTCATACTTTAGCAAAAAGCTTTCGTGGTTTCAAGGACGCAGTTAACTTACTCGTAGGAGTAGTCCATGTAGTTGTGGATGGGGTCGAGGCCGGCGATGCTGGGGCAAGAGTCACGACCGGTAGGGCATCCGGAAGAAGCGCTAGCCTGGGCAGGGGTATCGGCAACGGAGTCTCCACCGTTGCAGCCGCCCTGGAAGGTGTGGTACAGACCAAACCAGTGGCCAATCTCGTGGGTGGCAGTCTTTCCGAGGTTGAAGTTGGTCTCGCTTCCGCCGGGAACCGTCGACGACAGGATGGTGCAGCCGTCGGCGATGAAAGCAGAGGAGCCGGGGGAGGCGGTGGTGGGGAACGTGCAGATTCCGAAAGCACCTCCGACGCTCTTCAGGAAGTACAGGTTGAGACTACCGTAGTCACCCTTACGGAGGGCAGTCTTCATGGCGGTCTGGCTGCTGTAGCCGGCCCAGGCGGAGTTGATGGTACGGGTGGTCTCGACCAAGTTGAACTGGATGCCGTGGGGGGCAAAGTTGGAGTTCATCACGGCCAACTGGTCGGTGACCATCTTGTCCTACACGCATATCCCATGTAAGTGACCGTCTTCTGTGAAATGTGCTTAAAGTGAAGCTAGGGAAAGAACATGAAGCTGGGAAGCTAGGAGATCTTACGGTGATGTATCCATTGGCCACAGTCTGGGAGGAGGCCACGATGTGGAAGTAGGTAGGAACGGTAATGGTGGCCAGAGCAGCCAGGCTGACAGTACCGTTGTTGGCGGCCTCCTCCTCAGCAAGCTTCTTGGAGATCTCGATGTGCTCGGCAGACGGCTCCTCGGTGGCACAGCCGAATCTAACGGCGGGGGTGACCGCGGCAGAAACGGAGGCGGCAAGAGCCGCGACGAGGGCAAGGTTGAAGTGCATATTGACAAGAGTGATCCGGGGACCGGGAAGCGAACAGGCGACTTGGATAGGAGTTGCGAGACTGAGAGGGATGTCGAGCTAAGAAGGGGAACCTTGATGGCAAGAGATCTGGGCTATATATACTCGATCATCAGTCTCTCCTGATGAGAATCATCTTGTCGTTGTTGGGCTTCTATTCTCGGGGCTCTGGGAGTTGCCTGGTATGTTGCAGCGAGCCGAATCGGCTTAGAACGATGCCCTAACAGGAAGCCCAATGACAACTGTACTACAAAAGTAAAAAGGCGCATCAGCTGATAGCCTGATAGAAAGAAACCGGAAACGAGCCCGAGACTTGTCTTTCCATTGCTTCAGACGCCTTCCTCATCTGGCTGATACCAAGACTCAGTTGCAGCTGAGGTTGAGTTGGGGTTCACCAAAAATCATCCGTGGAAGCCGCGGGGTATGATATCTGCCACCTTCTGTGTTCTGCGGTCAAGTTAGTGTTGTTGATAGCCAAGCGAGAGAGAGTCAGATTAGTGTGGGGACTTGTCCTGTGGCCCGGCAGAGGTTCTCTCCTTGCATGAAGCGATCAGACCGAGAGGGAACAATATGCTCGTCGTAATACGGTCGGGCGCCGGCTTCGACCGATAAGCTTAAATTGATCTGTTGATCAACCTGACCTTAATGAAGGGCCGGGCGGACTGTGTGGGATGAGTCTTGGTGTTGGTCGAATGGTAGACAAGCTTCACAACTGGCGCTAGCGGCGTGTGGTTGCACTGTATTAATTCAACTGCTTGTTACTGCTAGTATGCCAAGCGCTGCCAAGACGGCCTTTCGTCCAACTGTAGAAGCACGATAGAACCTGCCTATTTAAGCAATAACTTGGTAACACTGATGACTGAACTTGCTTCTTTCATTATCAGTCATTGGTACAGGCAATGAAGCGAAGACTAATCAATGTCTCGGGGTAACTCTGAGCGTATTGATTTCCGCGTATCAGGTTGAAGCAAGGCAACAGCTTCTTCCTGAAATGGGGCTGCTTGCAGGAAGATAAAAGGACTTAGTTTCCGGAGCTTCCACGTTGGATCATTAGAGCTAGACGCCCCAGCAAGTATCTCTTTCGGTTATGTGGCGTTCTGGCGACATGAGGTTGAAGAATATGCAATACAATAGAATTGTATACCGTAAGTAGCGGAAGCATCGTAACCCCTCATTGGCTCTTCAATCTGCGGCGTTTGATAGTATACTCTGTATATCCTTCAGACTGGCACAGCGTTAGACACTATATCTCGCGCTCATGACTAAAAGTTCTCCTGTGTGCAACTGAGTTCTCGCCATGTCGCTTTGTCGAGTCGTCGTATTATTAATTGCGGAAATCTGGTAGTACAGGCCTCGCCTACGATATGCTGCCACAGTAACACAAACTTTGACTGCCCGGCTTGGTACCCACTCGATTTTCATAATCTGGCTTGCAAGTCCCTTAATTCGTGACATTGTCCTTTATGACTCACTTGGAGGCACCCATCCCAGCTCCTCCATCGGCCACTGAATCCAAGGCTTGTGGCTCTCATCTAGCAGCTCCCACGCCTGTGATATAAGATGGATCGCCCAGCCCTGAAGCCACCATTGACTCTCCAACCTCTTCAGCACCACACAAAAGTGGGCATAAATGACAATGGCCTCTTGATTCGCCCTCGGCTCTTTAAGCAGAGGTAGAAATTCATCTGACACGAAGTATTTCCAGATGAACATGTCCATGATGTCCATACCACGGCCTCCACTGTGCAGAGCAAGAGAAAGAGGATGGCCTAATTCGTCAATGGCCAAATTGTGGACGCGCAGCAACTCTTTGTCGATATTGCTACCGCTGACGCGCTTTCGCAGACTTTCCAAGGCGGCTGGTCGAGCTCGCGAGTCATCACGCGCGGTAAAGAATCGTTCCTTTGCGTATGTCAACAGAGGGGTCAAGGGACCCTCGTAGTTCTTCGAATTGAGGAGTTTGATAAGAGAACAAGCTCCAGATAGGAGGAATGTCCAGTCCGGGAATGCGGATTCCCAGACAACGACCGATTCCTTCAGATAGCGTCCCGATGCCAGAGCTGAGGTTTGTAAGTCAGTGTACTGTCTGTGCAGGCGCAATGTCGGATTGACGACAACGTAGGAAAGAGAAAACGAGGTGCAACAATGCATTTCGTGATTCAAACACGTAGTGATCACTTACCGAAGAATATTGTAAGAAGTGAAAACAGAAACAAGTTCTCGGCATTTCGTTCATCAAGGGCGCTCATCAACTCCATTGCTTCTCTTGAGGCTGATCGATGATAAAGCAAGGCCTTGGCTACAAGAGCTTCCTTTCGTTCTGGCCGCTGGTGAGCTAGATGTAGAGCCGATATGGAGAGCAAAGTTCGCATGACATATTCGCATTTAAGCGCCATGCGCACCACAGAGACTCGCCACATCTGTCGGACGAGGTCATCTGTTGATAGAGTCATGTACACAGAGGTAGTGAAGTTGTGGATCAGCTCCAAATCGACAAAGTTGAGGGCTTGGTCGACGGCCGGCGCCAGCCTGGTAGATGTCGCTAAGTCGTCTGTGTTTCGGGCGTCCAGGCTTGTCTGCAATGTAATTTGCATGCTGCGCATTGATATCGCCATCGAGCGACTTTGCAGGAAGTCGCACGTCACTAGGTGACGCACGCAGTTTTGACATGCTGGCTTCAATTCATCACACTTTTTGGAATTCGATGTTAGCAGGTAAGGCAGGGTAGAGTACATGTAGGTACCATATTGGGTCAAGTTGCGCAAATTCGGCAGAGGGGTTGTGGTGCATGGACGGCCTTGAGCGTAGCGCCCAAGGATCCATCACTAAAAGAAGAGATGGCGTGCAGGACTGCAGGGAGACAGTGTGTCATCAGACGAACCTTGATTTTACGTCTCTTGCAAGTGTGGCATCCAAGCTTGGATTTCCTGTGCGGTTTCTTGGAAACTTTTGCCGCAGTCCTCCGCTCCGGAAGAACCTCCATCGCGTCCGATGCTCCTCGACACCTCCGTGCCGGATACGTCGCCGATTGTTATCCAAAGGTGAGGTAGAACCCCTGGAAGCTGCTGTGTGGTATTGCCGGAAAAAGAGGGATAACAATACCGGCAACAAACAAACAAACATACAACAGGCCGTCTACCGATCTCGAGTTTATGATCCAAGATTAGCGGGAAGTCGGAAGGGCGGGAAGTTCCAAGTTTCCGAGCCTACATTTACTGATGCTGACGTTGACGCCGGCCGGAGAAATGGGTGGACGGCGTTTAAAGCCGATGGATCTCCGCGAGGCAGTGCTCGTATTATTCGCTTAGCAACCACAACTTCGGGAACCTAGCCGAATGCAGGGTGAGCTGGTTCCCCAGTAGCTTTCACACTACGAGTAATATGAGATGATGTTTAATCTCAATGTTATATAGCTTCCATATAGAAAATTGAGAAATCTTTATCATCGGTGACCATTTGTGATATTTGCGTCCCTATAGCATTTAACTGTAAGCTGCGAGGTGTCTATGACTTGGTACCGAGAGGGACTCAGAATCTACCTCGTTGCTGCTCCATAACGTTAAGATTTGCAGAAGTACAACCTGTTCTGTCGCCGCAGGCCTCGGTCTTCCTTCAAAATTTTCAACTCTGTAGTTAAGACTTACAATCAGGAGCTTTGAGCTTTGAGCTTTTGTGCTCTTGTTTGTCCCAGGAGGCAAAATGATGAATCTAGCGAACACAGAACGTGAAGTCGCCTTTGCCAAGCGTGCCATTCTAAGCCACGGTTCGGTTCACTGTAGACAGTATTTTCCATTAGATTTAACTCAACTAGTGGTCCCATCTCACTCAAAGTAGCCTGAATCCCGGTCTTGGTTTTGCGGTACATTGAGGACTCTCTACGACCTGCTTACTGCAATAGCTTAGGTAGTGTACATGTGGAGTCTAGACCTCGTGCTTCGATGGGCTGCCCTCACGTATAGGTTTGGGGAATAAAAGTTCCGAGGCATCAAGTTTCAATTGTTCATGAGAGTATTGTGGCATTCCAGGATCACCTCCATGATCGTGTAGTTCTCTTTCTCTCTTTGCTCATGTTAAAGCAACAAGGAAATTCTTGTGAGCTCGTACACCTGGGCTCATGCACCAGCAGTCTTGTAATTTGCAGAGAGAACGGAAATTTGCGAGTAATTCCCTTGTGTTTCCAGCCCAAAGCCTTGTTGTTTCTATTCCAGGATTCTGCTGTTGCGAATGGAGTAACGCGGAATCTACTGGATAATTCGTCATGATTTATCTCAATATTGCGAGGACCAGTCTTGATGCTCTTTCTCCCAAACAGAAGATCGTTTCTCCGAATAGATATACCTAATCCAACTCACGTAATTACAAACCGAAGAACTTTTAGAGAAATACTTCAATTGAGCGATAAGACGTAAGAGGTGCAATTGTATTGTCGAACATAGTCTCAGACCACGAGCAGCCGACGGCAAGCAAAATAGTTGGACTTACGCCACACAACCGCCCACTGTGGTATGCAGATGTTCCTAATTGCAGGGGTGCGGATGCACAACCAACCGTAGGATTCGATCACTTCCAACATGCACCTTCCTGCCCACTTTAGCGAGAAGAGGGGTAGGAATGGCAAACACATATGATACGTTACCAAGTGGTCCGATGCCATTTCGCTCCCGCTTCTTCAGCGCAACATCTGCCCGTTTTCTCACCGGAACCCCACGATCCCTTTCAACGAAAGACAGAATAAGAGCCATTGCCAGGTCTCACTCTCCCAAATCATCACGATATCGATAGTACAGCATGACCACACCGAACGATGACCATCTCGCAGTTGATGAGGTGCATGTATGGTTTCCACGGAAAAGGCCCATGAAGCTGCGAAAGTTCAATAGTGACCCTTCTTCCAGAGTGAAACCGACGGTTCGTCGGTGACCAATGTAAGCGAACCCGGTGTCGGGCTACCGATTCAGAGTGCTTGCCATGATAAACTTACAAACCTCATTCTTTGATAGTCAAGTCTTGCTTCATCTACTACAAGCGTGACTAGCTCCATTCTAGAGTATCGTATCGAGAACGGACGGACCTACCACAAGTACAAGGACGGCAGTGAGTCCGCACCCATCGTATGACAGCAAATTCCGTCACTGACCTCGCCAGAATACGCCGCTCCCAACGATGAAAGAGAAAATGATCGCCTTGGTACGTCTTCAAACTGGTAGATTATCATTGACATAGATTGGGGCATCAATCTTGAAGCTGGATAGGACTGATTTAATTATGTCAGACCTCCAGCACAACCTGTTCATCCGAACATTTGATGATCGGCTTGGCACCGCGCCGCCGAACGATCCGGACGCCAAAGTTGGCAGAACTTTGGATGTCGGTACAGGATCTGGTATATGGGCTATCGACTTTGGCGACGAACACCCCGAGGCTGAGGTATAGGGACTCTTGAAGTACGAACTAGACGCTATGCAGACTGACGGGGGTACAGGTAATCGGCGTCGATTTGTCGGCAGTCCAACCCGCGTTGTATGAGAATCACCCATTTCCCAAGGAACGCTTCTCAGCTAATCACTTTGTCTTGTAGTGTTCCTCCAAACGTCCAGTTTGAAATCGATGACATTGAGGAGCCATGGACGTTCTCGAAGCCCTTTGATTACATCCACAGTCGAATGATGACAGGCAGCATCAGCAACTGGAAACGATACCTTGAGAAATGCTTCGAGTCAGTAGTGACCCGGAATCTCTCCTCAAAACCGGACGAATACTAAATCAGCCATAGCAACCTTGCCCCAGGCGGCTACCTCGAGCTCAATGACATCGACGCAGTCCCTGTCTCCGACGACGGCACCCTGACAGAGGAAACCTCGCTCATGAAGAGCGTCCGCCTCTGGTCCGAGGGGCTCGCTAAATTCGGCTCCCCCTTTGAGGAATTCAGCCGCTTCGAAAGCGTGCTCAAGGAGATTGGCTTTGAAGACGTCCACATTCAGCGGTTCAAGTGGCCGACCAACGGCTGGCCCAAGGACCAGAAGCATAAGGAGATTGGGATCTGGAACTACGAGAACTTGGCGCCGAACTGGGAGGGATTCCTGATGGCGCCGCTGACCCGGGCGTTGAACTGGACAAAAGAGGAGGTTCTTATTCTCGCCATGGAGGCGAGGAAGGATTTGGGGACAGGAACATCCATGCTTACTACAACATGTAAGGGTGTTCTCTCTCTCATTGTCTTCATGCTATTGAAGTGGTATCAAGCTAACGTGTGAAGCTGGTCCATCTACGGGAAGAAGCCGTTGACGACGGAGGAGGTTCAGCCGGCAGCAGAAGGTTGATTTTTGGGAATTGGTTCAGCAGTTCCGTCAGGAAGAGTTACAATCCTCAAACTTCGAGAGAAGTATGTTTCGTAGTCAACCAAAACACAGCGACACTTGATGAATTTGATCCGAGCTTGTGAGGGATTATTCGACTAGACGTATGACCCATCAACGAATCCTCTCCCATAGAGTAAAATATCCTCAAACGGATTGCTCGCCCTCAGAACCCGTCTCCTCGGGCTCCCCCGATCAACACAACTAACATACCCCGCCGAAGTCTCATTAAACCTCTGCCGCCCCCTCGCAACAACCCGGAACTCAGGCACCAGCGGACCCAACCTCTTCACCTGCCCACCGCCCTCCGCTGCTTCCACCTCCAACCCGTCCTCCCACGCCCAGAACCCGTCGTCGGCGTCGCAGGGGAAATCAATCGTCAGCCTCGCCGCGACGGACGCTGGTACGCAGTTGTATAGCTCGCGGAACTCGGGCAGCAAGCGGCGCGTGACAGGGCACTCGGCGTCGAGCCAGAGGTAGATGCTCTCCGCCTGGCAAGAGTCCTGCTCGGAGAGTATATGCCACATGGAGGCACCGTTGAGGTAGAGGAAGTTGCCGCTGTCGTGGCGGAGGGAGATGTTGAGGCGGCGGGCTTGGTGGAGGTATTTGGGGCGGGGCCAGCGGAGGATGCGGTGGAGGGTTTGACCGTCAGTTATCGTTAGGGTTTTGGCTTCTCTGAAGGATTCTACGCTTTCGTTGTATCTGATGAACAATCACGGTTAGTGGGTTACTTGTCGGGGTAGGGAGAGGGAGGTGGCTTACATCCGCTTACAGGACAGAAGAAGAGCCATGTAGGCTTGCGTCTTGTTCCCGTCTACTTCGCGCCCGTCTCGTATATCCTCCCATAACCTCTCGCATTTCCAGTGATTACACCAAGGAGATGTCATTCTTTTGAACCATTTCGGATGAGGCTGAACCTCCGCTGTGGAACAGGACTTTTGGAAGTCTTTGGCGACCCCATTCTGACGCTCATCAGGTGCCTCGTGGTCTGTGATGCAGGGAGAGAACAAGAGTTTCCTATTTCTTAGGAAAGCATGACGTTCGACCCCAGCCGAGATCCAGAAGTGCCTGTAAATCTGATGCCGAATTTCAGGTGGCAGCTGCCGAAAGAAGGTTGACTGGCCCTGGTGATGCTCTTTCCTCGGTGTCTTCAAAGCCTGTTGTTGCGTCAACTCCTCGCTGATGGGTGTTTCATTCCTAATGTTTCCCTCGCTGCCGACTTCTTCCTTGATAGGCTCCTCTGGAATGGGCCGGTCCAGAGCCATGTGATCCTCCTCTACAGTTTTTGTTGTGAACAGGGACGACGTAGAGAACGATGACCTGAACGATGATCTACTGGCTAAAGACCTTCCGCTGGTACTTGACTTGTCGTCGGGCCGTGGCTTTTCTCTCATTGAGGCTTTTCTGAGAACCCGTAAGCACTTCTTAGAGGCCCTATGCAAGAGACTCGGGTGGTTCAGAGCCTCATCAAGATTCGTGAACCTGGTTTCGAGCGTCATGTTGGTGGTCTGCCGTACAGTGTGGAGTAGAGGGATCAAGAGATGTCAAAGAGTTGTCGTCGTTTCAAGAGTCTCGATCCTCAACAAGAAGGTGCGAAGAGACGCAAGAAGAGGACAAGAGTGCAGATCAGGCAAGGGTACCTCCGGAGGGTGCTCAAGAGGGAAGCCAGACCTGATATAGATGAGTTATTTGCTTCGCAGTGTCTCGGATAGCTACTTGCACCCTCGAAGCAAGCCGTGTGCAACCAATCAAGGCTGTGGAATGTTCAACTGTCCCGGTAACTTGGTAAAGAAGCCCTCGCCCTCGCCCAACCAGAGTTGCAGTTCTAGGAATCCGAGCAAACTTGACGGGGCTGTCGCGGAGAGGGAAAAGGAATAAACATGCCTTGCACATTACCCATTGACCATGGCGCAGACGCACGCCCGCTTGCCCATCTCTTTCCCCTCCCTCCATAGAAAAAGATGCGCCGATTCGTACATAAAAAGCAAGGATATTCAAAGATTGCCCAGTCCTCACTCAAAGAAAGAGCCCACCCTCTTCGTGTAGCCGGACCTCCCTTGAGCTAGGGTTGGGCTGGCTGAGTGCGGCGTATGCGATAATGCGGCACATGGGGTCCATCTTGTCCCATGTTGGGGAGCTCGTCTCCAAAGACCCAAGATCCAACACAGGAAGAAGAGAAAAAAGTTACAACCAACGAACCAACCAGCCCAACCAAATCCAACCAAATCCAACCAAATTTGGTACCCAAAAGGAGAGTCTCCGCCGTCTGCCGCACATTCGTTTCCATACGCACATAGGGCACATCGAGACCGCGCAGCTGCCATTTCGCTGCGATGTCACAGCGATAGGATCACGTACCTTGCTGACGAAAGGGGGCGAGTTGGCGCGGGAATCATTGCGGATCGCTTCCCGTGGTGAGACAAAGATCATCGGTTGTGTTCGCTTCGACTCTCTAGTCATTGACGACCGTGACGGCTTGCTCAACTCGCGAACTCATGGTTAGTGTCACCGCGGAGTGAGGGACGAGACCGTACCCCCCTCAAGCCCACAAATCGCGCCCACTTGTAAGCAAGGTCACCTATGACTTCTTTTGTCGAAACATTGAGCAGCGGAATAGCTGTGAGTCTGCAGCTATCTTCACAGCTCAAAAGATGGCAAGGACTGTCATATCGACTGAGTGAGTGATGCTCGTAGGTGAATGCGACATTCTTGCCCAGGAATGAGGCGTCGAAACAGGTAAGAAATGTCTTGGTTCGGCCTGTGTGATCCCGCGCCTCGTGAGCATGACACAGCCGTGTGTGTTTGTGTGTCTCGCGGATAGAAATCGCATGGTTTCCCGCCCTCGGCATTCCTGGATCTAAGCGAGTTCAAAGGGCAACGGTCTTGCGTGCAGCTGCAACTTGAAAGCCAATACCTCTGGTGAGATCACGCCCGTTGCATGTGCAGGCTGCATGGCGTCAAGCTATTATTGCCACCTCGCCGTTGGCACATGCGGATATAGATGTGTGAATACACTAGAGCAGGTAGTTAATGAGGAGCCGCCGTAAGGCCGTTGAAAGGCTCGGCCCTGCCCATGACGACCTCGAAGGCGTTCGAGGCAATTGACTATTGGCCCGGCTCCCGTCGACGGCGTTCTTTTCTCCTCACTACCCGTCAACTTCCCGTGTTCTCTCGACGCAACCGCATCGTGTGGGCTATTCGATACGGCGGACACCCTCTGTGGCCTTAGGGACCTGGGCTTAGGCTGCCTTGCCCCGGGGAACTAGGGGAGGGCCGCCCGGTCGACGGGCTGCCCGATGTGGTGAAGTGCATGGGCATCGAGGCTTATCCTTGACGACAGCTCCGCCCGGCCGCGTCGACATGCGTGGAGCGCACTGGAGACCACTGGGGGCAGAAAGCGCCCAGAGGATCGAATGGGTCGAGGCGGCCCAACGACCCGTGCATTGGTTTGCTGTAAGTTGGCGATGGGCAGGCCGTATTGAGTGCTGGTTGGAAGTCTGCATGTTGGAAAGGGCCAAGTCTCGGTTTATGGTTAGTCTGGCCCTTCTTCAGGCGGCTGACGGCGTCGTATCGTGAAAACTGCATGGGTTGTTTGGGCCGTAGCTCCTCGCCGTCTCCCCGTCGTAAACATGTGTCCATCCTTTGTGTCTGGAGATGAAAGTCCGTTTGTGATCAACAGGCAGCTTGACACAGATGTGGACTCGCATGAGGCCATTCAGGCAATGTCTCTGAGGCCAGAGCGCCTAGGACATTGCTGGCGTGACTGGGTCATGGATGCATCATATATGTATGTAGGCGGCAGGCCCTTCCCTTGTCTGCTGGTTGGTTGGGCGAGTAGCTTGCGGCACAAGTCACATATCAGCAGGCCGTTTATCCCGAGCCAGATTGAGCCGAGATGTGACCAGGGAACGACAGTGACAGATGGCGATGGTAGCGTGACAATTCAGGACCCTGAGAGATGCATTACTGAGGTCGGATGAACCCTTGAACTCTGATCCGAGGTCTCTCCATGGTGCTCTGGACAAGACGGTTCGCGAATGTAAGGTGGTCTTCCGGTATTAGATAACGTGGAGTTGAGAAGACCGAGAAACGCCATAAAATTCTGGCTTTCGTCAGAGCCGTATGCGATGTGACAGCACATTGATGGAAACCTGGCATGGATGTCGAGTAGTCAACCGTCAAGATGAGGGGATCACAAGATGCAGCGAGGAAAAGACAAGGCAATTACATGAAACTTACAGGGCAAGAGGTCCAGTGGAAGTATCTTGTACACGATCGGGATGAGTTTTCCGAGCTGACATAAGCAACATCGTTCTTGGGTCTTGTCAATTGAGTTTTCCTTCCCATCGCCTGGCGCGAGCGTTGTAAGGTACCATTAGGTAACACTTAAGCCCGGGATACAGCGACCTCCAGTGCTGGTAATCGGCAGTCACAGCGAAGACGTGCTGTAACGCTGGACCGCGATTGGCGACAACAGCTGCAGTCAACGGTTTGAGACTGACTCGGGTAATCAGATAACGATAAGACATGAAAGTTGAGGGAATGGAACACCAGACGAAAGAAAAGGCGGGGGGGAATTGGCAGCTGCAAGCACTGAAAGCAATGGAACGAAAAGCTTGGCTGCCCAAAGTTGTAGGCGAACGCTTCGTCCAAGCGCGCACCTTGGAGAAAAAACAAGACCCAAACAAAACGCCTTGAATTCCCCGTCCTGTCGACGAAAACAAGGGCCAACCTGAGAACGAGGCGGTGCGACTCGACTCATTGGAACACCTCAACGACACCCTCGGATACATGCTCCTGCTTCAACACACCTCATAAGGTTTACATGGCGTTGCCTCTTCCATTCGTTCGGTAAACGCTGTTCGGTAAACGCTGTTTTCCTGTACCGTTTAGGTAGGCCGCGCTGCGCAACGGGCGCCACTACGTCATGAAGTTCGCAAAGGAGCTCGAGCAGGACCTCGTGCCAGGTATGCGCCGCCTTTGTCTCTCTACGAATGGCTTCTTGTACTTCTTCTACTACTCTTCTCATACTGACAGTGGTCTCGTAAAGAATGGCGCATCAAGTACCTCAACTACAAGGCTGGCAAGAAGTACGTCAAGGCCGTCTCCCGCGCCATCAACCGCGCCAACGGCAGCCCGCAAAACAACGCCAGCAAGAGCGAGAACCGTATCGCTGCCAATTTCTTCCACAGTCATTCGCCCTTCAACAACCAGAAACATGGACACTCGAGAGGCGGAAATCCCGACGAGCGGACCTCACTCCGTCACAGCCCGGCTCCGGTCGGCTCAGCACGACAAAAGCCCGCGACACCAGCGCGAGCGATTCCCACATCCGCCAACCACGAACGTCAGGGGTTGAACCACGGTTCGAGCGATTTACAATACGGGAGCTTCGTCCACACGCCGCCGAATCATGATACCGGAGCTCCGTTGGATCGCAAGGCCACCTTTGAGCTGCCCGGACCGGCAATGCGCGTGCCGTCGCACCAGAGTGATGCCAGCCCGCAGCCCGCTTCTGCTCAGGACGACCAGCCCATGCGCCAGGCTTTGCAGAGAAGCGCCTCCATGATTGCCGATGCGCCTCGCTCTTCTGGCCCGCCCCCGACCGAACACGAGAACACGCCTTCATCGCTACGGCTCCCCCACTCTGCGACAATTGGATCTGGATATAATGCTTCGCCGAGGGGTGGTCTCAGGCGCCTGTTCTCAAACGCGTCACCTCTGAACCGATCAGGAACGAACCCAGAGTACGGGCTTCAAGGGCTGGCTATTGACCTCGTCCGGCAGAAAGAGAAGGAGTTCTTTGACTTCTTAGACTCTGAGCTGGAAAAGGTGGAGGCTTTCTACAAGTTGAAGGAGGACCAGGCTGGAGAACGACTGAGTTTGCTTAAGGACCAACTGCACGAGATGAGGAACCGACGGACCCAAGAGCTGCATGTCCAGAAGCAACAGGCAGAAATCGACTTCCTAAACGGCGGACACGGCGACTCGGACGGTCCCCAAAAGGGTCCCCTCGGCTGGATCGATCCTGTAAAGTCCAAGATCTTCCGCCCAGGGCCAAACTCCAAGGCACTGTCGAAAATGGCCCAGACCCCAGTCATGCGTCCGGAAGGTAGCGACGCCGGACGAGATTACATCCGACGACCTCACGAACACGACGTCCCGTACCGAACCGCCAAACGCAAGCTCAAGCTCGCTCTGCAGGAATTCTACCGCGGGCTCGAACTGCTAAAGTCCTACGCTCTCCTGAACCGGACTGCGTTCCGCAAGCTGAATAAAAAATACGACAAGGCCGTTAACGCCCGGCCTCAGTACCGCTACATGAACGAAAAGGTCAGCAAGTCGTGGTTCGTCAACAGTGACGCTGTGGACGGCCATATCAAGGCGGTGGAAGACCTGTATGCTCGGTACTTTGAGCGTGGCAACCACAAACTCGCGGCCGGCAAGCTGCGAAGTCTGAGCCGCAGACCGGGTGATGAATCAGGAAGCGCTTTCCGCTGCGGAATCCTACTCGGCACTGGGCTAGTCTTCGCTATCCAGGGCGTCGTCTTTGGCGGCCAGCTGTTGTTCGACGAGGATCCCGAGGTACGGTCACGCACCAGCTACCTCTTGCAGATCTACGGCGGGTATTTCTTGATGTTGCTCCTGTTCTGCATGTTCTGCCTCAACTGTGCCATTTGGACGCGGAACAAGATCAACTACCCCTTTATTTTCGAATTCGATACCCGGCACAATCTCGACTGGCGGCAGCTCGCCGAGTTCCCTAGCTTGTTCACCTTCATCTTTGGAGTATTCATATGGCTCAACTTTAGCGAGTACGGGACGAACGAGGTGTATGAATACTATCCCGTGGTCCTGATTGCTATTTCCGTGTTCATCATCTTCCTCCCCGCGCCCATTTTCATGGCAAGGAGTCGAAGGTGGTTCGCGTACGCTCATGTAAGTTGTTTAGCTCCTCTCGCTGCTACAGATATAATCTAATGATACATGTAGTGGCGCCTGTTGCTGGCTGGTTTGTACCCAGTCGAGTTCCGAGACTTCTTCCTCGGCGATATCTACTGTTCCTTGACGTACGCCATGTGTGTGAGTTTTCATCCGCCACCCCCACGCCCCTTTAAATATCCTTGACTGACCCTTGATCAGAACGTCGAACTGTTCTTCTGTATATACGCCAACGCTTGGGAGAACCCGGCTCAGTGCAACTCCAGCCACTCCCGGCTGCTCGGCTTCCTAGGCGCCCTGCCTCCCATCTGGCGTTTCCTACAATGCCTGCGTCGTTACAAGGACACGAGGAACATCTTCCCTCACCTCGTCAACGGCGGCAAATACACAATGTCCATCATGGCCGCCGTCTCCCTATCCATGTACCGCATCAACAACACCCACGGCCACCTCGCCATGTTCATCACCTTTTCCTCCATCAACGCAATCTACACATGTAAGCCCTCTTCGCCTCATGCCATCGCCAGTCGTACGTTTACTAACCAAACCCTAGCAATCTGGGATCTCTTCATGGACTTCTCCCTCCTCCAGCCCCAATCCCGGCACTGGCTCCTCCGCGACATTACAGCCCTCAAGAAACGCTGGCCCTACTACTTCATCATGGTCATCGACCCCATCCTCCGCTTCGCCTGGATCTTTTACGCAATCTTCACCCACGACACACAGCACTCCACCATCGTCTCCTTCCTCGTTGCCTTTGCAGAGGTATCCCGCCGCGGCGTGTGGACCCTCTTCCGCGTCGAAAACGAACACTGCGCCAACGTCGCGCAATACAAAGCCTCCCGCGATGTTCCCCTCCCGTACCGCATCGAGCCCCTCGTCGCGCCCCGTTCCTCGATTGAGAGTGACGCTGCTAAGGATGGCAAGGTACCAGAGGAAACGACCAGCGAGGCTGTAGTAGCACCCGCTGCTTCCACCGGTGGCGGCGCTACAACCACATCCGCAACCACAACCGCCAGGCCATCGGCGGCATCTGACCCCCGCGCCGAGGAGTCAGGAACCCTCAGGCAGAGAGTCATGTCCGGCATCACGCCCATCCAGCGAAGCTTCTCTAAAATCATCGCCGAGGCGCACAGGCAGGATTTTGAGAAGAGGAGGAAGCCCGTCGACGCGGAGACGGAGCAGCTCGAAGAGGCGGGCGGAATGGCGAGCGACGACGATGACGAGGGGTCTGCATCTGACGATGATGAGGAGGGGATCCGGTCAGGCGGGTCGGAGGCGGATTCAATGGAGATTCGGCAGGTGAATAGTCTTGTGCGTGATCGTGGGGGACGGTCAATTCATCATAATTAGGAGTTGGTGGAATAGAGGCTTGGCGTAGAGTCTACCTACGACTAATGAGTAGGTTTTGGAGCATGATTAATTCGCATTAGCATTCTTGTTAGAATAATGGGAAGAACAGAAACAGTCTTGAAAGAAGTGGCTGCGTGAATCTTGACTTGGAACGTATCCAAAATGATGCGTCTAATTTGTGCTGGTACATATTGTATAAATCTACAAGCAATCGTAACTTCGTGTTTCTCTCCGGTGATACCCACGCAGTACGCCACGCTTGAACAACCTCACCCACACTCATACCCCTCGCCTACTGAATATCTAGAGTACTTATATACGTTCACCTCTACTCCATGCCATCTTGGTATACCCATGAAGAATTACTGCCACTCCGCGTCAACCTTCTCAAAGAGATCCAAGAACCCCTTGAAGAACTTGACGCCCAAACCAGGGTCCAGCGCACCCGTCGTGGCACGGATGGAGTGCATACTCAACTGCGGCAATCCCGCATCCGCAGCCCTAACACCCATGGCGGAGCTGAGCATGGGTCCAACAGTGCCGCCGCTGCGGGTATCGTTGCGGATCTGGAACGTCTGCGTCGCAGAACCGCTTAGCTCGCCGACGCGCTGGAGGATGGCCGTGGAGACGGCGTCGGTGGTCATGTGGCCGTTGCTGTCGCCGCAGATGGCGATACCGACGTTGAGCTTGGGGATGTGCTCGTCCAGGTACAGGCCCAAAAAGTTGGGGTTTCCTGCGTGGGTCACGTCCGCGGACAAGAGGAAGGAGGAGGCAAAGGTCTGGCCAATGACATTTGAGCCGAAAGCGACGTCGGCATGTTCGCTCAGGGCCTCGACAGCGCGCTCGATTGTGAGGGGGAGGAAGTTGCCTCGGGCGCCCTGGCGGAGAAGGGATCCGATTTCCTCGTCGTCAAAGAGGGCCACAAGCTTGATTATGCCGTCCTTGGGATCCGAGTCGGCCGCGAGGAGACCGGTGAGGGCGGCCCAGGAGCAAACCTTGTCGTCAATGCGGCCGCCAAAGATGAATTCGCGGTCGAGACCGCCCGTCTGCGCGGGCTGGGAGTCGTAGAGCTCGAGTTCCCAGTTTACGATTTCGGTGGGGGAGGCGAGGCCAAGCTCCTTGGAGACGAGCTTGACGAGCTTGGGGGGCTGGGTGTTGACGAAGGCGCCCTTGGGGCCGAGGGGTTCGACGGGGGTGGCGGAGGCGGCGTCCGGGTCGGAAGAGTCGAGGCCGATAATGGGGACGGCCTGGGTCTCCGGGTTGTTTTGGCCCATCATGCCGACGCCGAAGTGGGGTGCGAGGGTGGGGATGCGGGCGATGGGCCAGTCGAGGCGGACAAGCTTGGTAGACGTCTTGTTGGTCTCGGGATCGCGGACGATAACACGGCCGCCGATGGAGAGGTCGCGGTCCCACCAGGTCTGATTGAGAGCGCCGGCGTAGGGGGCGACGCCGAGCTGGTGGTATCCGGCACGGGTTGGCTTGGAGCTGACAGGCTTGAGCTTGGCGGTGAGTGCGTCAATGTGGCCGGCGATCATGGCGACGCCGTTGCCGGGCTTGTAGGACTCGCCGACGGAGAAGGCGATAAGGGCAGAACCATTGCGGGTGGTCCAGTATTTGCCTCCGGGCTGGACCTTGGAGGCCCAGCTTTCGCGGGCGGGAAGCTCAGTATATCCTGCGGCAGCGAGCTTGTCCTTGAAGTAGGAGACGGCGTGGAAGATTGTGGGGTTCTCGGAGAGGAAGTCGACAAAGGGCTGGGTGTAGGCCTCTGGTTTACTGGCGGCAACGGCGCAGAGCTTGCAGGCGGCCGGGTTGGCGGCGCGAACGGTCTGGCGGACCTCGCTGTAGCGGAGAGTGTTCCAGCAGGACTCGCAGACGGGGTTCTGGGAGGCTGGGCGGCCGTTCATGTCGGCGAGGAGGAAGTGCTTCGAGGCCGGGCCCGGGGCGGCGGCGGTGGTAGTGGAGGCGGACATGGAGGGCGCGGGGGATTGAGAGCGCGAGAGAGCTTCGGCGTGCTCCATGGCTTGAAGGCGGAGAGAGAGAGAAGAGACGCGGGAGCGAAGGGAGTCGGGAGTGTGCTTGGTCATAGCGGGCGATGCGTCGAGGGGATGTGTTGCTTGAACGGTGGCGTTTGAGTTGGTGATGAGGAAGCGGTTCATTGACCCTCAATGCGATGCGCGCTGCCTGAGAATTGGAATGGGTGAGGTTGCGCGATGCTGTGGAGGATAGATGCGTGGTTGATGTTGTAGAGAGGAGAAGAGTCAAGGTCAGACAGGCAAGGTGACAAGGTAGAAAGAGGCGGAGTGGGAATCGTAGAGGTTGGCCGTTGAAGACACCTCAGCTGGAGCTTCCCGTCCGAGTCGGTCACAGGCACAACATGGCAGGCGCAGGAACGAGAGGCACGGGGCAGCTGGAACCGAGCGGATCTGCGACCCGCCGGAAGCTTCAATTGGCTCCGGCGAATGAGCCTACGCCGATACGGGCCGACATGTCTGGGGTTTTTGTCTTATCGCCTACAATGTCTTACCTAAGCAGACAGAAGAGGTGCTTATCGCACAGCGTTGGATCCGTTGCCATGGGGCCCAGTGAGGGGGCACGGGGTAGAGCTTGGCCAATTCAAGCAGGTCGCTGCACCGCAGCATGTAGGTAAGATGCTTAGCTAAGCCACGATAATGACTCTGCGTAATTTGGGTTACAATGGCGTCATTTGACTTCGGGCTCTCAAGGTGATGTACCTTTACGCAGTACTTCAAGGTGGACAATTTTGATTACCCCTGATTTCAGTCATTGAAACTTCATCAATTTGTATTGAACTATCTTACATCAAGTAAATACCTGACTGGTAGAGGTGCCGTACCTCACCTTGAAACAGTTGATCGTTTGTATTGTAGATAGCCATCCACTACTGCTGACACAACTAGCAATCGCAAGACGGATGTTTTCTACATGTTTCGTAATCTCTTACTCGTCTTCTTCTCTTTAATGAGTCCCTCCATTTTAAGTCCGTATCTGACGAGTGGAAGGCCATCATCTAGAGGCCAAATAGTATCCAAGCAGCGTGTTAACTTTGGTACTCCAGACATGATGTCGCTATCCACTAAGGTACCGATTGATGACACAGTACATCCTTCAGTAAGATACCTGAATGTCTTCTCCATTCAGGTTACCGAGTATTCCCGTCCTCATCTCACAAGATGGACTACGTGAATGGTGATGCTTAGAGCTATTGGCATACGAATGGAATTTGATAATCCGGCCCCGCGCCATAAGCCCGGGAGGAATACGAGCCAAGGAAAGGTGTCGGGGGCGATTGGCTCAATCGCACTGAGAAATGCGGGCGGGGGCACCGGAGGCCGGGCGGAGGAGCGGGGCGCGTGGGTATCTCCGGATCGGCCCCTCTGCAGCGTTACCGTTCCTCCGCTTGCGCTAACCCGCACTCGTATTCCAAGACGGTTCTCCCTCACGACTTTACCTCCTAGAACTCTTTTCTCAATCGTGCATCATGAGTCCTCGGCATCCATCTTAGGCCATGCCAACAGCAGTCATCTCTTACACACCTGAGTTTACCTGAAGTACCTCTTCCCGCACCTCAAGCTCGAATATGATACGTCCCCATTTCCAAATCGGGCAACCCGTAGGAACTTCGAACCACCAACCCCATTTCCCCGCCACGCTAATGATTTGCAGGGTCTCTGCATGTAAGATTCTTGTGATACCTCCGATATTTCCGCTTGGATAGGATCGACGGGTGAGAGAAAGCCACCAAACGCTTGAGGCTTTGTTCGTTTTCCAATCTGACGAACACAACGCCCCTCGTTTCCTCATCATGGAAATCTCACTCAGGTAGCTTCGGATGGTATGACAGCTGTAAAGACATAGTCCTTCAGACCTTGTGTCTTGCTGGGAAACGATAAAAGGGGCTTCCATCTCCCGCTCATGAAGATTCCGATGATAGACTTACATGAATCTCGACCACATTCGAACACCTACCCACCTATCCATCATCCAGACTTACACATCCCCAAACTCTCAAAAATCCCGTTAGCAACAATGACGACAAAGACAAAGCAGCGAACCCGCGTCCCAGTCCGCACCCTCCCTTCCCACATCCCCACAGTCCCTGCCCTCGACGGCGAAGAGAACATCAACGCCGCAAAGGAAGCAGCTTCCTTCCTCGACAGCTTCTCCTCCGCCATCCGCGAGGGCGACTGGGACGCCTTCGGAAACCTCTTTGCCGAAAAGTGCTTCTGGAGAGACCACTTGACTCTCACCTTTGACAAGCGAACGATCCATACACGGGATGATGTCGTCGCAGCATGGAAGACTCTCTCCAAGACACGTCGTCCATTGGCCTTTTCAAGTGACAAGTACAAAGACATGGATATGGACGCTGTATGGGCGCGTCTGGGCCCCGTGTTCGCGACGCTAGACGTGCCCTTCAGTTTCCGCACCGAGGCGCCGGCGTCGAAATGCATCGGCCTCGCCAAACTAATCCCCGAACCAGATAACAAAGGCTGGCAGATCTCCGTTCTGACAACAGCCGTAGTCGAACTCGACGAGAGACCCTTTGGCACTCTCCCGCGAGCAAGCTCATCCCTCATCGAAGCCTCTCAGCGCGGCAACCCCCATGCACAAGGCCTCCCCCGCCTTGACGGCAACGCAGTCCTGGACGCCATCATCGTAGGCGGAAGCTGCACCGGCATCGCCAACGCCATCCAGCTCGACGCTGCGGGCGCCAACGTAGCCGTCTTCGACGCCGAGCCGCAGGCGGGCGGGAACTGGTCGACGAAGCGGTACGAGAACGTCACGCTCCACCACCCTGCCTTTATGATCCAGCTGCCGCGGTTCCCGGTACCCGAGGGGTATCCCAAATATCTCAAGGGTACGGATCTTACACGATACTATTCCTCGGCGGTACAGGAGCTGGGGCTGCCTTTCTTTGGCGGTGTTGCGGTTGTGAGCAACTCCTGGAGCGAGGCGGAGAAGATCTGGACGGTTCAAGTAAGAGACGTGAAGACGGGGGAGGAGATGACGCTCAAGGCGAAGAATGTCGTCCTCGCCAACGGCTTCCTCGTCGGCAACGATAACCCCCGCGTGCCGAAGCTGAAAGGCAGAGAGCTCTTCACCGGACCGGTGCAGCACACGACAGAGTACCGCAACCCGGCAGACTACAAGGGCAAACGCGTCCTCATAGTGGGGGTAGGCAACTCGGCGCACGACGTCGCGGGCAACCTCGCTTCAGACCCGGACGTCACGAGCGTGACGATCCTGCAGCGCAGCCCGACGGTGCTCCTCGACTTCGCGACGGTGTCGCCGATCCTTATGATGCGGTACCAAGGCGACATCCCCGTCGACACGGCGGATTTTTTGCAGGAGTCACTGCCGGTCGGGATGATGCGGGACATGGCACGCGGGGCGATCGGGATGGCAATCGCGGGGGCAGAGGATAGGAGTCTGGCGCTCGAGGGGTTGGGGTACGCTGTTTTGCGGGATACGTGTTTGATGACCAAGGTGTTTGAGGAAAGGGGCAGCTCGTTCTACGTTGACCAGCCGGGGACGTTTGATCTTGTGTTTGGGGGCCGGATTCAGATTGCGAGGGGCGATGCTGTGGGGTTCGTGGAGGAGGGCGTCGTGGTGAGGGATAGGGAGACGGGGAACGAGAGGGTTGTTGAGGCGGATGGGGTGGTGTTGGCGACTGGGTATGAGGTTGTGGATTTGCCTGCCAGGTGGAAGGGGAGCGGGTTCGTTGATGAGGAGACGGCGGGAAAGTTGGTGAATGTGAGTGCTTTTGGGGTAGATGAGGAGGGGGAGGTTCCTGGGCTTACGACGTTTTCTGGACGTGAGTTTTTTCTACCATTTCTTTTTGTGTGTTGGTGTTTAAGGATCACGATGCTAATTCAAGTTTGAATAGACTCGAATCTCTACTTTGCTGGCATGGCCATTTCTCAATGCCGAACCAGCGTAAGTCCTCACTCATAGAGAAACACTGGCGATATGATCCTTGCTGACTTTGTTATTTGTAGTCCAGATACACGGCCGTTCAGGTGTTGGCTGATATCATGGGACAATTCCCGGAGAGATATACTCGCAATTACTTGAAATGATGCTCAGCTCTTGTTTTGTGGCTTATGACCGAAGGAGAAGATTTCTAGAGTATGAGAATATACGGGATTTGCGATGATGCTGTATGCGATATTATCAATAGAACGGCTGATTAAATTTTACTCAAAGTCGTGAATTTGAGATGTGATATGAAAACATCTTGGCGGCCAGAGTTGGGCAGACTTTATTGTTAAGCAACAACTTCCCCTCACCTTGAGACTGATTCGAATAAGTCAACTTTTCACCACACTACATTCTTTTTTTTTTTTTTTTTCAATTTACCTAGCTAGTTCATACTACAGAATTATCAAAGACAATGACTGCAAAAGCGCTGCCAAAGGTCGAGCGGACGACCATCGCGGGGTCAATCGAGATACCCCGCATCCTAAACGGCCTCTGGCAGCTCGCCGGCGGGCACGACCAGGATATTAACGTCGCGGAAGCAGCAGACGCGATGAAGCCATTGTACGAGATTCTTGCTCGAGTATCAGAAATATTCGTAGAGAAGCTTACTGACATCATCTGGCAGAATCCAAGTTGGACTGGATGGCTTCGACATGGCAGACCACTACGGTCCCGCAGAGCTCGTCATCGGCCACCACAATCACACCTCACCCTCTCACGCCTCCATCACAGCCTTTACTAAATGGTGTCCTGCCGAGACCGGCGATAAATCCTTCAGGACAGCAGAGGCAGCCGTGGACCTCGCCCTCAAAAGAATGGGCCAGAAACAGATCGCGCTGATGCAGTACCACGTTTGGGATTACACCGACGACACGTACCTCTACAACCTATCTCATCTGCGCACCCTCCAACAAGCCGGCAAGATTGCACACATAGGACTCACCAACGTCGACGCGGCGCACTTGGAGCTGCTTCTTCACTCTGGTTACAAAATCGCCACGAACCAGGTCTCGTGCTCCGTTATTGATCGCCGGCTGACGAGGGGCCGGATGGCGGGGGTGTGTGACCGGCACGAGGTCGGCGTGTTGACGTATGGGACTTTACTTGGAGGATTTCTGAGTGAGAAGTGGGTTGGGAAACCGGAGCCTGCGGATGATGGGGAGGGAATGAACTGGTGTCTGAGGAAGTACATTCGCTTCATACGCGCCGCGGGTGGCTGGGACGCCTTTCAGCAAGTTTTGAGTGCCGTCGCCGATGTTGCGAAGAGGCACAGCGTCTCTGTTGCGGCGGTGGCGGTGAGGTGGGTACTTGATATACCTGTCGTCAAAGCCGTCATCGTCGGGGCGCGGTTGACTTCCGAGAGTGGGAAGTACGCTGAGGCGAACCTCGCGGCGTTTGGGTTCTCGCTGGATGAAGAAGACAGGAGAAAGATTGAGGCTGCGCAGGAAGGGTTGGAGGATATACCGGGGGATTGCGGTGACGAGTACAGGAGGCCGCCGTTCTTGACGGCTTCGGGTGACTTGAGCCATCACCACCTTGGGGGGAAGGGCGAGCTGGACAAGGTGGAGAAGGCGATTGCTAGAGGGGAGAGAGTTGAGTTCCGGTCAGGTGGAAAATGGGAGCCTGTTGCTGGGTACTCGCGCGCCGTGAGGTTTGAGAATGTCATACGGGTGTCTGGGACGACGACGAACCCGCCACCTGAGCTCCGGTCTGGACTTGCTGTGGTGGTTGGAGGGACATCTGCCCGGTCTCAGGCGGTTGCTTCACTGGATATCATTGAGAGAAGTCTTCAGAGGCTGGGGGGATGCATGGCGGATGTGGTCCGGACGAGGGTTATGCTCCGGCGGGAAGAGGATGTCTTAGGGGTATCAGAGGCCCACGGATGGGCTTTTAAGTGTCATGGGATTCGGCCGGCTAATACTACGATCACGGCTGGGCTGATTGGGGATGAGGTGCTTGTTGAAATCGAGGTTGAGGCAGAAGTGGGCAGTGGCAAGTCTGTCTTGGTGATTGGAGAGGATCGTGGAGCAGTTTGAGAGAAGGCCTACAAGATCTTGCCATATGCATAGCTTCTGCCTCTGGATGTTGATCATATCACCACACCTTACCTACCGGGGATTACTGGCTGGAGTAATCCTTCTGTCAAAGATAACTGAGGCAGGCATAAGAGAAGGCAAAAAATGGAAAAATGAAAGGGACGAGACTCGAACTCGCGCGGGTTGCCCCACCAGGAAACAGATGTTAAGCTGACCTTAACCTGGCGCCATAACCAACTCGGCCACCCTTCCGTATGATGATCAGGTGATCTTGCATGCTGGGGAATGGCGAGCCAGGATTCAAGAATCGTTCCTGCGTCTGGAGTGGTCCCCATTTGTGCGCAGGACCTTGAGTGCCCGCGTAAAGAGAAAAATCCGCCAGCTGGCCGTGGCGGGGCAAAAGCCGAAAAAAAGAAAATTTCGACGGGGCTGAGTGGGTCTTTACCCGGACCGAAGCGAGGAGCCAATGAGACCAATGCCCTAAGTACGTACATCGAGGAGGGCGGGTCGGAGGATCGGAGGCTGCAGGGACCGACGATGACGTTTGTTCCCTGTCACCTTCGCTTTCTCTCTTTTTCCACGTCCTTCACAGTCACTGACAGTTCACTTTGTTCAATTAGATGGACCACCAATCAATTCGATAATCGAAAGGACCACCGGTTCGAAAAAGTAATGGATGCAGACGAAAGTCTCCAAGCCAAGTCTTCAAAAAAGAGTCTGGGCTGCTTCGGTCGTCCATCACGCACCTCGACCACCAGGGAGCCTCCCTGTTCCCCGCCTTGATGGAGTCTTGAGGTGGTCGCATCTTTTTTTGGGAATGGGAACCCCAAACTGATCACGATTGAGATAACGATAAGACGTTGGCGACTGTTGAACGACGAGACATTTGAATCCATCGAGTCTATGCGCCCCTAAGAGTCGAAGAGTAATACCTGACCGAGATTAATAAGAACCCAACGTTCATGCGCCGCCCCAAAAGGAACCACACGCGCCACAACACGTCAATCGCGAATAGCAACTAGACCACCGCCAAGAAATATTCTTCATTAGACGGATACATAGACTCTGCGGGAAAAGAAACCGGAACCGCCGTTGCTCACGTCCCACTCGTTCCTACGTGCCTTGATCATCTCGGTCTCGGGATGGCCGCAAGTGGGAAGAAGCTTCGTCCACAGAGTACACACTACACAGTACACGCAGAGCAGCAGCGCGATGAACCAACGCCAGAGCTTTTTCCAGCTTCGCCTCATTTCTGTCTGCTAAGCCGTTTTGGCTGACCGAGGCAAGAAATTTCTGGCGCACAAAGCTCCAGCTCACACGACTCAATACACCTGTGGTATCTATGTACCTTAACTAAAGTACGACTAGATGGATGACGTTTCCCCCTCGGGCAAATGGCCACAAGACCATCTCGATTCCAAGTGCGTGATTGGCTCCAGAAAGATGAAAACAGCGTTTCCGAGTCTTTGCCAATTGCCTCTCTCTCCACTAACCTCTTCCTAGAGGTTCAAGGGAAGGGGGGTGTTCGTGCCGTCTCTCACGTTCAAAAGGAGGTCTGTCCGCTGTCTGACTTGTTGGCTCACACTTACCATGGAAGTTGAAATGACTTTTCCAACTTTTCTGCAAGGAACATTACGGCATTGAAATCAACAAGAGACAAGTTTTGGAGTACCAGCTTACCAAGTACCTTGTTGACTTTGGAGTGAGGCTGGCTGCCAACAGGGAACACTGCTCCGAGCTAACTGTCATCGGGTTTCGAAATCCCATCGGGACACCGCGCTTCTGTCGACTAATTCGCCCTGCTCCCGCTCTCCCACCTTGCTTGACTTTTGATCCTTCAGCTGTCACGGCCACAACTTTCAACTTTTTTCTTCGTCGCCTCGTTACAGATACATCCTCTAGAGCTTGCTTAGCTGCAAAAACTCAGTACAGCATAGAAACTAGACAAGCTCCCGCCGGATATTGCCGAAGCTTCATCTGTTTCCGACGAAGTACGGCTACAGCAATCCCATCTCGATCGATCCATAAAGAAGACGCCGGTTCCCACCCCTATTATAATACCCCTGCTATTGGCCTGCTATTCGTACACGTTGTCAACGGTCTAGACGGATACATCTGAGCGCCTCAGCTGACGACGGCTTGCATTGATCACCGCATTGAAAGACGGGACCAACTTGCATCGACGGAAACATTGGTTTAAAACACCATCGCGACACACGCATATCTGACCGCAAAAAGCTTGTAAGAGCTTGCAAGAGGGCACACAGCAACACAGGAACACAGGACCAGCAACAACTTTTTCGGACTCAACGTGAAACTCTCTTCTCTTTCAATCCTTGAACGAACCACTCACCCCGCCGGCGCAATCCCATACATACGATACCTTGGCTCTTTACCTAATTACGAATACCCCCGGACTCGATCCCGTGTTTTTTTTTTCTCCTTCCCTGCGTCCTAATTCCTCCCAACGTCGGCTTACGCTTCGATTTATCCCTTGTGTTCGCCCACACCCCAGACCGACAGCTTAACGCGCAGAGTGCAACACAACGCACCGCAACACAACACAGCGCAAAGCAATCACCATAGCGACAGTCGCAACTCGAAAAGTAATAACCAGAAACACAGAAAGACGACACCACAGCAGCCATGTCGCCTGCCGCGCAAGCGCCCCCGACGGCAGCCGAAAAGGTCGCGTCCTTCTTCTCCCGCATGAGCCCCGTGCCGTCCTTCCCCGACTATACCGGCCCGCACAAGGTCGGCACCGTCGACATTGAGATCCCCGTCTCCGAGTTGGAGTCGCCCAGTCCGACCCCCTACAGCGCAACAGACATCCACACCGTCCAGTGCCGCGTCTTCTACCCCGCGGTCCCCGAGTCCGACGGCAAGCGCATCAACTGGCTTCCCTCGCCCCAACGGCAACATGTCTCTGCTTACACCCAGTTCATTGGCATCCGGCCCATGCTCGCCGACATTGTCTCGTATGTGCCCCTCTTCCTCGAACGCTCCTCTGGTAGCTGCGCAAAAGATGCCATACTAATGTGAATCTACAGATTCCTCCCGCGACACCTCCACTACACCACCATCCCCGTCCACAAGAACGCCGAGATCCTCGATCCAGACACCCCGAACCGACGATGGCCAACATTGATCTTCTCCCACGGCCTGGGCGGCAACCGAAACACATATTCCCATCTGGCAGGCTCCCTCGCCTCCCACGGCATCGTCGTCATCTGCCCCGAACACCGCGACGGCAGCGCTGTGGCGTCCTTTGTCCGCATCCCCGGCAAACAAGACCAGTACTTCATGCGCGACACCCGCCGCGTGATTCCCTACGTCCGCATAGACCACGACGCCCGTCCTGAAATTTACGAAGCCCGCGAAGACCAGCTACGCATCCGCCTCTGGGAGCTCGGCATGATCCATATGGTCACCCTCAACATGGACCTCGGCCTCGCAATGTCCAACCTCAACAAGTCCACGCCCAGCTTGACCCAGTTCAAAAACAAGCTCCACGTTCATGAGCCGGGCTGCATCATCTTCGGAGGCCACAGCTTCGGCTCCGCCTCCATCGTCCAGCTCCTCAAGACGACCTACTACGCCGAATCGTCCGCCCTCGCACACGTCCAGAAACCCTTGTTCACACCGCGTCCAGACTCGGCGCTGTGCAGACAAATCACACCAAAGAATGTCACAATGCTGCTCGACATGTGGTGCTTCCCGCTCCTCGCCCCGGGCTCCGCAGACCTCTTCAATCTGCCCCTCCCAGCCTACGCAAACACGTCCACCGCGCCGGGTGGCAACGCCATCCTCGCCGTCGAGTCCGATGCATTCTACAAATGGACAGACCACCTCCACGTCACCGCCCGCGTCCTCTCCCCGGAACCCTCGGCGTCGGTGATCACGCCACAAGTCTTCCGCCGCAGCGGCGTCAGCCTCCCCGAGCCAAACTTCTTCTACGTCCGCTCGTCGGCGCATCTATCACAATCCGATTTTGGTATCCTCTTCCCCTGGCTCACCAAAAAGATTTTCAACTCGGAGGAGCCGGAGCGCGCCCTTCGCCTGAACCTGCGCGCGCAGCTGCAGCTCATGCGCGCCAACGGCGTCCCCGTGGCGCGGACGTGGATAGGTGACCTCGTCGACGGCACGGGTTCCGGGAAGCTGGGTATCTCTACCGATGAGGACGGTGATAACGGGCCTGACGATGGCGTTATGGATGATAAAGTCATCTTTGAGCGGTGCGAGGGGAAAGTGCAGTACTGGAATTGGATCGACGTTATTGGCATGGGGCAGCCTGACGAAGAAGAAGAGGAGGCGCCACCGCCGGCGGACGGTTCGACGACAGCTACTGCGACGGCGACGACGAGTGGTGGCGGTAGCGGGTCGGGTGTGAATGCGCAGGTTGCGGGGGTGGAGCAGACGGATCGCGATATGGAGGATGAGTTGGAGCCGCTTCAGGCTGTTGCGAGCGCGGCGCAGATTGCGGCTAGGTCATGACTTCGTTGGCGCTTGTGAGCGATGACTAGGGAGCAGGAGAACTCGGTATGGGGTTGGGTTATATAAATCAGACGGGGTGCAATGGTTAAATGCATCACGAGAGTATTATTGTTGTATGTATTTCTAGGCAATTAGCGTAATTAGCATTCAGTGCGTCTTGAAGAGCACCCGCAGATACCACGATTAGAATAGTATATAAATCTTTCCATTTGAAGATGTAAATTCAGGAAAGTGGAATCGCACGTCTGTCGCGAAGCACATGGAATGGCATGGGGAAATCTGTAAGTCTACTACAGTAAGGATAGACGCCCAACGCGTTAGCTCGTCTTCACATGCCTCCAGATCCCATCTACTAACAAGCTTAGATCGTTTCTCCGCAATTGGAAGATCCGATGAGGTTATGACGGGACCATCCGCGTAGGTGAGTAGGTGTGGTTTTGCTCACGCTGTGGCCCTCGGCTTGTAAGTCATACACGTCATCAAAGACGAAGGCGTCAAGGACCGCGCGACGCCATGGCTGGCATTGTATCACTCTGCAACGGCCAAGACAGCAGTTTAAAATGGACCTGTCTTCCTTCCAATACTGTGGTTCGGGGTATCTTTAACGATAGAAACAATTAGACTTCAGAATTAGACATAATGGCACCCGTAAGTCGCTCACTCTCAAACACATTCTTATCCAACTTGCACTTGATCTGCGCTTCAAGGTACAAACTAACACCACCTCAACCAGCAGCAAAAACAACCCGAACGCCTCAAACACGTCGCCGCAAAGGCGAACTCCTCCAACCCTTCGCAACTGGGCGACCCCGTCTCCCTCAAAGCCGAAGTCTCCAAGCTCTCGCCGACGGAAGGGGATCTCGGCGCGGCAGCGGACTCGAAATCCAAATCCTCTTCCACCGCCGGTACTCAGTCCGATGGCCCAGCAGGCGCCAAGAACTCGGACGGGTCCCCCGTGCAGGACTATGACAAGAGACGGTTAAAAGACGTCGCCAGGGAGGACCTTGAGAGCGGGAACCCATCGCAGTTGGGGGATCCTGTTAGTCTCAAGGCCGAGGTTACGAAGAAGGATCCGGCGCCAGGGAGGGCCGATGGGCAGAGGGTTGAAAAGTCGAAGCTTTGAGATGTGTTGTTAGTCGGGGCTTCATATATTCATAATCAATTGTCATTGTGAAGCACGCTTCCGCTCGTGTACAGCATTCTGAGTCTGTGGTGCATGACAAGATACAGCCGGAATGGGCTCCGGGGGTCGACACTGTGCCCCTCTTCGGTGTCCTTCACAGTAATCCAGAATCTGGATTGGCCGGTCTTTACAGAGTATATCCGTAAGGAGTACTGGGACTTTTGAGTTGTTGATGTTCTTTGATTGCGCCTCATGGTTCATGGGAGTTGATGTCTTGGCGACTGGGATGTCTTATGCGAACGCGGCACGGTAGAAGCGGTAAGGCGAGATCCAAACAGGAAGCTCGAGAGATATTCTTGGCCAAGCTCAATACCTAAATTCAGAATGGAATTGAGTTTGTAAAGTGACGATATCTCTGATTGCCGTGTTCACACGCTACACCTACCTCAGCATTGGTTCAGTGAACGAACGACGGCACCCGGAAACCTTTGAGGAGACTTTAGAGGCCACGTTAGTGTGCACATATGCTAGAGATTCAACATCTTTTTTCAACTCATTCGTCCCTGGGTTGACGAGCGTCACATCCCGAAGCTCAACTGCATCGCACGATGAGCAATACGAGAGCGGGTGCGGTCCTCATGCGCGTTGACTCGGGCGACGTTGCTCATTTCGGCAGTTCGCTGGAGATCCTTGCTGTCCTGGGGATCCCAACGTTGCCCTGGCGGTGGAGGTCTCGCGATTTAAGCTTGTCCGCCAAGCTTCCAAGGCCTCGTGTTCCTACGATGGGGACTTGTGAAGTGCTGAACATCGTCTCTTGGCTCCGTTGCCGTTATTTCCCTTTTTTTTCTGGGAACACCTTATGTATAAATAGACAAGGTAGGTAGCCAGCCATGACGGGTCTGGGGAGGTCTCCTTGAGGTGTGGCTCTTTTGCATGAAGTAGATCGCCCATCTCGACCGAACTTCTGATACGATGATGTCGCGTGCCGCCGCAGCGCTGCTGCTTTCGTTTGGAGTATCGTCGGTTCTCGGATCGCTCCGGTGCTTCAATGACGACTTGGTCGCCGTCGAGACGCCGACCATTGCGCTCCCGGCCTACGTCAAGCGTCAAGAGTCCAAGCCGGTCGACGTGTACTTTCACGTCACCAGCACCGTGGCCAACAAGGACAGAATCACCGACGCAGTCATCGATGCCCAGGTACTACTTGGCGATGCCTCTCGCCGGATGCAAATACTGACAGAGAATCCCCAATAGTTCGAGGTCTTGCACTCAACCTACCTCAAGCACGGCTTCGAGTTGAACCTCGTCAATGTCTCGCGCATCGTAGACGACGTCCTCGGCAAGGGCTTCTACGAGGAATCCGGCATCGGCATCCCCGACTTCGAAGGCTACGTAGCCTGGCGCACCGCCACGCGCCGTGGAGGCTACGACGCGCTCAACGTCTACTTCTTCTCGGACCTGGGCGCCAGCCTCGGCGGGCAGTGCGCGCTCGCGGGCGTCGTACAGGAGGGCAGCCAGCAGTTTTATACCGATGGGTGCTGGGTCAATGGCGATTCTATGCCCGGTATGACGCCTCGCAGCGGCAACGATACGACCCCGCGGAAGGGCCATGTCGCTGTCCATGAAGTCGGGCACTGGTTTGGGTTGCTTCACACGTTTCATGGTCGATTCTGTGAGGGTATCAATGATCAAGTCGCGGATACGCCTGCGCAAGCTGGCGGGAGCTCTGGGTGTCCTGTTGGGAGGGACTCTTGCCCTGATTCGCCTGGCTTGGATCCTATTCACAACTTTATGGATTACTCGGATGACACTTGGTAAGTGAATATGCAGGCTACGCCTTGAAGCTTTACACTTGGAGATGAAGTTACTGACTGATGATCTAGCACGACTGAGTTCACTCCTGGGCAGGAAGAGCGCATGCATCAGCAGTTCGATGTGTATAGAAGATGGCAGGGTTAGAACTTGGTGGTATGATGGCGAAATGCTGCTGTTTCCTGTCATTGTTCGGGTTTCTCCATCACTAGCTTAATGATCCTACCCTAGAATAATGAAGTCATGAGTATCGGTGCGTTAATCAAGCGACTAAGTTCGGTGCCCGGATTGTACAACTCTACCTGTCTCTCAAACCGGCAACGCCGTCTTCCGAGCCATCATTAGCTGGTCTCGGTGTAACTTGGATTCTATGTTGCCGCGGGCAGACGTAAGAACGTTATGGGAATGTCTTCATCGAACTTCGGTAAGAAAATGCTTTGCCAAGGATCTCCTCCGCGAATCTAGCTAGGCAGAGAAAGGCGGATGGAATGGGGGCTTATTCGGGCCTGACAGCATCGTCGGCCTCGCCGGGTCGGCGTGACCTCCATTTTGATGCACAGTTACGGCAGCTTTCGTGTAAAGAGAATCCTTCGAAATTTTTGAGGCTGGCAAGTGTAATAAGTAGGACGAAGCTCATGCGCAGTGCTTGTAGACTTGCAGGTTTATAAGTACTAAAGATACGCTCGCAACCTCTTGTTCAGCCCTGATGCGACACAACGATAGCAACACCCAGGGGACGAGGGATACCTCTGGGTTGCGACCTGGGGGAGCTCTCGTAACTTCAGCAGGTCAGAATGCCGGCTTGCGGCGTCCGTCACACCGAAGACTCTTGGCCGTGTACACAAAGTAAGCACGCAGCGAGAGTCGGATGCGCCACTTCTAGCCTTATGTCGCCCTATGTGGCGCCTGCACCAGAGATCATTGGTTGTGTGGTTTGAGGCATCCGATTGCCTTTCCAAAGATCCTTTCGTTTCTGCCTTGAAATTTTGAAATACTTCACAACTGACATTTGAGTCATTCACCGTGCATGGGAGGTATTTCAACGCGGGCTGCATGCTTTTCGGCTCTTGCATTTCCCCGGACGACTCTCCCTCTTAGGGCGTTCAGGCAGAGTCGAAGGCATACTCCCCGTTTCCAGAGTCGCACGATGAAAGAGGTCCATGTTTCTGTGCAATATACTGAGCGTAAATCCTTCCTGGATATGGATTCTTGCTTCTTTTGCTCTCAGTGACAGGTTCACCAAGCCAAATTGCGTCTGTCAGTAATTTTCGCAACGTAAACATGGATCCGCTGTCTGTCACAGCTTCAATCATCACCCTGATCGAGGCATCGGGTATCGTGAGTGGATTCTGAAGTCCAAAATCAAAACGTAGGCTAATGAGGTGGGTTTCGAACATCGTAGCTCACGAAGTCCTTGCATGGCTTCATTCATGGTCTGAAGACGGTGGATGCCAGGGTCACTAGGCTCTGCGAGGAGCTGAAGAATCTGACGAACCTGCTGGAAGCAGTGGAAGGAGCCTTGAAAGATTGCCGATCCTACGACCTTGCAAAGGTTGAAGAAGACTTGTTGCAACAAAGCGACATCGCGCTTGCAGACTGCCAGGCTACTCTGAATGACTTGAAGATGCTCATCGAGAAGGTCAAGAAGGCGGCAGGCTCTCGAGCTCTTGGATGGAAGATTAAGGCCATGTTCGATCTCTCAATCCATGGCAATGAACTAGTGGCATTCCAAGAGAAGATTCACAAGTCAAACGGAGCTCTGCAGACGATATTTCACACCATCACTGTGTCAGTATTACTGATTATCTGTTGATTTATGTCCCCGAAACTCATCAAGAGTCGCCTTGTGTTGAAGCTGGTCAACTAATGCGTCAAGTCATAGGTCGCTTTCTCTCAAGAGTAAAATGTCCCACACTTTGATCATGGACGAATTATTCAGATTGAGACAGTCTATCGACCGAGCTCATGAAATATCGGCAAAGCCATCCGAAGTGTTTACGCACAGCTTTAGTCGCCTATCCGATGCAAGACTCTCTAGAAATCTGAAAGCTCTCGCGAAGGCGGCGGATGGCTTTTACTCTACTGCGAGCTCGTCTGCCGGCACGTCCCGAGGAGATCGCAGCGAGAGAACCTGGAAACCCTCATCGTCCGCCGGCTTCAGTGGGCCGGGGCATCTTTCGTCGTTCAGGCGGGAAAGAATAGAGCGGTTCATCATCGAAGGTCAAACTCGAAACGGATCCATGACTCCGCAACTGCTTCCGCAAGTGAATACTTCTTTCCACAGCCAGTCACCTCCAGAAACTTGTTTCTCGGCAGTCAAAAGTAATCCTCCAGCTCCGGGTGACGACGATGATCTAAAAAGTCTGGAAGTTGTTGCTGGTGGAGACGACAAAGCAGAAGAAGAAGATGATGATGCTGATGACGAAGCTGCGTTCAGTAGGGAATATATTCTCTGCATTCGCCAGATTGCGATTGAGAGCATCAAGGCTCGCGACTTCACCAAAGCTGGCGACCTGTTGGAAAAGGCTCTCGCACGATGCGAGAAAGCTACCGCAGACAACGGAGAGTACTGCCAGAGCAGTTACATCTCGATGCGCAGCCTCAAGGTTCAGCTTGCCATTTGTTACTTTTTCCAAGGCAACTGGAAGTTGGCTGAACCTGTCGTAACGGGCTTGGCTTCTTCCAAGTCCAGCAGAGACAGTGTGGTGTGTAACTTATTGCATGCTCTTGCACTTGCGTACTTGTCTGAGTACTCCTTTGACATAGCTCTCGATACATGCAAGCAAGCACTCAGGGGACATGCACGATTATCCAAGCTACGCAAGACGGACGTCATCATGCAAGATTTGAACAACAGTTTGGGGCTATTGGCTACGACGTATGATATGACTAGCGACTACCTCAGCGCAGAAGTCTTTCGACGCAGGCTCTCGCCGGGATTCAAATACCAGCATCCGGCCAATGTTGCGGAATTCCTTCAAAATCACTCAGACTTTCTCACTGCGGCTCTGGGTCCGTATACCCTCGACCCGGCTTGTGTGGTTTTACCAGACTCCCCGATAGGACAGCCCAGTGAGCAGGATGCCACCACAAGCTCACCATCTGAACAGGAGGTGTCACAAGTCCGATGGGATGGCTGGGGGACCATCAACCATCTACCCTCGAATCTACGACTTAACATGGCGAACCACCGGCGCCTCGAAGTTGATACGAGCAAGATAGTAGTCGCACGTTCGAGATCGTGCACCATCGAAGGCCACACAGTCGAAGAGAGCTCGCCGACGGAAACGATCCTGACGAGTCCTGCAACAACAGCATCTTCACCTAATACCTCACCTGAGAGTTCTCCTGTACGTGGTAGAATCGCTCGTTCATTCAGTGCCATGGGGTTGAACAGGTCAATAGCTAGGGCAGAACCTGGGTTTGGCACCGTTTCCGAGCTCTCCCTGCCTTGTGATTCTCGCCGACAAAGCACCCGAGATACCAGACAGCCTCTACGTTCGAACCAAGAGACGTGGAGTGTGATCGAAACGGATCATCCTACAACACTTCCAGTGGCAAGACATATAGAAAGGTGGAAATGGATAAGAGGGTGGCGGATACCTCAATCCGACGGTGTACTCGATGAGAGAACCCGGCCTGCCAAGCTCCAGAGACGATCTGCTACTCGAGTTCCGGGGCGAAGTCTAACTGTAGGCGAGTGGTTTACTCCCGCAAAATGGTTTCGTACTGGTCAAACCGTTCTGAGGCAGGCAAGTTCCTATCATCGCGTTGTAGTAGCAGCGGAACCCCGGCGTATGCCTGCCGGACCAGGATTCCCAGAACTTAACGGCAATGCTGTATCGGAGCTGGGGATTACTAGTCCCACCCCGGAGCTTGGACACTATCTGCCGTCGCCTGTCTCAGCTACACCTCAAAGAGTACACTTTTATGTACCACAGGCTCAGGACAGATTAGATATAACGGCACATATGGAAGTTTGTGAGTTGCCATCGGACATTTCCATGTCAGGTGCACTTACGAGCCTCGAGGCCAACACCAGGCAGACGAGGTCGCAAATGAGCTTGGACCAGTTCAATACATGATGTATCTGCAAAGGATGATGAGGTCTCCTTTCCGGGTTAAGAGCTAAAAACTCCTCCAAACGATGCGGCGCATCGAACCAGGGGAGTTTGAAGTTACATATCTGTCTACAGTCATATACTCGAAGATTCTTGGATAAAAGCTCCATAATGTGTATTAAACCTATATATAATGGCTTCAAATGCGAGCTGATAGAGGCGTAATGCATTCCTAGCGGTGCCGCATCGTGATATTGAAAGACCATCATGGCCCGGAGAACGCCGGGCCCCACCATGCCGTTGCAGCCCGGCGCGCTGTCTCCACTTTCATCGGAGGTGGCCCCACATAGCGGTGGGATGACGTCGCAACCCGCAATCTCGATCTGGGCCAGTCTTCTCCATTATCTTTATTTCTTTTCGCCCGCTTGGATACCACGTCCCATCCCACCATCTCCCTCCCGCTGGAGTCTCTCCCCACGTGCTCCATCGCGAAACCAACCAGCTTGAAAGGTGTGAGGAGATGACTCTAGCTCTGCCAGAGAGGCATTTTCCCACCACTCACTCCCCAAGGCGTAATCTGAAACCCAAAGCCAACAAGAGAGCAGCTCGCTTGCGCTGAGTGGTTAAAGCTAGCCAAGAGGCGTCCCCCCGCGTGGCGCATCTTTCACACAACTTTTGATGTGGCTGCCAACATCCAGGATTTTGTCATTGCGCTTGATGATGCCGCTGCGCAGGGGTCCTCGACGGGGGTCCTCCCCGGCTGTCTGACAGCACGACGGACCACGGCAGCCTATGGCATCGCGCCTCGACGCCTCCATCACGGACCCGTATGACGTATCCATGGGCATCTTCAGCCACACGTACGCACATGCGCAGTAAAGTATGAGAAGGGATGAGCGAGTGACGACTCTGATGATGAAAGTGTGTGAGAAAGGTGCTGCTGGTGCTGGTGCTTGGGCTGGGCTGGGCCTTTTGGGTGAACGTATATCAGGCCGATGGTCCACGCCGTGTTTCCCGTCCATTTATGGTGTTCATCTCGTTGATCTTATTGCATACTTGACTGTACTTTCCATCATCTCCACAACCGATATTATCACACCTCGTAATACTCTTTATCAAGATCATTCATCATGGCAGAGTGGGCAAAGCAAACATACAACACCCAGTACGAGAAGTGGGTTCCATGGCTCGAGGACGTCTACCTGAGATGGTTCACCAAGGACAACAAGGCCAGTTACACGACTAAAGGTAAGCCACCAACGCCTTCACGAACCTCTACCATCACACTAGTCCCTGGGCTAGCGAGTAGCCGTTGAGAAACCGTACTAACGTCCTCGTGTTCAGATACCCTCGATAAGAGCAAGGTCACCGGCGTCGAGCAAGTTGACACTCTCCAAGACGGCGTGCATAACCTCGCTGCCGGCCAGGTCGGCCAGGGCGGTCTTCTCCAGCCCGTCGGCGATATGGTGTCCAAGGAGGGCGTCAACCGCGCCGAGCGCCAAGGCAAGGATGACGAGGGCGGCTACGTGCCCACCGCTGTCCCCGGCTCCGGTGCGCTGAACCAGGCGGGCAGTGGTGTGGCCGAGGGCAGCAAGACTGTTGCCGGCAAGACCACTGAGGGCGTCAAGGGCGCTGGTGGCTTCGTCGGTGGCCTGTTTGGCGGCGGCGCTGGCAAGACCAAGCCCGAGCAGAAGTAAATACCTCATCACCAACAAACATCGACTCTGCAAGGATGCGATGAGCTTGCACTTTGTTGGCAACCTCTAATGCTGGCGCTTGAATGGGGGAACTCAGCGTTTTGATGCTGTCTTTGGATAACTGGCGTTAGATTGCAACGGAATTTTGTCGATTAGTCTTGACCACAATACCCACAAACGGTCTTTGAATTGAAACCCATGATAATTACGATGCTTTGTCTTGATAGCCGTGACATGTCAATTGCGCTGGGCCCAATTTAAGCAAACACTATTCCCACATGCAGATGCGGCGTCGACGATGTAGCTGTTGGTTGGCTCATTCTCGCGGATAAGATGGTACAGACTGTTTGCTCGTCTGCACGTCTGGTTGGCGCGACTGACTGCCAGTTCATGACCGTTTGTTGGTCTGCCAAGGTTGCAACAAACGGTTCCCTATCCTCAGAGTCTTCTCATTCCCAAGTTACTAGCATCGATGTGGTTCATTCTTCTTCCACTAAGCCTCTCCCGTTTGTCGAATCGCTCCATTCCGAGATGAGTGCCCAGGACTGTCAACAGAGCCATTCTAGCGTTCATTCGATTGCAGAAAGTCCAATTGTTCTGGCTAGAAAGCTCAAAAGTAGCATATCCTCCGTTAAGTCTGATATCAAAGCCCGAATTCATTCAGGTGCAACCATTCCCAGGCTACACGCATTCAGTGGCAGCGATTCCTCAGAGACCCTTGTGGCGCACGACGAAACATATCGCGCTTCCACCGAAGATCTACTAGGCGGCATATCTCAACATCGCGATGGCAACCTACACAGAACTTCGCTACATAACCAGTCAAGTCCGGGTTTACTAGGCAGGCTTCCAAAAGAGATCCGGGAGATCATATATCGAGAGCTATGGCGTACATCTGGCCTTGGCCAGCACATTGTTCAGACTGAAACCGGATTTGGGCATTCCAGATGCTTAGTTGAAAGGCTCGAGTCTACCATCGTTGAAGGAGATAACGCTTGGGAGTTTAACTGGATGGGCTCTGATTCTGGTGCCAGAGGGTCAGTATCGCTCTGGTACAAGCGAGAGATGTCAACTTGGTGTGATCACTGGAAATGCGAAGAGGCGAGAGATGAAAGAGAGATATGGCGAGACGTTGGGCGGCGCCGAACAAGTCACGGAGTCTATGTCGACGCTTCTTCACCGTATTTGCCCATGATGCTGACTTGTAAGACGTTGTAAGTTGACCTTTCCACTTGATGGTATGGAGAGTGCTTTGGAGACTTCCACCCCTTATTACAGTCACTTACGCAAAAGCACGTAGATACGCCGAATGTTCCTCATCAATCTACAGGTCTATAGTATTCACCATCACCGACATCAGCCTGGCACGGAACCTCTTCGGTGTTCGATGGAAGACGTCCAACAGTCACCCACTTCGGCGCATCAACTTCTCCTTCCGGCGCCATGCAGACCAAGGGAGCACGTTCGATCAGTGGGTAGATTCATGGAGCTCGATCCTAAGACTCCTCGATACTCCTCAGCTGATGACGGTCAATCTCTGGCTGGACAGCGACATCTACTACGAACGATATTGGTTATCTGTGACCGGCAACGTCCTCCGGCGGGTCCCGGAAGCACTGGCCCACAAAGTCGCCGTCAGCCTCCCGCCGGACGGGCACGGCGACCGCATTGCGGGGGCCGCGTGGCTGACGGGCCTCGACGAGGTGCCGTGGGCGGCCTCTAACACTGACATGCGCTCGCTGAGGCGCGAGGGAGGCGAAGTGGTCACTTCTGAAGTGAGACGGGCGCAGGTTTGACTTTGCGGGGGAAGATGGACGAGTCTTGAACTTTTGGGTTTCCCTGCCCGACCTTACGTGAGAGGAGGGAACATGTGAGATTGGCCCGACGGGATGGGTGCCTTTTGGAGTGGTGATGGGACGACGCATGGGATGCAAAAGCCTGAAGGGGCTGAGGATCGGTCTAGATTTTGTGGCCCGGGAGATGGACGGCGGGGTAGCCAATGAATTCGTCTCGTGTATCTTGGAGATCTGCCCTGCCGGCATACACTTGACGTCGATGATCCCCGTCGCGAAACTGGGAGACGCCTCATCGGCTGAAGTGCTTGGGACTTCTCGAGCTTGCGAGAGGCTTGCTAGGGAGCACCGCGGTCCGCGAAGGGATCCCGGGGTTCCATCATCACACCCTATCCGGCGGAAGCGAACGAACACTTTTTCGCGCTGGCGAAGTGAGCAAAAGGCACGGCGGGAAACTCTAAAGTCTTTCCATCGTCCTGTCAACGCCCAGAGGTTCGACTGACGTGCACGTAAGCTCTGGACACCATCCGTACTTAGTGTACCTAGTGTAGTGATGTGTAGTATCTGTAACGAATGAACCATTCGGGTACCGCGAATGTAGCCCGGTGCGTCTTCGGCAAATTCTCATAGGCAACTTCGGCATTCATTGTCCATTGGTTGGGGGCCATGGTCTCGGAGCTTACGCCGCTTCATCTCTCGGTCGAGTAGGAGAGCTTGATGATGGTGATGTTGCAACGATGCGGGGTACAGGTAGCTTCCGGTCAGCGACGAGGTAGCAGAGAAGACTACATCGTTGTCAGCGTGTCAGGATCTTGGCGTGAGCTTGTCAACACGTTATGGGACGGGGTTGCTCGTTCGTTTGCATAGCTGATCTGTTACTGTCCTCGTTTCGACATGGCAACGGAAGCGGACGGAATGTTGTAGTTCAGTATCCGTACAAGAGTACGCGGAGTTCACATTATCACCGGATAGCGCGGATCACAATCATTGTCTATCAAACTCAATGCTGAAAGTAATTGGCTAGGGGTTGGGGGAGCATTTCCTCCGAAAGCGATAGTAAAAGCTTGGGATATTGAAAACATCGTGAAGGTCCGAACATCTTTGATTGAAGAGTGATCCACTGGGCAAAGTGGGATGGGGAGGGGAGGGGTCCCGGCCGATGCGATTCATATCCTGCCCCAAGTCTCCGGAGCTCGCGACTTGCGTCCAACGCCCGCCGGGAGACTGGGTGCCCGGCCGATATGGGCCGCCATGATACGACTCTTTGATGAGAGTTGATAATCACGATGAGTTAGCCTGTCAGCTGCATTCATCGAACCATTTCTTCGCACTTCCCGCTTCTTCCCCGTTCCAAGGGCCTGCATTAACGCGTTCGGTTCTTCGGAAGGGGGACCGTTTGGGAGACACCTGAGAAACTCGGGTAGAATCTCAAAGACTCTCACAAGCTCGCAATTGCCTCTCTTCTACTTCTTACAGGGGAGAAAGAGAGCTTTCGGTTCACGGCCGAGAATGGGAGAACGGGGCTCCATACGCCAGACAAGAAAGCACCAGCGCAGGCGGGACCCCCCGGGGGCCCGTTTCGCGAAAACTTCCATCAGGGACGGCCGAAGTGGGCACGACAGGCTTGACGAGATCGGAATCCAGATGGCTGATCGGCGTTCTGACAGCAACTTTCCTGGTCTGGCAGACGCAAAGGCGACAGGAGGCTCTGCTTGGGTCTTCTTCTAGCGCCTATGTCGCTCTCATACCCGGAGCCTGGGGCGTTGCTTAGACGCTGCATTTCGAGCTAGTATGGTATAGAAACCCCTCGAAAGTGGGAAATTTATCTTGGGTCAGAGCTTCTATGCATATCTGCCGACTTTTCTAGAGAACCATGGAAATCAGGTTTTCAACGATCCGGGCGACAGACGAACAATCGGCCTAGCTCAACACGGCGAGGGGTGATGTTTCGGGACGGCGTGAGCCAGAACTAGACATGCAAGCCATTTGCTTTTCCCAACTTGGGCGCAAACGCTGTGAGAAACTCGACGGACCCAAGATTCTGCGCCTTTCTTCACGGGTTGTCAAGGGACTTTGGTGCAGGCTGACCCCATCCTTCTGGCGGGGGTCGCAAAAGCGAAGCTATTCACACTCTTGGAGCATTTCAACAGAATGTAACCTCACCCTGACCACCAGCACAAGCATCAGCACCGGCCACCTCACCGAACCCATATCAAAAGCGTCCATACAGGGGGGCGATGGTACCTCGCCATTAAGCTACCTGCAATCAGATAGGGCCGCCGAGGATCGAGACCGCGTGGAGGCTGGAGGCTTGTCTCGAAAGGCCTCGAAAGCAAGATTCTTGCTGCATGGCCATGACTACGCCGCGGCGACTTCTCGTCATTTTCTCACGCATCGTGACTCGAGAGGGATTTCATCTACATCTCGCAACATCGGACCATATTGGCCTATGCTTCTAACCTTTCTCTTCCTTACCGGGCTTGTTGCACGTAAGCCTACCCTGTCGGCCGTTGGCTCCCACATGAGCTACGTTGCCCCGAGGCGTGGGCCGTCCGCCCGCCGGGCACTATGGATGAAAGTTGAATCTAGCTGCCGTATGCGGATGTGCCGTCCAGGGCGAGGAAGTAAGCGGGCGTTTTCCACAATGCCCCAGGACCGCAATGCCGGATATGGTACGAGGCAGAGGATGGGGGGAGTTGCGCCCGTCACGTTCCCCATTTCAGCCACAGCCGACAGCATGTCGTTGGAGGGGTTAATGATTAGACTAAAGATGTGCTCCGGGCGTGGCCAGCAAGGCGTATAAGCGGCGTGCGTTTGAGTCCCTTGGAAGCTCACCCTCCTGGTCGGAGAATAAAGGCAAGCTCCTGGATGGAACTTGGAACTTGGAAGGGCTGGACCTTTACAGACCTTTGAAAGACCCTGCAACTCGCAAGAGGCATATCCGTACATTCAAGTTAGTCCGCAGGAACCATGTATTGGAGCTACGAGTCCTGGGAAACTGTGTTAATCCTGACACTGGTACTGCACGGCCCAACGATGTTTCGCAGGGGTCTCAACGGCGCCAGTCAGCGATGCGTCAAACATGAGTGTTCTGTGCTCGACTCTGCATCAACTATGTTGCCCTCCAAGCGTCTGTCAGTTTCCCACCCAAGACACAGGTGAGGCTGGCGCAAAGATGTGGCACAGAGGCATTGCTTACGCCATCATCTGTCATGTGAGAGGCGAGGGCAAGCGACATGAAGCAAGATCCGCAGATCCGTGAGCGTCCGTAGAGTCAAAGATTCCGCAACCGTGTACCGGCGCCGGATTGTACGGGGAGGGGCTGCTGTCGACAACCCACCAGCCTCCCCTCTTCGTCCGTGTAATAGAAAGGATCAGGGGAGCAGCGAAGGAACAGAGTTGTGGCGGGTACGTGCAGCTTGCTGTCAAAGTCGATGTCTGGATCACTGGTGCGGAGGGCTAGCAAGTTGTGCGAGGCCGGGACCAGGAAAGATATTCCGTCTGGCATGTACCAGAGAGGGAGTGAGAGATGAGGTCCGTACGGAAGACTGGGGGCTGGTATTATCGGAAGGGTACGGAGTACGGTACGGCGCCTAATAATCTCTATCTCGGACTAAGCTCACGATGGCTACACTGTATCCGTGACAAACAGTAGCAAGCCGAGTGCGGGGAAGCGGTACCCCTGGAGGCTTTGGAGATATTCGTACAGATAACTTGGTATTGGCAAACAAAGATGCGACGGACGAGCCCCGGTCGGTTGGCGCCGAAGGGAACGTTCACTATTCACCGCAACTGGGCTGGTCGGTGCTTCTTGAGATTCGCGCCGTTGTGACGATACTCTGCCCTTGCTCTGTTCCTATATCGCGGAGCAGTTATAGCCTTGTGAGAATTTGACGACAGCGGACACCGCATCATTCATCCAGGTCTAGGTTGCGATTCTTGTTCTGCGGCACCCACGCGCACCGCCAGGGCCAGCGAAGCTGGAACCACTCTGCCATACACCGACGATAGTGAGGTGCCATTATAACCCCCTTGACGCTGTCATGACGTCCCGCCTGCTACCTTCTGCTTTCCTGTCAACGATGACACGGGCCCAGTTGACGGCGGCGAGGATGGAGAACAGGATGAACACACCTCCCTGTCGCCTGGCTGTCAGTTCTTGTGTAAGATCAGCCTGCTGTCAACAGTGTCGCATCGTGAGGTGGACGAGGAGCAGTCAGGGACTGGGAGGGCACGGCGCGATACGTGCCATCAACGGCGTGGACTCTGACCGCCGCCCCGTCAATCAACCGATGCTGCTTTTCCCACCGCTTTCGAGGTCGATGACGGGGGGATGTGACGGCCTGTAGGAGAGACAGTGAGAAGCTCCGGGGTCCGCCAAGGTCGCGCCTCCAGAGCTCGTGAGATGATCTGATTGGCGGCATGTCGCTCGCCTTGCATCATGTAAATGCAATGATGAGGTTAATTGTCTCTACGTTGGATCCTCCCAACACCCAAAGCCCTGGATCTAGAGCTTCTTCTCCTACAGAGTCTCAGCTTGACTTGCATAGCTGAGTTGTCTCTGCGCCGGCGATGGAAAATCCCGCTGCTTAGGCCAAAACTTAGCTCAGCTCATCCGGGATGAGGGCTGCTGCTAATCGACGTCGCATTGGGGGCGGCACATTTAGAAGTCTCCCCGCGGTATTTGTTTGCTTGTGCTGGTTCTGCACCGCTCGGCCCTGTGCGAGTCTGGTCAAGATTGAATAACCAACACCCGGGGGACGACGAGTATCTGTCGACTTAGACTTCAACTCCAAGGCTGCATCCTCTCAAGGGGCTGGTCTTGGCACTTTCAAAAGTTCGAATGAACGAACGATAGTTGAGGCAGAGCTCTTGTTAAGCATTCTATACGCTTGCCGTCAGAGCCTTCTCCTGGCGATGTTCCCCTCTAAAACGACAGCCCTCCCCGTGGAAATCCTTGCGATGCGCCGCCCATGTCGTTTGGGCCCATGCTCTCTTGGCGTAGTTCTCGACAGAGTATCATTAAAGGAACTCCGTCGACGAGGATGGTGACGAGCGGACAAGCTTGAGCCATTGGACCGCCTCTACTCCGTGCTTGGGATTCCTTTCTTCGTCCGTCTGACTATTGTGTATGGATGTTGTACCTACACTACTGGGAGTGCTAGGACAGAGAGCAACGATATTTTTTCAGGATTTCTGTCCCGCGCTGAGACATGCGGCAGCCTCTTCAGCCCGAGGCCCTCGTGGCAGCATCTCCCAGGAGGAAAAGCGTGGGAGTGGGAGAAATGCAACGTCGGCGAGGGGGAATAGAGGTCTGACTATTGGATGCGGGCGCGCTTACACCGAGGCGGTGACCGTGTAGATTCAATGTGCATAGTGGCGGCGGCGTTGTTGAGCAGGCTTGCGTACACCAAGACTCCCAACTGGCCTTCGCCTGGTATCTGGTCTCGGTAAGCTCTGCACCCGCGATGAAATTCTCGGCATTTCTATTTCTCAAATCAATGACTTCGTGACTAAGAGGAGGTGCGGTGACAGTAAGCTTCGAGTAGCGGCTTCAGGCAGGGCATATTGTTTAGTAGACAGCATGGGAGATTGCGATGAAATAAAGCTGCGCTTCTTTTTGAACCACTGTCGGTTGTCGTTAGACTACTGCGCTTCTCTGAGTCGGGCAGCTAGAACGCGGCCATGGAGGGGGGAGGATGAGGGGGACAGTGGCTGTCTTGGACTCTTGTTATCGTCGAGCGTTGCTTAGCATCAACGAGGACGGACGAGACGAGAGTGGTCGCTTGGCTAGCGTCGAGGAACCCAATGTGCACAACATCGGCATAGCGTGGCATCCTATCGCATCTTGCCTTTGCCTTACCTTTGCCTTGCCTTGAACCATCCTACACAAGCCAAGCTATCTGCATGGGCAGAGATTCTGTCCCTCCCCGGACCAGTAAGACCCGTCCTCTAGGCCATGGAGGGATCGGATTCGAACCAGATAGTTCAGCCTTCATTCCTGGCACTTGGAGAGCGGGTTGGAATGTTGCCGGGGGTCCGGGGCAGGAGGTTATCGTGGCTTTCCCCAGAACGAGGGGGAGAGGTTCCGCATGCGTCGGCGAAAGAGGCCGAGATGGAGAGTCAGAGTCATGTCTTGTTCCCGCGTGACCCCTTTGCGATAACTGTATCTTCTGCTTTGGGACAGAGTGCCCTCGACGATGGAGTCACTTCTCCTGCTTCAGGTAATGCGTCCAAAGTTTGAGTTCTGAAGGGTTACTTGTCTGATAGTGCGGGCGGATAGGACTCTGCAGCTCAGCCCCTACATCCAATATTCAATATTCCACACCTCATCAAATGGTGGCTCGTTCGATGGCTTGGTGTAAGTTCGCCAGGACCGCATGGATCATCGACGCAAAAGCAACCAGCCGCGCGCTGGTCAGCTTCCCCAGATTTTGGAGCTTGCAATTGTAGGCCGTGCTTGCAGCAGAAGTGCGCCCATACTTACTCTTTGGAATACCTACCTACCTCCCTCTCAGCCGTCAGGAATGGAAATCATAGTTCGGCCCCTCCCCGCCATCCCCGGGCAAGCCGGGGGTCTCATAGCCGTCTGACATGGTCGCAGCCGGGACCCGGGGAGTCTGTTGGCCGCACGCAGTCCCACGTTCGGGCGCTATCCTGTGAGACTATGTGCTACCACGCTACAACATGCAGTTGGCTGATTGCCTGGGAGGAATGTCACGGGTGGGTGTGTTTGTGCTTCAGCCTGCCTCACTGGTGATCAGTCACAGTCCACTGATGGATGATTCGGAATGGGCGGGCTGCTTTGTGTTTTGCAACGTAGAATGGTCAAAAGCGGTCACGACGATTGCTCCTGATGCAGGTGTGACACTCGGGTATCAATGAACAGCAAACCCGTTGAGGTCGCAAACACTCCGTACAACTCATTGCATATGACCTCATATGGCTCGAGGCCGAGTTAGACGGGAGATTTGTTGGTCGAATGAGGTGAGCCTGGTCAATATGGGAGACGCATTATGACTAAGAAGCGAAGCAGAAAAGCCAAGTTTCTGCCCTTGTCTTGACTTCATGTCTGATCAAATCGCGTGTGCCGTTTGTCAGTCGTCGCACGGGGGAGTCCAATCAATGACCGTTTCGCAATTCCATTTCTCGCAGTCCCGTCAATGCCGCCGGGACTGGAGGAGCTGTAGTGAATATAGACAAAACGCATACGTATTGGCGTATTGGTACTGCACTCTATGTCTTCTACGTCGGTGACAAGAATCAAGGTCCTGCGACTCTTCGGGCCTTACCCCCTCCAGGTCCGTAGGGAACGCGCCGCTTGGTCAGCCGAGCCGCCCTGTCCGAGTCCTGAGCTGGGCAACTCGTGATACTGTGATAGGCGGTAACGGGCTCTGGCTCACAAGACATGAGCAAAGTGCCGTGATAGCGAATTACAATTGAACGTATCTCTCTGGTGGACATCCGCACCGGAGATGAGGACAGCCGAAAGAGGCACTTGCAGTGGAAACATAGACCGGTCCAAGAGCGACTGATTTTGTTCGGAGGCCAAGAGGCTTGGAAGACAAATACTCGGAGCGCGGCCGGATCGTGGTGCCTTGGCGGGTATGGGCGGGGTGGAGTCGACAGAGTCCGCTTCGGAGGAGCAACACCACCTTCGGTTTTGGTTGCTTGAACATGTGCAAGTTCGCCGCCGTATCCATAGCGGCCGTTATTGAGCCTCGAGGTCTGATTCCTGTTGGTTGGCCCGGGGCATGGCGCGCCTTGTCTTACATGATGGACTCTCACCGGAGGAACGCACCCCCCACACGAGCTTGCACGTTTTTCTCACCAGCATGGGATTGTGGGCCTGGAGAAGGAACGCCCAAGGCATGGAATCATGAATGGAGACGGCGGCGGCGGTGGTGGTGGTTGAGGCGAATCCGGAGTCGGGTGCTGTTTATGAGGTCCCATGCGGTCATGTCAGGCTTGAGATGTGGAGTTCCCTGCAACTAAGGCGAGATAGTTGCATGTCAAGATGGGCCATTGGCTTTGCGATGGCTTGAGAGTGCGTCTTAGATATCACGATGCTCAATCGACTGGGTGTTGTTCGTAGACAGCACCTAAGGTGAGATACTGAATACAATAGTCGCATAGTTGTACATGTGTTGGGTCCCTCCTATCGTAGAGCAAGGCGTACGAGGGCAACAAACATGCCGTTTTGGGCCTTGGCAACCAGAGGACGGGAATTAGAAGCCGAGACTTGTGATTACGGTTCCGAGTTTCGTGATAACGACTTCTGGACTTGCATTGGCGCTGCATTACGGCCACATTATTTGGGCCCCCGAGCAGGGATCGTGCCACTTGCCTCTCCGCACATCGCAACGCAAACATCGGACGTGGCACTGGAAAGCAAACATGAGATTCTTCACGTTGTTGCGTCGGTTCCCCAAGCACCAAAAGTCATTCAGGATTCGGATGCCGGATCAAACGAGAACAGCACTCCTTGGCTAATGTTCCCTAACTTCATCCTTCCCCATAGCGTCCGGAAAGGGTATACCGAGGGTGCGAGGGAAACATAAGGTCATGTTCACGGTCATCATGTTCGACGGGGCTCTTGTCTTCGAGATGATCTGAGGAAAAAATGGTGCTTTGAACGCAGTGCTGTCATATGTCACATTGTTGACGAATGGACGGGGCGACATCACCCAAGCTCCCCGGCGGACGGGCGATTGCCGCATCTTACATCACCGTCGCAACTCGCCCTGCTTGGCCGGCACTGGATGTTGCACTGGAGCTTTGGCCGGCCGCTGGAATTTGCTGCCCTTCACCGCATGCCCTTTCGGCAGTGCGATGGAGGCTTTGGTTCTCTGACCGAGCAATATCGAGAAACCTGGAGACGGCAAAAAGGGGGGTTTGTCTAACGGCACGGAAGGACCTCGTAGGGGTAAATAGGGCGAAGATCACTTGGGAAAGCAAGGTAACAGAGCTCAGAGACCACTGAAGCTCCAGCGGTGACCACACCGATCCGATCTCGTGGGAAGGATTCACCCTCAAAAAACAGGGAAAATATGAAGGAACGAGCAGAGACTACGGGGTTGGTTACTGCATGTAGGGGGTTGTTGTAGGACAGACCAGGGGCACCAGAGTGGCAGAGAGTCACTGGACAAGGGGACGGACGGCAGCCGAAGCGAGGGGGGTCGTTAGTGACGAACAGGAGAATAGGAAATAAAAGAGGGCAGAAGAAAAGGCCCTGGAGATCATTACATACTTACAGAGTACAGGACAGGGCCATCTCCGTACGCGCGTTGAAGATCAATACTGGGAAACCTGGAAAAACTTGGTGACACCAGCCACGACCGGACGGAGGACATTGCCATTGCTAATAGACCGCGCGAAGGCGGCAGAGCATCAGTGTCCACTGGGTCCGTCAATGTGCCCCAGAGAACTGGGAGTGTCTGTCCTGGAACTGCCCCCGACTCCCGGCTGGCTACGCAGTATGGCGTTGGCTATCCCACTCTGGAGACTCGAGTTTGGTTCCTGGGATTTTCTGGAAGGGATTTGCAATTACATCAACGTCCAAGGGGATGATTGGCCGGGCGAATACTCCGCGACCTTGGAGGCGATGTGAACCGTGAACCTGTTCCGGGCTGAATCCTGACGCGACGGCTGGGATGAGGAGCGCGTTGGTGGGATTTCCTCGGTGGATTAGGAAGATCGATCGAGATTTGGGGGTGTGATTGTACAGATAGAAAGACAGCACCACAGAGTAGCTGCTCGCTGCCTTGATGTCTGGTTCTCTAGTTTCTACGCGGTACTGTACTACGTAGTGCACGTCTACTAAGGACGGCGCTTGAGGGAACCAATGTTGGCGGGCACTAGGGCGGCAGACACAACTATTGTGTCGGATGTGGACTCCATAGCTTGAGCGTTTAAACTCGTAACTCGCAGTAGAGCCGAGAAAGACGGTAGTCATGATGGTGACATATGTTCCCGGCGCAGTGTAGTCCGGAAGCTTGGGCCAGACGAGGGGTTTACGTGCAGCATAGCAGTACAGTAGTCACGAATGTGGATGTTCGATTAGTGGAGAGAGACGGGAAGAGACTGAGAGTGGGAGACGGTATCCGAAAGGCTTTGGTGATTCCCATTCCCATTGTCAAGCTGGTGGTGAGAGTACGCCAGCGGGCAACGACAGCACGACGACAGCAGCGCCGCAGACTGACAGCCATTGTGGACACTGGAGGCCCGCGAGGGAAGGGTAAGAAAGTGGGCTATGGGGCCGTGGGAAAGGCAAGCTGAGAGAAGGACTCCTCAGTACGAATATCCATAGAAGATCCAAGATACGGATAGACACAGGGTGAACGAAAGATGAACAGGAGAGACAGATGGGGTTCTCGTTGAACCTTGTGGATCTACGAAAAGTAGGACCCGGCGATGACAAGACCGACGAATGGCCCTCTCTCTCTCAAGAGGGGAGAAGGCTAGGGCGGCAGCGAGCCAATAGAGGAGAGCGGCGCAAGCACACATCCAGAAGACAGAGTGGGAAACATGGGAGAAAGAGAGAGAGAGAGAGAGAGAGAGAGACATGGGGGAGAGGGAGAGACACTAAGCAGCAAAAGAGCTGCCCCGGGCGCATGCAACGTTGGACCGGGGCCCTTGTCACCATTTTGTCACTCTGTCGAGTGTCGCCTTGTCGCCCTCGTCCTTGGCCTGTCCCTGTCCCTGTCCCAGTCTGTCCAAGTGTCGTCCTGGTCCTGGCCTCTTGTTGCTTGCGGGTGCGGTGCGTGCTTGCTTGGGCTTTCTGTCTCGTCCCTCTTTCTTGTCAATGGGTTGTGTCACTGCGGTATCCGTATGGATGTCAGTATCTCCAACAAAAAGAGTTGATCATGATTTCAGCGGTTGCGTTTGTCTGCTCTCTCGGTGACGAAAGCTATATGGCGGTAGACATATACGCTGTGTGGAAGTTCACCCGCATCGGCGACTTACCATTCAGTCGTCACCATGCGGTACCACCATGTTGGGCATTTGATTTTGATCTGGCGGCATCTAGTTCGTAAAGTTGGTAAATCCTGCTGCAGCTGCTCGTTGCTTATTGCTTCGGCCGGCCCTTTGCATCGCATCGCATCGCATTTGAACCCCCGTTCTGTCCTGTCCTCAACTTCTTTGGACAATAGTGCTAGTCCCATCTTGGAGAATCCGTATTCAACTCTGTGGTGCATTCCCGCATATCCGTACAAATCCCACGTTCTTGGGTTCGTCGTCCGAGTTCGACGCTTACCCAGTCCCTAGTTCTTCCTTGGGCACCACCACCACACCCACCACCATCGCCTCCTCTACCTTGGCGAACCGCACCCCTCACGAACGGGATGAATTGAGGTTAATTCTCTCAAAAGTGTGGTGTGTGTGTGAGTGAATGCGAGTGTGGGTGGGCATACTATACTCTATCTCAGGTTTTCATCTCAGACCTGCAGCGTCGGTCTGCCTTATCTCGGCCGTGATCTCACACCCACAGGAAACAAAACAATAAACACCAGCATCGACAACAACATCTGCGCGTTAGGATTCACTTCTCCCTCGTCTCGTTGTTGTTTATTGTTCTCTCGCGACTCTGAACCTTGGCGAAACGGCATCGTCCCTGTGACTCTTGATCTCCCTCCGGCCTCAGCCCTCCTTCAGCCCTCAGCTCCCACTATTGACGAAACGTGCCTCGTCTAGCATCATCCCTCTCTCTTCATCTCGCGCTTCAGCACGCTACCCGGACCCGAACTGCGGTGATCCCACGGATATCAATACCTTTAGCGATACCAAGACAAGAAGAAAAGGGAAAGAGAAAAAAAAGGGCACAGACGATCGTTGGCCGCCCTGTCGTATCGTTCCCTTGGGTTTTCCCAAATTCCCCTAGCTTTTCTAAGTACGGAACTGGCACGACTGGGATTGCCGACTCTTCCATCATCATCTGTGCTCCACAGAGGGTCTGACTTTAAGCGCGACGACGGACGGCGGACGGCGGACACGAGCAAAATAGAAACCCGAGACCCTCTTGTTCGTTTATCAGCCTCTCTCACCGGGCCATTGTCATTGTTCCCCGTCGTTTCCATCCAGGTCGCAGATCGGGTGTGAGGACCCCAAGTGGTGAACAAGTTCCTTGTGTCTTGTTGTTCGTGTTTACCACGTAGCTCGACACGCTCGACAAACGATCTGTCTTTGTACAGAGTCGGTATCTAGTGATAGAGTCATTCTATGTCTAGCAAAAAGTTTAAGCAAAGGTCGGAAACAGAGGCGTTGTCCAAGACTTGAAGAAGGTGGGAAACATCACCATCATTCATCGTCACCGTGGTGCTGTGCTGGATCCCTCTTCAGGCGTGGCTTGGCTCGCTCTCACTTTCTGAACCCACGACTTGCTGGAGGGGAGAGAAAAAAGGTACATTTACCTCGCAGGCTCCCGAGCAATCTTAGCACTCGTCGCTCTCGGCTTTCCCGACCCAGGGAACCTCCCACTCTGCCACTTTCTCTCCACCACTCATCCACCCACTCACTCTCACTCTCAGTCTCACACAGGCCTCACTCCTTTTTTCACACATCCCTCTCACCTCACTCTTGTTGCTCTCTCTCACACACACACACACACATTACCTATCTCACTCTCAGTTTCAACTCTCACACCTCACACCTCACTTCACCTCACACCTCACTTCACCTCACACCTCACTTCACCTCACACCTCACTTCACCTCACACCCCCCTCCCTGGTCACTCACTCCCGCTCCCACTCTCTCTCACTCACAATCCCAGCCAAACGGGACCCCTCCCAAAAGGCCACAAGGTGACAGAGCGCTAAAAGGCACCTCCCATCCGGCTGCCGCTGGCCCTGAGAGCTGAGCTGAAGCGCCCAAAAACTCCCCTCAGGTCTCCCCCCAAGTACCCAAATCTCAACATTTCGCCCCGTCGACCCGCGCAAAACTTAAGGTGCCTTACTCGCCCGCACGCCGCCCGGGAACCCGACCTATAATCTCCCTCCTCTGCCCAACTTCCCGCTCTCAGATTATTTTTCTCCAAATCCCACGACAGCCTCCTTCTACCTCATAACCTCACCCTCCTCCTCTTCCTTCTGCTCCTACTCTTGCTCCTGCTCCTGCTCCTGCTCCTACACCTTATCCTCTACGGGTGTACAAGATTCCATTCCATCTTGACGTTGGATCGCCTGTGAAGTACCAGCAGCACCACACAACCCCCACGAAGAACACCACCTATCCGAAGGAGGAGGACGACGACATCGACAGCAGGAAAGAGCCTGCCTCACAACCTCACATCAACCGCAGTCATGCTGGACCCGTCAGCGAGCCGGCGATACCAGCCGATGGACTCGTCCACAGTCTACTCCCACTCCCGCACACGCACGACGTCCTCAAATACATTCCCCATTCAGAGCCCGACGCCGATGCACCTACAGCAGCAGAATGTCATGAACCCTCAACAACATACCCGTCGCTCGCCGTCAGTAAACACCTTCAGCACCTCCTCGAGTATTCCTCCACCCGCCGCCTACCGCACCTCGCCAACCACCGACCTTCGTCGCTCTACCTCCTCTCGCTCCGGCGGCGGCAGCCCTCAGCCGACGGGATATGTCGCCCTTCTCCGCAAGCAAAAGGCCACCGTCTGGTGCGACCGCGCCCAATATGAGGATCCTCGCCTCTTGGCCCAGCAGCGCGCGGCCAAGATGCGCGCCACCCTCGAGGTTATCGGCGGCCAGCGAACCGCCTCCGGCCTCTCCGCCCCGTCCGGTGGCAGAACGAGTACCGGCATCAGTGCTACTGGCAAGGTTGCCGCCAAGATCCGCCACCACGGTAAGCCCGCAGTTGTGGGCTACGCTCCGGGGGAGCACCACGTTGGCGTTGGCGGTGTTCCCATGCGACTGAGTGCCACCGAGGTTGAGGGCGAAGACAGCGACGACGACGACGCACGCTTGCATCACAGACGGACCGGTAGCAGCGGCCGCAGTAGCACTGCGAGCCGTCGTGGCCCGGGATACCGATCATCCGGCGGCGGACGCAGATGGAGCCCGGGAGATACGCCCGAGAGGAGTGGTAGCATGGTCGAGGACGTACCGGAAGACGCCACGCTGGGCGACAACGCGAGTGGCAGAGCCATGACGACGGGCTCCGGGAGCAGTGCTGAGCGGGCGGACAATGTCGGCGAGCTGGGCAACACTGCAGCGGCGAGATTGGCAAGCAACTCACTCATGCATTCGACCGTCACCCGCGAGAAGAGTGTCAAGGGCGCCGATGACCTACGCAGAAGGGGCAGCGTCGATGAGCGCACCACGACGCTTACCGGGGGCCGTCTTTACATCGCTAACCCCGATTTATAAGAGGCCACGCTGCCCCTCGCGGCTCCATACACACGTGTATGGACAAGCCGCCGACCTTCACAATACGTTACGAGCCCATCGGGATGGGCTTCATTCGCTTTCCCTCAACGTGAGGAAAATGATTCGACATCTCTCCGACTTTCCTATTCCTTCCTCGTCATCGCCAATCTGTACGAGCGTCTCTTCGAGGCATACAAATACGGTCGTTAAGGGGGGATGGGGGTGTTTGGTGATTTCTTTTATTGTCACAAACTTGCATCACTCGGCGTTTTACTTGGGGATTGTTTTTTATCATGGGTGGGATGATACCATACAGAGACCATCCCGAGATGACACAATTCCGGTTTATCGGATGTGCCGCGGAGAGGGATCGAAATTCGAGTTTCCTTGTCAAAGATTTCCAACATTGTTCCCGCTCTACGATCGCTTCCTACGGGCCTCTCTACCTTTTGTTCCTACTATTTCCTTGGCTCGGACTCTGTTATTTTTCCTAGGTCGCGACGCTCCTCACATAAACAGATCATGATATGATCTGTTTCCTAATCTGTGGACAAGACATCAAGAGCGAGTTGGGAGAGGGGACGATAGCAGGCAGAACAAAGGGGAAGACAAAAGCTGAGACGAATTGGTTAGGGCAAAGGGGGCGGAGGATGATACCACGGTTGAGATCGAAGGCCCTAGGGGAAGCTGTTTGGAATCATGGGCAACGGGGAAGGCGAGCGAGAGAGAGAGAGAAAGAGAGGCTGAGACAAACAGAGAAGCTCGAAATGCTCGAATATGAAAAGCCATTCCTGGGCATCGCGATTGAACACCCAAATCTTGCCTACCTCGAACCTATGTGACGTTGTGAAGCTGTGTGTGTGACCTCCGCTGCCCAGGAACGTGAATTTCGGGAGAATTGGTTGCCGAAAGGTTGATTCAGCCCAGCCAACCGACCTTCTGGGGGATAGTCAGAGACATTGTCTCCAAAGTTACGTAGCTGTAGAGGATATCCTGTCTTGGCTCGTCAAGGAGTAAGGGAAATCTTTCAGCCGACCCAGTAATATAAGATTACCATAATGCTTCTTCAGCCGCGCGCCGTTTTCATTTGCCACATTTTCTTGGGGGTTTTTCGATGGGGATGGTTCAGAGCTAACTTTCCAAGCATGGCAATCTGTAGAAAACTCTCTCTTGGACCAACCCATTCCCGCGTGGTTGAAGTGGGAGACGCCAAACCCCATCCTGCAAGATCCGGGGTGGGAGGAGGATGTTTGACTCGAGGGCTTGTGGTGAGCCGCTTGCAGTGCTACCTTTTTACCTGGTCTATCCGTACATAGCTACAGATACGCTACACTATTTACTTTACCGGCCAAACATGTCATGTGTTCCAAAGATAGTACACTTCTGTAGATCTAACCTCTTTCTTAGCTTCCCCCCTCCCCTTCGGACTTGAGGCCGCCTCTCAGATTTCAGTCTCGCTACTCCGTACGCTATCTTCTACTACCGTAGGTTCGTAGGTTAGGTAGCATGGGATTGCGATTGCTACCATGCTATGACATTTGCGCTATTGCCATGGGCAGGAACTACTGCGACACTGTCAGTTCGTCCTTGACACACGTGCGACCTCGTGTTTCGAGGAGTCTGACGGTTGACTTGTCCCAAGTTCCCGTATGGATGGTGCCCCCCCTTCATTCTTTGGGTTCCAACGGAGACCCCGTCCCCCAAAACTTTGTTTCTCAGGGTCTTTGGATCTGTGTCACGTCGATGACATACACTTCCTGGACCTTTTCTGTAAACAGCACCAAAGAGTGGCCAAAGCGACAGATTGTGGGATACGAGAACTTCTCAAGGCAGTCGATCGCCGACGTCGCTTTCAAGCGCCCAGCAACACCACCCAAGATTAATCTTCAAGAGGTAAGTTGCATGGCAGGGATGGCTGGATGGGTATCAACGCCCAGCACTCGGGAGACGCGGCGCCGCAAAGTCAACTACTTGAGGAAGTTGAGCACCATACGGAGTGACGGCGTATGGGATACGCCTCCTTCTGCAGGCCGCCCGTCCCTGGCATGAAATCCTCGCTTCTGCACCTCGTGCAGTCTGCCTTTCTCTCAGTGTTTACCTGCATTCTTTCAGCGGGTATCTCTGCGACAAAAAAAAAAGAGAACCACCGCCACTTGCCGACAGGCAGGGATCTTTCCTCGCAGGCGGCCAACAAACAATCATCATCATCAGGGTCCTAGTTGACAGAGGGACGACTTTAGGCGCAGGGCGGGCGGCGTTGTCGATCACTTCGTGTTTTTGCCCACCCAAAAAAAAGAACAAGACCCCTGGTTTTTTCATCTATTTCCACCTTTTCACCTTTCCTTGG